CGCGGGCAGTGTAGGGAAAAGACGCCGGAATCAATGCGAGGCTCGAGTCAAGTCTAATCCTCACTGCCTGGACCCCGCGGACGATGGGCGATGGCAGCAAGCAAGCTGGAGGTGAGCAGAGGCTGAGAGGAAGGAAGTGTTGTGAAGCCGTCCAGAGCCGTTGAGGACACGAAAAAGAAACCAGGCCCGAAAGCACCAGGTGGCTTCAACGCAGGTGGAGGGCAGGGGGTGCGTTCGGGGTCGCCTTAGCGTGCTGGCCACTAGCGGCCAGTGCTGTGTGGGCGCTGTCCAATTCGCCGGCCGCCACTGGAGGGGGACGAGGTTGCAGGGGCTGGAGGGAGGCGTTCAGCGGGAAGGGAGAGACTGCCGGCAGGGGAGCGGCGCTGAGTGGCATCCGCGGCGTCTGAGTGGCTGGGCGGCGAATAACAGCGGGGCCGTCTCCGAACCTCTCTCTCGTCGTTGGCCTTGGGTTCAGTCAGTTGCAGGGCTTCTTCTTCTGCCATGAGCACGATGATGAACTACGATCGCCCTTTCGCGTAAGATGCCGTTTGGGGCGGCCAGATTGGCGTGGTCTCCCCTGGACGGGGGTTGTGATGTGTCAAGTCTGAGGGAGAGTCAGTGCCTCTTTTCCTCCTTTTGCGGCGTTGCCTGTACCTTTGGGGTCTCTCGCGTCGCGTTCGCGTACAAGTACAGAGGGCGAGGTTGCGCAAGGTGCAAGTATGGCGTTCCCTGTTCCTTTGCCTTGTGTGTAACGTAGTTGTTGTCTGGCATTATGGACGACCTCCCTGCTGCCAGCTAATTACTACTATGTATTGCTATATGCTATATGGACATACTAGTAGAACTACTATCTACCTGATACCTACCATGCGTTGTCTACCACTGATCCCCTGGGACGGCCTATCCTCCAGTCACTCGAGATATATACCCCTAATACTACATACGAGGCTGTCCATATGAGAAAGCCCCGGCGGCAGCAGAGCCACGTCCAACGGGGCGATTTGGCCAGCCTTGATCGGGTTCCAGTTTTTGCATCCATCTGTAGCACCTCAAGCTGCAGCAGCCCATGCAGTCAACCAAGTCTCCAATGCAAGGTACCGCGCCGCCCTGGATTTTGCAACAAGCTCGGGTTTGAAACAATGGTTTTTGCGTAACCGTGCCGATGCCCCTGCAGCTGAGCACCATGCTGTTTTTTTCTCTCTGCTGCTGCGCCTTTGTCGGTTGTCCATGGTTTGACGATGTTGTGAATACGGGCAAAACACATCGTGGCGTTGGGGGCGCCTACCCTAAAACGTTTGAGAGTTTGAGGCGAATCATTATCTTTGACAAGCGAGTAGTTGGAAGACCACACCGGCCAGGCTTTCATTTTTCAGGGCAAGATATTCCTCTGCAGTTCAGGAGAGTAGTTGCTTTTGAGTTGTCCAGTCCATCCCGCATCTTCGAACTTGGTGCCGCCATCAAAAGAAACAACCAGCCCAGCCCGGGGAAAGGCTGTATAACCGCCAGTAGCCGCATATCAAACGGCAACCCAACAAAGCTGCATCTCTAGAACCCAATTCCCAGTCCCCCCAAAAAGCAAAACATCTGCAGTTGCGCTTTGTAAAAGCCAAGACTCCCAATCCCGAGATACGAAGTAATACGAAATCCATAACCGTCCAAGCTCCGTCCAGTTCAACTTCTCTTCTTATTACCCGTTGATTTTCGGCCGTCGCCGGCCGCTGAGGAGGCGCCCCAAAACGGGGCAAGCTCCGTCTGTTCTCTGCCCGTGTGGACGCAACAATTTGCGATTATCTCAGCCAAAAACCACAAGTTGAAAGGAAGAAGAAACCCCGCCATCTTCTTGTTCTTGGCCCGGGCCTTCTCCATCTTTTTCTCCCCTTGACGGTGCCTTTTCTTTTGGATTTAAATACGTGCTCCCAGAGCCCTCAAAAGAGCATCCATTATTTCTTTATTTCATCATTGCTGCTGCTGCTGCGTCTTTTGCTTCAACCGATTGGTGTTGCTCTGCCTTGAGTTTGGCCTATCTGCTGCAAATTTGACCCCCCCCAACAAGCCCCTCTAAACTACATTGTCGACGTCGATAACAAAGATGGCTCCAAAATGCAAAATCATCCTCGACACCGATCCCGGTATGTGATATTTTCCTTCACTCAACTGCCTTCAAAATTGGCACGAGCTTACTCTTCATCACAGGTGTCGACGATGTCATGGCCCTTCTCCTGGCCCTCAGTGCCCCTCCCGAAGAGCTCGAGTTGGCCATGATCTCCGTCACATACGGCAACGTCCCGCTGCAGTCGTAAGTCGTTCATCATGAAGATTCAATTCAAACGCATATCCGTTTTACTTCATCCCCTATGACCTGGCTGACTTCCCGTTTACTACCTTAGCTGTCTTCGCAACGTGGCTGCCATGTACCACGTCCTGGAAAAGGAATTCGAGTGGAGAAAGTCCCAAGGCCGTCCCGAGGGCTATGAGACGCTCAAGGCTCACAAGACACTTGTCGCCGCGGGAGCTGAGCACTCCCTCGCCGATCCCGTCTTGGCTGCTGACTACTTTCGTACGTGATAACAGGATGCAAAAAGCTCATTGTCCCTTATGAAAATGAGCTGACCGAGACGGCAATCATATAGATGGCGCTGACGGACTGCACAACGTCCATGATATTCACACTGACTTGAGCCCCGCCGAGACCTGGAAAGCTTTGTTCGACAAGGAGGACGGCGCTGACCACGGCCCCTCGTACCCTCGCTTCAAAGCCTCCAAGGAGCCCGCCCACAAGGAGATGCTGCGCCTTCTCAGAGAGAACCCTCCAGACACCATCAGCATCCTGGCCGTCGGCCCCCTCACAAACGTTGCCCTGGCAGCTACCGAGGACCCCGAGACCTTCCTCCGAGTCAAGGAGCTCGTCGTCATGGGCGGAGCTGTCGAGGTTCCCGGCAATGTCACCCCCACGGCCGAGTTCAACACCTACGCGGATCCCCTCGCCGCCGCTCTCGTCTATGCCCTCACATCGCCCACCCCTGCCTCGACTCTTCCCCCTATCCCTAGCCATGTCACCAACATCAAGCCTTACCCCGCTAAGCTCTCTCGGCGCCTCAAGGTCACTTTATGCCCCCTGGACATCACCAACCGCCATTTCATCAACAAGAACTACTTCAACGAGACCGTCAAGCCTCTCGTCGATGCCGGCAGCCCCCTTGCCCGATGGACCGCCCACTTCATCAACGGAGCCTTCGACAAGATCGACTCCATGGAGGGAGACGGCAGGGAGCCCGAGCTGGCTCTGCACGACCCCTTCACCGTCTGGTACATGCTCACCCACGACGATGCGCGATGGCAGACGCCCGCGCGGCCCGAGGACCTGCGAGTCGAGACGATTGGACAGTGGACCCGGGGATCCTACGTCCTCGACAAGCGTGTCCGCGCCAAGCCCGGCGAGGCTGCCGGTGAGCTCCCAGAGAATCCCGAGGACGACACCAACCTGGTGACTCTGGACGAGGTTCCCGGAGACACCATGGGTTGGTTGAGTGTCCGCAAGGGCAACAGAATCGGGCGGTTGATCAAGTCTCCCGGCGAGACCATCTTCAAGGAGGTCTGGATGCAGCGCGTGTTTCAATAGAGTATAGGTAGCCCTTTGTCTTTTTCTTGGTACTTTTCTGGATAGATTGAGCGCCGTGTCAGCAAACCGCAACTCGGGCGTAAGAAATGAAGAAATAGCATTGATATAAGATAAACATAGACAGAAAATCGTACCCTTTTTTTCTGCAGAAAGGCCGGCTTCATGCTTTGTACCATATAAACTCCAGGCGCTCCCAAGTGCCTACCTAATAACGGCCCATACTCAAAAACAAACCAGGTTGAACATGCAATCGAAAAAGAAAAAGTCGACGAACTAGATCAGCTGTGCCTCCCACCTCCCATCTTTTTTCTCTCGAGGCTTGCATCTGTTTTTGGTCCAAAGAAAATCTGCGAGGGAGAACAATCGGCGTGGCGCCCTTTAGATGTGTTTAATGCCTCCTATTACCGTGCCCTTCACCTTGGTCCAGTCGATGCTCTTGTCCAGCGGCTCGTCGACGAGGCCCACGGAGCAGACGTTGTCGCCCCGGACGAGGTACAAGCCCAGCGGGACCTCTGCGGACGGCTCCGGGTCGTCGGGCGTTCGGATGATTCTTTCCACGGCGCCTTTGAGGACCTGTGGGTGATTGGCGCAGGTAAACGGGTCAGCCACATCTCTTTCTTTTTTTTTCTTCGTGTCTCCCATCTTCGGCTGAGGAAAAGCAAAGCTCTCCTACAAGAGGGGGAGGTTCCCTAAGAAGGAGGGAGGGAGGGAGGGTTGAAAGGGTGGAACGTGGGTTTGGCGTACTAGGTTTGTTGAGGCATCGCAGGCTGCCAGCTCTCCAACGAGGATTCGCGAATCGGCCGTGACGATGAGCACCGTCTCTGTAAAAAGCAACATTCGTACGTCAGTGATCGAATTCGATCGTGGACTGCTGGTTCTGCGGGGCTCTTCGTGCTCACTGTTGAGATATCCTCCTAACGTGGCCATTTGCGCAAAGACGAGAGAGCCTTGGAAGATGACGCGCTCGAAAAGGAAGATGCAATGGCCTGCTTCGACGAGTATGGGAAGCTTTGGCGGGTTTGGTTGCTTTAGGTAAAAGAATGTATTTGGTTTGGGGGGGTTGCAAGTTTATGGACGGCTCTTTTTCGAGAAGCAAAGCACCAAGAGGTTGTAGCTCCCGGGCGCGCTAAGCTGTTTCTGGGAGGTTGCTGAGGGATTCAACTCCAGAGCTTCGATGCTGCGATGCTTTGAGCTGCGGTTCGAAGGAGGGATGCGCAACATTGAAATGGGAAAAGTTTTCTCTACACCACAGTATAAAACGAAATGCAGAACTAGAAAAATCTACCTGACTCCCACGCGTGTGGACGCAACCAACCCATCTTCAACTCCAGCCCTGCCCTCCACCGCTACATACGACGTCTAGACGTACAAAGACACACAGAAAGCACGCTGCCCAAGAGTAAATGGTAATGAGTCAATTTGCATACTACCTGGGATATCAAGCTCTGTCCGCCGCCGCAAGAGAACGAAAACAAAGCAAATAAAAACATAGCGAACCCCAGCTCCCAGCACAAGAAGTCACAGTTAAGCCATTGTGCCTATGCGGCAGCCTCTATCCAACAAATCAGGTCAATGTGAGCAGCTCTTGAGAGAAAAAAACAAAAGAAAGCAATCCCCCAACGCCGTCCTTGAGCTCGTAGCATTACCTCAAGTCCAAAGGGAAGACCTTTTCACCTTTGCCAGGGCCGTTCCGTCGTTCCATTGTAATACAGAAAAAAGAATGAAAAAGATAGCAGCATGGTTAGTAGAGATACCCAAACGCCAAAGCTCCTTGGGGCAAGCTTGAAAAGCTGCGCATGCCTGTGCCCGAAGCCTAGTCTTCGACCAGCTCGCCTTCGTCTTCCGAGAGTCTGGCCCTCTTCTCGGCCCTTTCACTTTCCGCAGATAGGTCCGCCTCTACATCTTTTCTCTTGGAGGGAGACCGTGGTGCGTGATCGCCGTCGCCCACGGCCTTTGAAGGACCACCGTGTTCCTTGTCCCTTACATCCGAGTGCCGATCAGTCGCTCCGTTCATCTTGGGACCGGGGCTATGGCTCTCCCGGTCAAGCTCCATTGGCGTTCCGGCGTTGGACGATTGGGTGTCGTTCAGCGCATCATGCCGTCGTCTGGTGTTTTCAAGGTGGAACGCGGGCGATGGCAGCGACGGGTTCTGCTTTCTAAGCGGATTCTCCGTGTAAAACTGACGCATCGTCTCGACAGCCTTTGCACAGCACTCTTCGCTCCCCTTCAGAAACTTCCACCAGGCTTCGCCGTTCATATCGTCGATCTGCTGATTCGTGTGGGCGCAAGCAAAATAGATGGAGCTGATGGCGACATCTCTTGCTTCAATCAACAGCGGCAAGGCCGTCAAGCACGCGTCGTTGCAGAATGCCCAAGCCGCTTGCCGCAGGTGTTTGTTGTGGATGACCCCCAGCTGTCCCAGGAGCTCGAAGAGATGACGGTAGGGATTGTCAATCATCAGGTCGAATGCCAGTTGTTCCAGCATCACCTCCTCATAGGTCAAGATGCTGTCCCTCCATCGCCAGTACTCCTTGCTCTGCTCATCAATAATTAATTTTGTGTTTTTCTGGGCGACTCGAGCAACAGCGATAATGATCTCCTTGGTCTTTCTGCAGTTCTCTTCGGTCTTGTTTGCCAGGAACAGGGAGGTTGCGGCGATGTTCTGGGCGTAGAAGGTCAGTCTTTGTTCTTCTCCATGATGACATGAAAGTAAAATCCTTGGATAGAAGTGGTCAAGTGTTGCAAGGCGAGGGAATGAAGGCAGAAATGAAAGTAACGAAACGAAAAAGAAAGTGCACGTACGTAATGATGAATGCCTCCCTTCTCCTGAACCATGCTGCAACGCATGTAAAATCTGTGAAAGAACACTCCAGCTACCCATAGCGTGATCTGTGGTAGGTCGAGCATCACACCAGCCTGGTATATGAAGTTGATGCCCTTGGCTCTCCTGAGCCTCTCTTCCGCGGGCGGGATTCCATCGATGATCGAGGGTGTGCTTAGAACCTCGTCCGTAGTGAAGAACCACTGATTCGGCAGCGCCAACGGCGTTTCCTCCCCGGATCGCGAGGGAGTCTGCTGGCTGGACGCGCCTTGCGGTCTCGGCGGGGATGTCCGCGCGCTGTGCTGGGGAGGCGTGGGCGCGGCCGGAGGGACCTCGCGACGGCGAGGCGGCGACCGAGAGGGCCTCTCGTGGCGCGCAGATCCCGCGAGGGTTGGCGGTTGATATCCCTCTCGCGGGGGGCGATAGCGGTCGATGCTTGCCATTGCTGTGGACGATTATAGCGAGTTGGCGAATGGCTGGGCGCAAAGACTGCGAGATTTCATCGAGAGCGTCGGTGTCGGATAACCCTGCTTTTCTTTCACTCGGTGGACCGCAGCCAGCTGGACGTCATAGATGAAGTTTGAAAATGGGCGGCGCGACAAGCCATGGACGAGATCGTGGTTAACGCTATGACCCGTCCTTATCTAATCTGCAGCGGCGAGTCACATGACTAATCGGGAGATCCAGGTACTTGTACTCCGTACCTGACGTAGTACCACAAGGTGCTTGCCTTTCGTCGACTGCTCGACTCTGTTCTCAGTTTGCCTTCAGTCCGCTCTCATATATGGGGTTATATGCTTTGTGCTTTCATTTTTTTTTTTAACCTTCACCTCGAGGGAAATTGGGCATAGTATGCTGTGCCAAACCTGGGTATCTATTTCGACATGCCTATAGTTCCATTCAAACAATATGTACAGTCTCATGACTATAATGCCTCGCCGTCATTCCTCCCCCACAGCTTCACCGTGCGGTCGTGTCCTCCACTCACAATCCATTTTCCGTCTCTGCTATAGTCAACACTGGCAACTGGAGCAGTGTGCCCGCTCAGCGTTTGCACCAGGGTCCAATCGTCGGCCGAGAAAATCTTGACGTCCCGATCAAAACCGCTCGAGATGAAAAAGGTGCCAGCCTTCTTGGGCAGTTGGGCACCCTTCTCGTCCTGCCCCGGCGGGGTGCCGAGGAGGGGGTCGTCCAGGCCTTTGAACCATCGCATATCGGACACAGCGCTGTTGTGTGCTCCGATACCTCCTGTCCTTTGCACCTTTCGAACATCCCAGCACTTGATCCATCCATCGGCCGAGCCGGACAGGACTCGGTGTCCATCGGGACTCCAATCCAACGCGTGTATCGGTTTGATGTGTCCATCCAAATGCCCATCGAGAATCATGACTGTCCGCCCTGATCGTAAATCCCATATCCTGCCAATGCTGTCCAAGCCTGCGCTGGCGAGGAGGGAGCCATCCGTGTTAAAGGCAACGGAATAGACACCGCGAGAGTGGCCCTCTTGTAGCAGGAGCTCTGCACTCGTCTCCACGTCCCAAAGACGCCATGAAGTATCTTCCGACGCAGATGCCAGGTACCGGCCAGATGGATGGAACTCTACTCGGCAAACTCGCTGCGCGTGTCCCTTGAAGGTGGAGATGGGGGTGTCTTGGTTCAATGACCAAAGATGTACCAGTCCCTCGGCACCACCCGAAGCAAGATTGACTGAATCTGGGGAGACGCCGCTCTCCGGCAAAGTGGCCCCGGGATACCACGAAATTCCGCTGATCTTGTTGGTATGGCCACGGAAGCTCATCTTTTCTGTAAGGTTCTCTGTGTCGATGAGCTTCACTTGACCACCCCAGTTGCCCACAGCAATCAGCTCCCCGTTGGGCGAGAATCTGGTCATGCTGATATGCCTCTCGCCAATGGTCTGACTTCCTTGCAGCTCAAAGGCCTGCAACCTCTCCTTGATTTGCTTCCGGAACTTGACATGCGTCCGCAGGGGTATTGTAGACTCGGCCTTTTGAAAAGCTGTCCTTCGCTTTGCCCGCGGCAGGGAATACTCTGCTATGTTAATGCGAGCCTTTAGTAGCTCGGGCCCTCCTCTTGAGTAAAACTCCTCTTCTTGCTCTTCCTCTTCTGCGTCCTCGGTTGCATCCTCCATGGTGATGTCGCCGCTCTCGAGCCCAGCCATCTCCGCCTGAATCGTCAGGAGCTCTCGCAGTCGGTCTCGGCGATCGGCTGGCCCTTCGCCGAACAGGGTGATGGGCTCGCCCATCTCTCGCAGCTTGGCACGAACTCTTCCATCGTCGGTCGGGACAGCAATCGTGGCAGCGAGTCGTTTTCGGTTGAATTGGTTGAGGATGGCGGATGCCTTCTCTGGCGGGGCGCCGTCGCCCATGTTCATTTCGTAGTCATGGTCTTCTGGAACGTCTTCCAGAGCGATTCCCGAGGGCTGCTGCTCCGCGTCCTCCACGTATGCTTGTCGTGATGGGTGCATCATCTTGTCGAGAATGGTTGAGGGAGGTGGAGGTGAGAGATGTCGTAGGCAGAAGAGTGGTCTTCGTGAGAGCCGAGCGAGATGATCTCGTAAGGCCTGTGAAGAAATACAGAGTAGGTTCAAGTGAAGACGTGGACTCTAGGGAAGAAAGGACAATCAGATGAGCCAAGAACAGCAAGGTAGCATAAGACGAGTGCCTGCCAATTTGCGACAACAGCGCGACTCCGTGTCTTATCACCAATTCAGGGTTCAACAGTGCATCAGTTTGAAGGCGAGGCTGCCAACCGATCTGCAGGCAAGCTTTTGGAGCTTTGAATTTTGAGCCTGCCGTTCATTGGCGGGTCAATATTAGGTAAGCGGGTGAATGGTTTCTCGTACTAGCAGACATTCAACAAGCAAGCAAACAACAGAAGAATTCCTATACCGCTGTTGAGTTCATATAAGATTTCGTTTACTAGCTGGTATAATAGATTGAAGAGAGAACAGCCACTTTTGAGACTCATTTCATGGGGTCCACGCAGCCTACGTACAGAAGAATGTAGACACAAAGATATTTACTTATCCCCATGTGCCAGGTTTAGTTTAGTAATACTTGAACTCCCTTGCGAAGTTTCGGGTAAGATACCTACTGACGTCCAACTCGTCAAGAGATCCAAATCGATGACCCCAGGGGAACAGGATATTCGAAAACAAATCCGGCTCGATGACATGAAATAGATCCTTTGAGTGGTTTCTCTTCCCGGTAGTACATACATCAGTAGTGAAGGCCGTCGCTAGCCGTGCCTTGCGTGCCTACCTGGGTATGCACTGATATCAAAATGCAGTTCGATTATCCAGGGCCACTCGTGACGGCACCTGTTCGCCACCAGTGGACAGATGCAGCAAGTCGGACCTCTCCCAAGTCGTATTGCAGACGGGGCTTTGCAAAGTATGCGCGCTGTGAACTAAGCAGGCTCTATTAGGACAGCGATTTCCTGCATGGCATTTCCACTGGATGAACGACACTGGAAGACGGGTACTTAGTATCTGCAAGTACGAAAAGACAAAGAGGAAAAGGCACAGACGCCCCGTCGAAGAAGCTCAGAAGCACTGAATCATGCCCATGCTGGCGATGGCTGGAAGAGGACACGCCGGAGTGGCCGCTGACATTCCTGGCCACCTGGGCTGCCAACCAAGCATGCATGGCATGTGCAAGACGCTGGGCCAATTGCAGCCCTGGAAAGTCGACGGCGACGATGCGAGAATGCCGGGATTGCAGGTTCCCCTGCGTTTATGCCGGAGCGCCAGAGCAGCTGACGGGTCTATCACTGAGTGATTCATACACGTCACGAAGTGGCTGCTTTCGCTTCCACTCATGACGGTCACGTCTCACTTTTTGGCGGTCTTCCATTTCCCAATTTTTCCGTGATCGTGATCCGGGGCAATCGTACGATGGATCTCTGGGGTGCAATTTGTTTCCAACTTTTTTTTTCCTCAGCCCTCTTTTCCTCTGTGGGGAGCAGCCCAAACTTTGCCCGAACAAGGTTTAGCGGCCGCTGGCGCCCCCGGCTCTGCGCTGACATGCGCTGTGCGAAATAGCTTTTGCCCAGTAAAGTCTGCGGTACGAGAGCGCTGAATCCGCTGAGTCCCGCGACCAGCTCCCTGGCGCGCAGGGTGTACAGGGGTTGTAAGGGCTCGAGTGAGCAGCAGGTGAGGCTGCCTGCAGGCCAAGCCCGGGCCGTGGGAAAAAAGTTCACTTTTTTGCCCTCTGGTGGTCAATTAATTACCACCCTTACTAAAAATATTTCCGCCTGTGGGATTGGCCGGCCGCCTGCCTCTTCTGCTACTTCCTTCCTTGCTTTCCCTTCGCTTCCCTTCCTTCTTTTGTTCTTCCTCCTCACACCTTTTGGTGAAACAAACGCAGTCTTTCCACTCCTTCACACTCTTCCCTTGGAAACGGTTACTCACAAATGCATATACAAGACGTCTCTGATCTGCCCTCGTCCTTCTTCAGGTACCAGATGCGTGTATCGAGCCGCCGCCTTGAGTCTCAGCGTCAAACCGAATCCGCGCAGCGAGTAGATCCGGAGCGCCGCCGTGGCACGCCTTGAAAGCAGCGAGTTTGGCGACACGGGAGTTTCCAGGCTCCTGGCTGTCGCTTGTTTATTTCGTTGAGACTGCAGGTCTAGATAGATACAGTGAGCTGTATCCCCCGTCATCATGATCAAGAAAGCATCGGGCTCTCAGCCGGTGGTGGCGCGGTCCACTGTACGTGGCTTTCAGGTGACCCCGGTGGCATCTGGCGATGAAGATTCCGACAATGGTATTTGTGACACGCCTCGTCTTTCGGGCCCTCGTGGTCGTTCGCGCATCGACGACGTTGTGAGCGCCAACTGCAGCCCCGTTCTGCGCAGCACAGCTTCGCCGAGGATGTCGGGAATCGCCAAACTGCGGCTGCAGATGGAGCCTCTGAGCCTTGATCCGGCATCGCGCTCCTCGTCCATGTCTCGAAGTGGCACCCGCCTGCATTCTCAGACCAGCTATGAAGATATGAGCCGCTCCCAGAGCCGGGACGGGAGTCGAAGTGAAACTGGCAGCGACCTTTCTGATGGCGGATCGATGAGTTACGAGGTCAACCTGGAGAATGACTTTGTCAGTGAAAGCGTGCGCGGCAGGTCGTTTATGGAACCCCTGGAGGGCGGGCTCAACCCGAGACGTAAGATGACGTCGGATGATTTCGAGCCGCTGCGATGCCTTGGCAAAGGGACTTACGGCACGGTTGTGTTGGTGAAGCAACGCACCACTGGAAAGCTCTACGCCCAGAAGCAGTTCAAGAAGGCCTCTCTGGTCGTCCACAAGAAGCTGGTTGAACAGACCAAGACCGAGCGGCAAATTCTGGAATCGGTGAACCGACACCCCTTTGTCGTCAAGCTCTTTTATGCTTTCCAAGACCAAGAAAAGCTCTATCTGATTTTGGAGTACGGACAGGGAGGAGAGCTGTTCACCCATCTCAACACGGAGAAGATGTTTTCCGAACCGGTGGCTGCCTTCTACATGGCTGAAATGCTTCTGGCCATTTCCCACCTACACGATACCCTGGGCGTGGTGTACCGTGACCTCAAGCCCGAGAATTGTCTTCTCGATGCAGAGGGCCACCTTCTGTTGACGGATTTTGGGCTATCCAAGGTGGCAGTCGACCAGTCGGAAGACAGCTGCAACTCCATCTTGGGAACAGTCGAGTACATGGCACCCGAGGTTATTCAGGGGAAGAAGTACGGCAAGGCCGTGGACTGGTGGTCGTTTGGAGCTCTCGCATACGACCTGATGACGGGAAACCCTCCTTTTAGGGGGGGAAACCACGCCAAGATCCAGGAGAACATTGTCAAGCAGAAGCTCGTGCTGCCGTACTACCTCAGCCTGGATGCCAAAGATCTTCTCACCCGGCTCCTGAGGAAGGATCCCAACAAGCGGCTGGGAGCTGTGATGCCTAAGGATATGCAGACGATGAAGAAGCATCGGTTCTTCCGCAAGATTGACTGGAAGAAGTTGGCCGCACGAGAGATGGAGCCCCCCATTCAGCCCATGATCACAGATCCCGAGCTGGCAGAGAACTTTGCACCGGAGTTCACGGAGCTTTCACTGAGCCCTACCGTGTCGTCGAGGGACTTTTGGCCAGCCAGCCCGCCCAAAGACGATCCATTTGGCGGATTCAGCTTTGTGGCGTCGTCAAGCCTGCTTGAGAGCGGGGGTTACTTGACAAGTCGTTGAAATAGACTAGAGACAATGCCGGGCAAGCATAAGCATGAACAATTGGACCGGCGTTCATCGGAGGAGGGGCTTCTCGAAGAGTAGGATAGACCGCATCGTCTAGATACATCTTTCAGGGAGAGAGACTAGAGTTATTGACCTACCAGGTAGCTAGTATTGTTTCCACAGCTTACAGCTCGGATAGATGACAATGGAGTTCTGGGAGTTATCGTTTCTTCGCACGCAGCGATTATGCTTCATCTTGATGAACCTGGGTCTTGATGTCTGTACGGCCGATGTATGACGGTCCTAAGTAGGTCGGCGACAGTAGCACTTGGTAGGACTATTCTTAGGTGCCTAAGGCACTGGCAGACAGAGGAGACGACGTTATCCCGAGGTAGTAGTTGCATCGACAGTCGGCTTCGGGACAGTTGATGGCTTGCCTTCCATTTACGCAAGCTCTCGTGGCTGAGACTTTGGAAACCGCCATTGTGATGATCCTTCAGCAAAGGTAGACGGAGCAACTACCAACTCGAAACAATCTAGTGTTTTGTTCAATTCCAGATGGAATTATTGTAGGTCAGATCGGAGATGATGATACACGCCCCCTCCCCCCCCCGCGGAAACGGACACCCAGGCATCATCTTGTTCGGTGATAAGCAGCTGGCGGAACTCCGAACTTGGGGCATTGATGCGTCACCGGGGCCGCTGTTCGAATAGCCGTAGGAAGACAAGGATCTTGAACGAGTCCAGATATAGTCGGTAGTACTATCGTGCTGCCAAGGTCCCTATGGGGGATGCATGGTTGTCGTGTTGGGTTGATTCGTTGTGGGATGACAACATCGATGCTTTTCTAAGTGGGAATTATTGGTGTAATGAGTGGCCATTGACACGCTGGCAACTTTCAAACGGAAAGTCCATCAATTGCAAAGGTACCCAGCTGTGATGTTTTCATGTTGGGTTCAAATGCTCGTACTGCTGTAAAAGGCAATGGGAACTACCTTAATACATGTAAATTGTAGACACATCGTGACGGGCAAGAGCTGAGGATTCCAACAGCGGCAAGTGCAATCTCGAGACGGATTACTAACCACACCGAAGCTCTGAAACTTGCTCTTATCAAGAAAGACAACAATCACCTGATTTCCCTCGACTCAAGGCTTGATCTTGACATCCTCACCAGTCGCATCCTCATGGCCTGCCCACCACTCTGCATCACGGGAAAGCCACCAGGCCTGAGCTTACCGTATCGGGCATCATGGTCAGCGCGGGATGGCGCCGCTCAGCAGCAGGCAAAGAGGCAGTGCTGCGGTAAAGCAAAAGAAGCTTTCGAGGTGCCCGTCTCTTAGTTGAACTACAACAGGAACCGGAGGCGTGACGAGAGACGGCCCATATCAGTGGCTGGAGAGCTTAACCAGAGTCACTTACGGGAAGCTACAGCGCTTCGATGCTTCTCGTATTTATCGACAACTATCCATGATTCAACACTCGGGAAGCGAGATGGAGACACTATCCAGGGGCTGGATTGAATCTGCATCTGACTGAGAACCAAAATCTGGAGTCTAGATGTTGGTCCGGCTCGGAGAGTTAGATCCTCCGGCGGTCCAAAATATCCATGGCAGTCAGCACCCAAAGACGCCGTGGCAGGTAAGGTATTTGAGATTCTATCTGGGTCTATCTCACCAACAAGCCATGACCCAGTCAGGGTGGCCGCCAGGCCAGGGACGACTGGAGCACAAATTGCAGCAAACCACACGAGAGACTATAGTTGCACGAAGCAGAAACGCGCCACGCCGCTAGCTGCTGCCCTGCGCCTCGCTTGAGACAACACGATTTGCACTCTGGTTGCTCTACCGAGATATCCAACAGGCTTTGCTCCTTGTTGTTGTCATCACTTGCGTTGTCAGCATGTGCCGTTTCTACCGTCGGTCTGCTTTGTATCGCATGTCGCTGGCAGATCACAGACATGTTGCTCCGCCGCCAGCTTGAGAGAGGGACAGAGGGAGGGCAAGGGGAAAGGACAGAATCGAGAAGCGAGGAAAACGGCGGAAATTGAGGTCGACATGATCAAGCCTTGCATCAATGGCGTTGTCGTGGCCCCCAACGATAGTTTCTGCCGCGGTGGCTTGAGGCGGGAGGGAAACAGGAGCGGACTCGAGACGACAACGACGGGAGGCCTTGACCACGAAACGCGCAAGCCGATGTAGCAGAAACCATGCGCGCCCCTAGCTGCCGTCTCTTCCAACCAGCGTGCCTGATTACATTCGTTTGGATGCCCACTGGCGCCAACAGAAACAGAGCCAAGGCGTTGCCAGTAGTATGTCGCTCTTGTGCAACGCTTTGCATTCTGCTGCTATTACTTCAACAATCCGCCCGCTTGGAACTATAGAGTTGGGGTGCCCCGCTAGGACGCAGCCTCACGATGGACTACTATAAGCCATGTTCCCCTCCACTGCAACCCAACGCTGGCCCGCACTATTTTTTCGAAACAAGAGCTATGACGAGACCTATTCTGCTTGATCTGCGTTTTCAATGCTTTCAGGGGGGCTAGGACGACGATATGTGCCTACATACGAGTACGAAGTACCAGGTAGGCGACTCTCATCACCGTCACCATCACCATCGGTCGTCGAGAGTCCGGGGTCCGGCTTATCTTGTTCCCTGGCCGGACGAATTGGAGTGAGTCTATTTCCAAGACTACGAGCAAGTAGGGCCCATTTGGAGACTGGAGTAAGGCTGGAGCTGCGGTGGCCTTGCTCCAAGCCGTGGCGGAGAGAAAAAATAGAAATAGGCTTACAGGGGGGGATGCATGAATGCCTTTGGATACACACCCCCTTCACCCCTTTGGGATGCCAGGCGAGCCCGAGACATCCCTATCCTGCTCCCAATGAAGACCTCGACCACTCAGATATTAAATGGCCCCCTCCAAGGACGACTCGAAGAGGCTTGTTGAGGAACAGCAACTAGTGGCATCCATCTTTCGGCGGGCGTTACAAGCAGTATAAGCTTGCACGATCCCCGTTGCAACCTACTTCGATTGATTCATTTGTCTATACATTGTTATCCTCTATATACAAACAGAAACCGAAACGCAGAGAGACGAATCTACACGCGTGTCCCGGCATTCATCATGAGGTTCTCTCAAAGTACGGCCGTGGCTGCCGCCGCTCTCTGTAAGTTCTCAAATATCTGATTGCTGCGTCTGACTATTCCCTTGACTGACATGATACAATCAAGACGCCGGTGTTGCTTCGGCGGCCACTGCCTCCTTCTGTCCCAACGACGGCGTGTGCTTCGAATGGGGAGTCCCTGAGGCCTCGGCTAAGGCGGGCTCCGGCGATATCTTCTTCCAGCTCAAGGCTCCCACATCATGGCAATGGATCGGTCTCGGCATCGGCACTCAGATGGTTGGCTCGCAAATGTTCATCATGTACCAGGACGGCAAGGGGAACGTGACGCTCAGCACAAGGCCGGGCGCCAACCATGTCATGCCGACTTACAAGGCGAGAAACGATGTCGAGCTGCTGGCCGGCTCCGGTGTGGTTGACGGCAACATGGTTGCCAATGTCAGATGCGGCAACTGCACCAACCTCGATCTCTCGGGCAAGTCGAACTGGATCTCTGCTTGGAAGTCGGGAGATGCCCTGGACTCGACGAACCCTGCGGCGGTTATCACGCAGCACGACAGCATGACGCAGTTCCAGGTCAACTTGGCCCAGGCCAGCATCAGCTCCGACGCGAACCCCTTTGACGGATCCAGCAGCGACAGCAGTAGCAGCTCTGGCGATGACGGCGGCAACAACTCCAGCAGCTCTGGCGATGGTGATGGCGATGGTGATAGTGCTGTTTCCGGTGTCAGCGATGGCTCATCGAACCAAACCCTGGTCAACGCCCATGGCATCCTCATGTCGGTCATCTTCGTCATCATGTATCCGCTTGGCTCGAGCTTGATGCCGCTGATCGGAAAGTGGTATATCCACGCATCGTGGCAGACGATTGCTTTCCTGGGCATGTGGGCTGGACTTGGACTTGGTGTCACTATTGCCAAACGCGAGAATGAAGTACGTCCCGTCTCTGCCCTTCCGTTCACTGAAACAATTCACCAATACTGACAATGATGCTGTTCCAGTTCTTTGACCAGCCTCACTCTCGACTCGGCGTCATCCTCGTCGCTCTCATCAGCCTTCAGCCCGTCTTTGGCTTGATCCACCACATCAACTATCTCAAGACGCAACGCCGCGGAATCTTTGGCCACTTGCACTGCTGGTATGGGCGTGCCCTCATGATCATCGGTATTGTCAACGGCGGTCTCGGCCTGCAGCTCGGCAACGTCGCGACACGCTACATCATTGCTTACTCTGTCGTTGCCGGAGTCACCACGCTGTTCTACTTGGCCTCCATTGCTTTTGGCTGGACCCGAACGAGGAGGAACCAGAACCAGTCGAAACAGGTCGAGCAATCCTCGTAAGGAGGGCTCAGGTAGGGAGAGGGAATGGATGCTCCCTGGAGAAGAAAAGCGTCTCGAGAAGGGGCACTTGATGCCATAGTAATTATACCCACATGCAGATTGGCTTTACACACACATGAATTGGCATACGTACAGCATGTACGTCGGCGTTTTTGAGGAATATTTTGGCTTGCGAGAGTCTGTCATTTCGAAAAGAAGGCAATTGGGATTGGGACTTGGCTTGTGGATTACATGTATGTAGGGATGTGCAAGCTATTGCCATGTTTGCTCGGGAACTTGTCGGTTTACGGTGTATTACAAAGAAGAATCGTTCCTTTTCTTCGCGTTGAATAGCTGATGAGCAATCGACTCGTCTCGCCCTACATGTTGTTCGAGGGCGCAGCGTTGCTATTGATACTGCAAATCAGCGTCTTCCGCCCTGCATGATGCTTCATATCCAGTGACACAAGCAAGTTGAAGACTGACGTCGCGACTTCTCCCGAGTCACGTGCACCTCTCCCTCTTCCCAACTGGAAGCTCCCCCAGCCTCTGTAATTCCAGCGGGCGAGGGCACTGTAGAAGCAAAACTGCCCCTAGAAATACAGTGGGAAACAGCAGCCCGCGTACAGTACAGCTACTCAATTACAGCACCACTTGCAAGGGGCGGCACCAATGGAAAGGGTCCGCAATTTTTTTTCTGGAGAGGCGCCGCTTCCAGCTGTCGGTCGGCATCACGGTTTTCACGAAAAACCTCTCAAAAGCCAAGCTCTTCTCTTTCTCTCCTCTCTTCCCGCCGCCGCCGTCCGCCCTGTTTTTTCCTCCCCGCCAATTGAGCACCCGATTCTCCCGCTCCGCTCTGCAATCCCCTCCCCAAATTCAAGATGCTCAGCCAACTCTCTCGGGCCTCTGTAAGTTTTTTGATCTTCTCCTTTTTTGTTGCTTTGTTGGCGGCGTGTCATCGCACTTCTAGCCTTCCTAGTGGGAAAAAACGAGAGGAGTTTTTTTTCCCGTTCGTCCACGTCGTGTGTTATCGTCACTTTGGGGTTCCCACCCCCCGCATGATGATGATGCGCTGGCTCGGCATGTGTGCTGCTTTTAATTAAAGAGCATTTGACTTGACTTTCGGCCTGACTTGGCGTTTTGGACTTCTTCTGATCTGATTGCTGACTTGTTTGTTCCATTTGTAGCGCGCTGTTGCTGCTCGCGCCGCCAAAGCAAATGCCGTCCAGGTGAGGGGCTTCATTGCCCCTACCGTCTCCCGACGAGGTACGAAAAAAATGAAAGGCGCCATGTCTTTCTCCTGAGTGTTTCTTCGACTCCCTTGTTCATCTTCTTTCGGCCGATGCGATCCTCTACATGATTTCCCGTGTCACGGTTTGCTTCGTTTCTGTTCGAATCGTCGACAAGTGCGACATCGCCTTGGTCTCGAATTTCTACGCCCTTCCAGATATAGCCGATACCTCCGATCGATACCACCGTTATACATCAGGCCACCTTGTTGCAAGACTCCCAACATCAATTTGCCTCGGCTTCGACGGATTCGACACGAGGCTATCCCGCGCAACAAGTGTTGCGCTATTTCCCGCTGCACTTTTACTCCGACCAAGCTACACTGCCTTGATGCGCCATAACTCGAAGACGTCAATCCCCGACATTTGTCACTAACACCTTTCCCTTATTTTAGCCGACTTCGTCCAGGAGCTGTACCTCAAGGAGCTCAAGGCCTACAAGACCCCCGCCGTCAAGGAGTCCGACGCCGAGGGCCAGGTCCAGGTCTTCACCATGCCCAAGACCCCCGCCTCCCCCGAGGAGGCCAACCTCGCCGACAGCCTCAAGGCGTACGAGTCCATGGCCGTTGAGATCGAGGGTCAGGACGCCTCCGCCCAGACTTCCGCCGGCGTCGCCCAGCTGCCTGACTGGCTCGAGGCCGAGGAGGAGGAGGAGCCCCACCACTAGAGGACCGAAAAAAGACCGCGCTCTTGATTTGAAATAAAGAAGAGGAGTTTTTGTCACTTTTGGTACGATAGAGGAGGGAGGTGAAGAGGAGAAAGGGTAAGCGAGGGAATGGAAGCCGTCAGTGTACGAGCACGCTTGAGGCTCCAAACGGACTTGAGATACGAAGGGGCGGAGGATGGAAAAAAGAAGCAGAGGAGACAGAAGACGAAGCGCCAAGAAGGGAGGAGGCTAGTTGCAGGCATAACCGGGCACTCTGCAAGTTCCTGAGCCAGGCTTCTTGGGTTGCTGGCCAGACAAACGAGGATGCCGGTTCTATGCCAGAAAGAGGGGACAACTTCTAATGAATGTCCCATTGTACAATTTTACACTTTTTTTTTGCTCTCAAAACAGCCCTCGATTTCAGCCGTAGGATCATTGTCTTGAAAGGCCAATATCAGTTCAAGAGGTGCATCCATCTCGAGTACCTAGTGACGCAACTCTTGTTATTATCACTCTCGGACCAGCAAGAGCTCATACTTGCCAAGTCAAAATGCACTTCTGGACAACTTCAGTTCATTACCTCGGCAACAGATTATCATCTCATTATATCCCGTCGTATGCTCATCACACCTAAGATCAAATATAACCCTTTTCCAACCATTATTCACCCTACTGGTTTTGCGTGTCCATTCTTTCGAGCCCTCAACCCCCATCAAATTATATGCTGCCACAGCCCGACTTTCACCGTATACCAATCAATACCAGGCAATGCAAACTGCAATTGCCCGCATGGAGTCAAAAAGGATGAACGGAACGGCATGGATCCTGCACAAACAACAGACTCAAGGTGGAACCAGAAGTATGTCCTTATATGCTTTTGTTCTTTTTCCTTTCTGTCCAATGGTTCCGTTTTTGTTACATCGTATGAAGTCTTCTCTCTCTCTCATGCCATATTCTCATCTTCTCTCAATTTGTGGAATCTGTATCGGACTTGCCCACATTGTGCGAGCAGTCGGATACTCTTGCATCTAATTCCAATCATCGTCATCATCATACATCCTCAGCTCAGCCTGAACTCCAGGATCCTTTCCCGCACATGGCTAGAGAAACAAAACACAAAATGCAAGAAAAAAATCAAACCCAACCGACCCTTGATGCAGTTCATGTCATGATTAACCATTCGTATCAACATCGTCGTGGTTGCTTCGGGATATCAACTTTCTTTTTTTCTTCAGGTACACAAGAGACCTGCATTGCCATGACACGAGAACAAAATCAAGGGGGAAATAGTATAAACAAACGCCATGCAGCCAGCCCCTATTCACTCTCCATATGCCTTAGCCAATAATATCATCCATTATGGGTCAAAATGCGAGCCTCCAACCATTTGCTCGTCGTGTCCAGACTTCAAGACGCCGCTCATCCTGTTGGATTTTCTGGGATCGATATCATCAAGATTGTCCCAGTCGTCGTCACCATTGGCGTGAGCGTCATCCATATCCTCGTCGTCCACCCTCGAAGAGTCGCGCATGTGGTCGTCCAGCGCGCTCTCATCAACGTACGTGAAGCCGTGGAAGTTGGCTTGCACCGACGGTGAGAGAGGGGTAGATGCAGCGTAGCCTCTAGCCAGCGCCGCTGCCCGCTCGTTGAGAGAGCCGTTCTGATCCAGCGCCGTGGTGAACTCCGGGTCAAAGTATGACACATCGGTTGCCGACTTCAACTTGGGCTTGAAGGGTGGCGAGATGAGCTTCTTGGCCAGGAGGTTCCAGTCAATGTCGTTGAAGAAGGGGTGGCGTTTCAGCTCTTCGGCATCGTCCGTCGCTCCTAGTCTGTGTTTGGGATTCCTGTTAAGCAACCCCTTGACAAAGTTGCGGCCCTCCTGAGAGAGGGTGTCACGCGGGAACCGAACCTTGCCAAAGGCAATGTTCTTGTACATCTGCTGTGTGTCCTCAGCGTAGAAGGGGCTCCATCCGCAGCACATCTCGAATACCAAGACGCCCAGCGACCAAAAGTCCACCATCTTGGTGTATCCGGACTCGTCGAGAAGAACCTCGGGCGCGAGATACTCCGTGGTTCCGCAAAAGGTATTGGTGGTGTCGTTCTTTGTCAAGTTCGCCTTGGACAGCCCAAAGTCGCAGAGGGCAATGTGGCCGTTGGCGTCCAGGAGAATGTTCTCGGGCTTGAGATCTCGGTAGACGATGTCGTTGTTGTGGAGATGCTGGATTGCGAGGATGAGCTCGGCAATGTAGAACTTGGCTCGCTTCTCGTCGAATCGGCCTTCCTTCTGGAGATGCCAAAACAGCTCTCCACCAGACATGTAGTCTGTCACCAGGTACAGCTCAGAGGGGGTTTGGAACGAGAATTTGAGCCCGACGATAAAGGGTGAATCCGACGTGGCCGTGCGCACAAGAATGTTGCGCTCGCCTACGGTGTGTGCCACTTCCTTCTTCTGAACAATCACCTTCTTCTGCAGGACCTTCATGGCATAGATTCGCCCTGTATCCTTCTTCCGAACTTGGTACACTTGGCCAAATGTGCCCTTGCCGATGAGCTTGAGGATCTCAAAGTCGCTGGGGCCGAAGTGCTTCCGTTCCGTCTTCTGATAGGTAATCTCGACGTATATCTCGCCGGTGGGAATGTTGTCGACAGTCGTGTTGGCGTGTCCTTGCAACGCAAACCACCCCTTAACAGGGCCGTCCTTCTTTGCCTCAATATTGAGATGACCCAGGAATTCATCCCCGTTCGCGGCGCGGTCATAGACTGAAATGTCTACCAGCATATCCGAGTCGACAACATCGCTATTTTTTGGTCAGCGTCACTTCTACCTGGTAACGGGGTAGCCACGGGCAACTCACAAGACTGCTTCTGCGTCCCACTTAGGGTTCGAGTAGAGGGTCTTCGTGTTCCGGTTGCGGAACGTGTTGTAGTCGCTGATGCTGGTGTTGCTGCTCTGGCGGCTGCGCATCGGAATCGCCATGGGCCTGCCAGAATCGCTGACCTGACGCTTCATGGGGATCGCGCCAAGGCCAGACGGTGTTCCTACGGCATGCTCCTCCTCCTCGATCTCATGCGGACCATCAGAGATGAGCTCACTCCGCTGGAAAACAGCGACGACATAGGGGTCGCGGCTCTTGCGAATACCCCGCGCCTCGACGATCTTGATGGTCAGCCTCCCCTTGGCAGACGAGGATTGAGAGCCAGAGTTCTTGGGGGTTTGGGTGCCGCTGCTCGTCTCTGCCCCATCGTTGCTGGTTGCATCATTGCTGGCTGCATCGTTGCTGGCTCCATTGGGAGTAGTCTCCCTGGCCTCTGCGGTTGAATTGGCCGTGGAGAGGGCTCTGGTAGGGGTAGGCGGGCCGCTCTTGAAGATGAAAGCACGAGTTAGCTCTTTCAGTCCTTGAAGCGAAAACCATTTGGCTAAGGCCGTGACAGGTCCTGCCGCATGTTGCGAATAGACAGGGTTAGAGGAAAGCATGTGAGCTTCTGCATGGGATTTGGTATAGGGAATTGGTGCAGCGGTGGTCTCCGACAAAGAGAGTGTAGGTGCTTGGGCAGTAGCTTCACAAGCCTGTAGATCCAGGGACTTTGCAAGTTCGGGTTCTGAGCGACTGGAAGTGCATGAAGAACTGGCACTGCTAGTCCCGCGATCTGGAGAAAAGATTCCATCTGGAGGTACAGATCTCGTGGAGGAGGAGGAAGAGGAATGTGATGTGGCGGGGGGTAGGTAAGAATTTGTTGATCCAATGAGTCGTTCCTGGCTAGCGCGCGGGCGGATAGTCAGGAACCGACTTTCGGTGGGCAGTGACTGTTTGCAAGGCTGAGAGGTTCCGGCATGCTCGGGCGACTCCCACTCTGTGGACGAGCAGTCCAGCAACTGCTGGTCTTGCGTCGGGCCCGAGAACACGCCTCTCTCTGATTCTGATGACATTGTAGAAAAGCCCTCGTGGCTTGCAGCGAGGTCTGGACGAACCTGGGCAAAGTAGCTCGTGATTCCGGGCAGGCGTTTATCTTGAGGGTCGGGATGAGGAGTGGCTACGCCAGACCGAGGGGTCTCGAAGCCGATATGGTCCGTACCCTCCTCTTCCGTCGCGGCGGATCTGGGTCTGTCAGTACCCTGCATGGCCAAGTCAAAGAAGACAAAGAATAATAAACAAAACAAAGTTTAAACAGAAAGAAAGATAAGAGATTTCGTCAGGCAGAAATACAACAATGGCGCGGGGAAACGATGTTGAAGTGGGAACACTAGCTGATATGGCGGCGGCCCAAGGCGCCAAGCAGAGAGTGGGTGGAAAATGAGGTCGTGATGTGCACTAACTCGATAGGGGGGGAGAAGTGATTATAACGGACGAGGAAAACACGGAGACGGCCGGCCAGACAACCCGGATAGATCCAAGGGCTGAGGAGTCAAAGAGATAGTAGTAGCGGCTTTCCGAGAGCGGATCGGCTGTGCAAACGCCGGGCGCGACAGGCGCGAAGAAAGGGGAATGACGAGATGAAAACTGCTCCGGCGCGGCCATTTAGACGAGTGGGGATATCGAAAACTTGGTCAAGGCTGGGCTGGCAATAGACGGCCCTGCAAAGATGCATGGATATGGCGGGGTTGTGCAGAGGCGGACGGGAAGGAGATGCACTCAAGGGACCAGGCGGCAAAAGGTCCAGATGGCCGACGACAGCTGTCTTTCCCTTGCTCCGGGGCAATATCAAGGCGGCAGGGCCGAGAGCAAGACTCTGATAGTGATGTTGTCTTGAAAGGGGGCCGATCGTTCATGAGTCAGGCTGAACTTGACCAAGCAAAGCGGCCTGGCTGTGTCTGGGTATGTTTTGTCGATGAATGTGCCGGGGTATGACGAGGATGACGCCGTATCAGTAGCCGCAATGGCCAGGGCCAGTCTTGCTTCCAAATGCTTGTGTTTGGTTGGCAAGAGAATTTTTTTTTCTCCCTCTTCGACTGACATGTGCAAGCGCCTTCGGATTGATTGCCCATAAAGAGGAGTAGTTGATAGTAAGCTGTCATGGACACCCCGCCACAGAGAGCCACGCTTGATAAGCGACCAAATGCCGTGGGATGCCGTCTGGTGTTTTCCATCGACCTGCCAAGGGATGCCCAGGCGGAGCGTCACCTGGTGATAGACGCTGCAGGCACCAAAGCAATTGGCTCACGCAGCCGAGCAGCGAGGCATTGTTGACTGGACGCGGGCTGAAGTTGCCTCAGAGGCCGAACGTTGGGCATTGTCGCAAACCAGGCGCCACTTGAGCGCTAGCATCTCCACCGGGTGTCAAGTCGGAGCCATCGTCGTTTCCCCTCTGCCGGGCCAAATGGGCAACAAAGGGAATACGTGAAAGAAACGTGCAAGTGAAACTGCAGAAACTGCAGAGGGCCGTCAAAGAGTTCCTGTGCCGCGCCAAGATAGCCCTCGAAACCAAGAGACAACCCCGTGGTGGCTCGCGAGGCTATCGCGGGCAAGCTGGATAGGTAACAGCCGAAGCCATGGATGATGGCGGGGCCAGGCGGCTTCGCGGAACAAGAGGGAGAGAAAAATTGCAGGAAACGCGGGATAAAAGAGCTAAACAACGTAGAGGAACACAAGGCAAATACCCACGTACTTTGACATCATTGCTTGAGTTGCCCTCCGCAGAAGGTCGAAGCCACCTCCAGCATGTGCGCTTTCAGGGCCAGACATGGTAAAGGACGCGGCGGGGAGGAAACAATTCGGAACCGTATCGTATAATCGCAGGGCAATAGAAAGCGGCGAAGGCGATCTAGGCTACTGGATAAGATAGAAGACGGGCGGGGGAGAAGGACGACAACGAGGCCCGTTTGTAGTCGGAAATGGCGTCGTGCACGCCAAAGGTCGATTCGGTTCGCGGTCGAGGACGTCGACACCGAGCGTGGTGATGCCGCAGGAAAGGGAAAAACAATAACGGATGATGGAAAGGAGCCGCAGCGTAAAAGTTGTGAAGAAGAAGAAGAGAAGAAAAGAAGAAAGTAAAAAAGTAGTACGTTGTTAATGGATGGATGGTCTCTTGGGGCAAAAGTGAGCCCAGACGAAGCAGCAGCTGCTGCTGCAGGGCTTCTGCCTTAGTTTACGTTAGACACCGCCGTGGACGCTGGCAGAAAGGGCCGCTGGAGCTGTCGCAGGGCCCCGTACAGTGCACAGTGTGTGGGCTGCGGGTGGGCCGGTGCTGGCGGAGGGCTTGCGGCGGCGGCTGTAGGGGCTGTAGGGGCTGTAGGGGCTGCACTGTCGGGGCCGTAGGGGTGGAGCGCGCTGTACTTTGGCCCGCTAGCCTCTGTGCCAGCTCCCCTAGCGCCCAGTGCGGCAACGGCAGCAGATGGACTGCCCTGCCCGGCCCATGTGCGTTTTCGTGGCTCAGTCCCCGCCCATTGACGCTGCCAACCTCATCATCAACAAACGTCTCAGCCACTGACAGCCAGGCCGTCATCCACCCATGCCGAGTTTCCACGCGGCGAGCCGGCCATGAACGGGACGAGGCTGCCTTGTACTAGGGATAGGCGAACTACGTAGGTAAGCAAGGAGCAGAGAGCACAGTGACTCGGAGTGATGGCCAGATAGAGCTGGCGATGGCGGCTGATCGAGCGCGATCCTCGAATCTGACTGATGCTTCAAGGTCGAGAGTTACGGAGCACTGGTACCTGTACTTCGTACGACCTTACAGATGATCGTATAATACTCTCCGGAAGCCATTGGATCAGCGAATGACGAGATCCAGCACAGCTGAGACTAGCACCACGACAGCCCGGCAGCTCTCAGCTCCGTAATTCGCGACCGGGATTCATCATTGGCACGGAGTACGACGGCAAGCACAGCAGGTACCGGTTACACGTCGAATGTGATGGGGACTCGGAACTCAGGAACGCATTTAGCCCCAGTCACCAAACGCAACGCTCAGCTCGGCCCCCCTTTGGCTCTGCTGTTTCAGTATTCCAGAGACCAAGGTACTGTATTGGCATCTGCCGGTACAAGTACTCCGTGTGTACGTTTGATAGACGTGGACACCGTGGAAGCGAATAGACTCAGCCAGGCGGTGGCTAAAACTCGACAGGGGCTCTGTTTCCGAGATCTTGGCCCGACCAGCGAATCAAGCATCACCGCCCGTCAACCTTCTGGAGCGTTAATACCGCGTCTCCCGAGACGAGACAAAGGAGGAGGAGCTGCTGCTGCGGTTTGACGCAATATTGTCTTATTCTTCTGACTTCGCTATCCTCTTTTGTACCCCAACGCCGCGGGCCGTTTCCCTGCGTCTGTCGCTTGTGGTGACCGATTTGCCGCTCAGCTGCAACATGAGTGTTATCGAGTCGTGGGCCTGTTTTCTACACCGAGTGGAGATGGCCTCTTGTCACTCCGTGCTCTTTCACGTCCATCAACATGCGCATTCTTGCACATACTGTGAGGCGGGGCTGCAGATATGACCGTCTTCCCCCTACTCCATACCACCAATTCAGGCACACCGTCAATCAGCATCATTGCTCTTTTCCATGGAACCTATCAGGGAGGTTTATTCCGATGACGCTTGGTGCCGATATGTGTACATGCATACATACCTACACAGCTTGGGTGTCTCTTGGTGGCGGTGTGAGTCAAACAAATGGACGGATGCCGTGCTGCTGAGGAGCTGCACCAGTAGTCCCGGCAATCTGGTAATGGTGTCCGAGATCTTAGGGCCAGTCAAAGGCAGGTGCGCATCGAGTCGCGAATCCCGGCCATGGCACAAGCAGACGGAGCACTGCCTCTAATAACAGCATCCGACTTCACCCACCGGCTTGGTCATGGTAAACAAATCATTTGCTGCGAGCTGGGTTGGAGAAGGATGGTAGCATCAAAGCCTTGTTGTCATTTCTTGGTCCATCGAAGCAAGGGAGCAACACGACTTGCTTCATCCATCCCTCCGGCGGCCGTTCATCCAGCGTTTGGTGCACACTGTGTTAGCCGCTTGATCCTCCGTAAGATGAGCCAGTGGCTCCAAAGTATCTATCACATCTCTGGTAAGTTTTTTTGGGGTTTCAGACAGGTCTGCTGGACTCGCCCGGCCAAAACCCCCAACAGCGCAGCCGGTTCAGCCAGCCAGTTGCTCCGATCGACCACTGGTTATTGACGCCGCCTGCTCCAAAGCCGCGAATGGGTGTGCAGCGAATCTGTTTTGTCGGGGGCGAGGGGCACAGGCAATCTACCTTAACTCGAGGAGCACGCTATCGGCTGCCTATTCATAGACGCCTCTCGTGGCTTGTTGTTGTTGGGGTTGATGCAGACACGAGGTATGTGTGCCCTGCAGACGGCCAGGAGCAGATGCAAACGTGAATCTCTGGACGCTATTTGATGGCATCGCGGCTTCACATACCTACATGCCTACTGACACAGTGCGTATGGCATTAAGCATCAAGGCAACGCCTCAATCCCCTCATCTAGGACACAAGTCTTGCCACCGGAGCCGTCGAGTTGCCTGGAATTCATGCTTGGTAATAACATGGCTATTGCCTCTTTGTTTCCTTGTTCCCTTTCACGATTCGCGGGCTGGCTAGGCAGAAAGTTGCTCAACGGCCACTGCCAAGTTGTCTAGGTTGGTCTGGACAGCGCCAGACTCTGGCCAAGGAGAGGAGCGGAAAAGAAAGGCAAGGGAAAAGCTGCATTTGCCACGCCATCCCGCATTGCACGATTGCGCGAGTGCATCATGTACTCCAAGAATGAGGGGAAATCATATCGAGGCAAGGGGACTGGCAAGAGGCTGCGGGCTCAGCCTCGTCTCGCTGCAAATCAGCTGACGTGGGATCGCATCTTGGGAGACTACGTGATGCAGTCTTGGAGGTGATTGTCGTCGAGACGGCCGCCTTTCGTGCTCCATCGCTACAACTACATATTCTGGCGGTGGTCGCATGTGTGCCATTCGAGCAAACGAGTGACGGGCACGACATGAAAATAATGGTAACAGGCACCGAAGAGAATAATGTGGCTCGCACTGTGGCTTCTGCATCGTATCGTATGTACGATATGCTCTCTCTGTAATCGTACTCGTATGCCTCCCTCGCAGGCCAGCAGCAGCAAGCAGGAGGCATTTCTCCCAGTGTGGCTGGAGGGTGGTGGCACTTGAGTTTCCTTTTGGACGTCCATATCAGCAAATCGGAGATACCCTGGCCCAAGTTCGCCGCGTCGTCTTTTCCTGGACAAGCAATGGTGTTATCGACGGCTTCGCCTTTTTGGTATTGCAGAATTTTCTAGTGCCCTTCTAGTCTTCTTGCCGATTCTATTCTTCTTGCTGGAATGGGATCCTGCTTTGCCTGCTTGATAGTAACATAGGCAGGCTTGGAGATTGCCATTCCCGGTCGATGTCTCTGGATATGTGACAACAGGCTGCTTCGCTCTCCTTGACGGGAGACGCGAGTCGGCGGTGTAGTCTAGTACGATAGGTACGTAGACTATCTGTTAACGCTCTCAGCCGATAAAAGGCCATCCATTCTAAGCTACAGTACCTTAGGTAATTCACTCAAATCAGTTACATGGCCAGTACTAGATAACTAAAGACTGAAGAGGGCACTGGACGTTAGGAGAAGCCTGGGTTAATTTAGCGTGACGTGTGTGACAGGCCCTGGGATGCAATTGTGAACCCACCTCTTTCGATGTTGAGGTTGGTGTGGGAGTGACGCTTTAGCATTCAAGGGGCAGCAGGGGCGGGACAATAAGACGGCACAACGGCTGCACCGTTGGTTGTGACGGGCATGCCGAAAGCCTGCTTTTGTTGATTGATTGAAATTCTAGAAAGAAATCTTACCTATTGTTGCATAATGCACTACTGCGACGTGAAGTGAGCGGTGTACTTTCGAGATGCTTCTGACGGCTTGTCGTGATATTGTCATCCATGGATCATACGGTACCTTGGATACCGTGTACGAGGTAGAGGCACGGCATTCGATGAGAGCTCCCCAACGTCACAATTCCGATGGACCGAATATAGATCGAGAAAACCATAACGTCAAAGATCAGATCGTGGTAATAGCCCGTCCGCTAAAAATATGGAAAGGCTACGCGTAATGGACTACAGCTACAGGAACATGCTCAAAGCCCTCCCGCTCCGCCAAACCAGTGGAAACGAAATGGACAACATAGATAGTAGATAACAAATGGGCCAAACAAACAAGCATCACTTTCTCCACCCTCCACTCAAACAATCGTCAGAGCTTCGACTTTCCCCGGTCCTTACGCGCGATGCTGCTCGATAATCTCCAGCCACTTCTTCTCCATCTCTGGCGTCACGTCCTTTGGCCAGAACTGAACGTCTGACGTCTTTCGTGGAACCAAGGGGTCTGCATAGCGGCCTGTGTGTGTGAACGCAGCAAAGGGGTCAGTTAACTGGGAGTATGGATTTTTTGCATGCTCACGTTGTGACATACACGAACGCGCCCTTCTTTGGACAACTTAGATAAGTAGGTAGTAGGGGGATCATATATATATAGTAGTAGCAGGTACTTACCGATGTGGAATTGCTGGTCGAGGAGGCGGCTTTTGATGGCTTCGCCGTCTTCACGAGGCCGTTTGGCCTTTGAGGCTGCTGCGGCGGCGGCGCTCGATGATTCAGCCATGGGGAAGATTGAGCTGGCTTTTTGGCTTTCTGGTTTCTGCGTCACTCTTGGGCTTCTTCCCTGCTCAAACGGGGTTTCATACAATTTTCAAATCAGACGTGTGATTCGGCAAAGTTGAAGCTTGACAGCTTTCCGTGAGATGTTGTATGTACAAGGCGATTGATAATGAAGCTTCGACACGCCAGTGAATCAATTGCGAGAGATGGCAGCCCAAAGGCGCCCCACCGAGAAGATGCTCCCCCGCTTGAAGGGAAGCGGTCCGGGAATCGATACCAGAGGGAAACCTTCAAGACGGCGCAGTTCTTGCATCAATTTGCGCCGGCAGCGGGCCACAGCTTGGGTACTCGTCAGGTACCGCGCATCCCCGAAAAAAAAAAGCACCAGCTAAAACTTGGAAAGCACACACAACATAAATCAACCTCTCGATTGAAGCCACAGCTCGGCCGCCGCAAAAAGCAACCTGCTCTCTCGGAAAATGCAGTCACGGGCACTCGTAGGAAAAGGGCATTAAGGCTGCATAGGTAGGAGCAACACCGAATCTATTCATCAGAACACAACTTGGAGAGGGCTTTGATACAAACAAAAGGCATCGGTATCACCCTCTTTGGGCGTGGTTTTGGGAAGACAGACACGAGGGCGCCATCGTTTATCAATTTGGCCTCCCTTCAGCTTTCAGCATCACCGAGTTCCTCGGAACCGCCCTGCCCAACTCCCTGTCAAAAGCATCATTACATGAAAACAGAGCCCTTCCTCAGAGCCCCTTGTTCAGAATGAGCAAAGCAAGCGGCATCCCCAACGCCTGGGACGACGACGACTGGGAAGCCCAGGCCGACCGCGAACGCACCGAGCGCAAGAACGCAAAAGAGCCGCAACAAGTCGCGCCGCAGCAGACGAGCATGAGCAGACAAGAGCGCCTGCAGCAGCACGCCGAGGCGAACCGGAAACTGTGGGAATCAGCGTATGCAGACAGAAAAGCCGGTGCCGTTACAAGTTTGTTGGGGGAAAGAATCTGTTTGCTGACTTTTTTTTGAAACCCGTTTGGTTGGAAAAATGTAGTGACTCTCCAGAAACGCTGTACCACGTCGAAGCAAGCGGCGGCGTCCCCCTGACGGCGTCCTTCAAGCCCCAGGTCAAGGTCCTCAGCCGCAAGCCCGTCGTCGCCAAGCGGAACCCTGGCGCGGGCGGCGGCGCGTCCCTCAGCGGCGGTGGTGATGGCGACGACGACGACTTGCGGCCGGAGCAGGCGCAGATGACGCCCGAGGAGATCCGCGCGAAGCAGAAGCGCGATCGCGAGGAGAAGCAGCGGCGGTACGACGAGGCGCGGGCCAAGATCTTTGGCGAGTCGGCGCCCTCTTCGAGGGGGTCGTCGCCGGGGACGGGAGGAGGAGCAGGAGGAGGCGCCGTGACGCCGCCGAGGACGGAGGGGAGGGGGGCGTATCGCGGGAGGGGACGGGGACGGGGAGGGAACTTTGGTGGTGGTGGTGGTGGCGGTTATCATGGCGGCATTAACAATAACAGCAGCAACTATAACAGCAGCTACAACAACAACAACAACAATGTGAGCAACACCGAGATCAGCGGGCAGGAGTTTGAGCCGCGGCGGACAACGAACCAGTCGGGCCCGAGGAGAGAGCTCTTCGATCCCAACTCTTCCCAGAAGCCGGATTCGGGCCGACGAGGAGGCCGCGACGGCAGCGGCAGCGACTCTTCGTCCATGCGGGGACAGCAGAGCCGAGACGAACACCAAGCCATTCGAGCGCCCAGAGGACCTGATGGGAGCGGCAGAGGAGGATTCGGCTTTGCACGGCGTGGCACATAAAGAGACTTGAGAGAAAATCACTTCTTGTTTGTTTCTATGTAAAGCTGCCTCACCACCCGCCACCAGCTTTACCAGCCAACTGAGCGGCTCTCTCGGTGGCTGTATCCTTTCCAACATCGCTAATCACCTCACGGAAGCTTGTGAAAGCCAGTCTATCTAGCCCTATACCTGTCATGCCCGACCAGTACGCCAGGGTATCATCTATGTACGAGTGGGAAATGCCTCCAACTACCTTCTCGGCGGTGTGTTGTTCGACCAGCGAATCCTCGCCCGAGAAATATGCCTCATCGATTTCCGCCAACCAGTCTTTTTGTTCTTGGGGGCCTGGCTTCCCCGATATGTTTTTGCGCTCCAGGATCACGGGGTCGTCGACCTTGATCTGACCACCGCCGTTTGTGCAGCCCCCGGGGCAGGCCATGACTTCAACATAGCTATAGTCGTGGGAGGCCGCCTTGCCTGCCGAGCGGCGGGCGCTCCCAAAGGGCTTTCCGCCCGGCATGCGGGACGGGCGAGCCGGCTTCAGACGCCTGACGAGGTTCTGGATATTTCTGAAGCCATAGTACCGAGCGGCCTTGAAAACAGGCTCGCCGTTGACTGTGACAAAATACTCGACGACATCGACGTTGCGGCCGCGGATGACCTGGATCTCTGATCCGGGCGTTTGGGCGGCCTTTGTTTGGAGAATGTGGTGCAACAGCCCGCCAGAAGAACCAGCTACCCGCGGGGGATTTCTTGAGCCCTTGTTTGGGAACAAGAATCCGTGCATCTTCTCATCTGGAAATGGTATTGAGGGCGGAACCGAGGACGCGGATTTTGCAAAGTTGAAGAAGTCCAGTCCCCTTGACTCTGCCAGCATCAGGACTTCTTTGCTGGTGATGACACAGTCGACGTCTCGAATCCCCTTGCCCGGCAAACCTGAGCGCGCCCATACCTCGTCCGTGAGCTCCTCTCGACTAGCCTCGAGCTTCTTGTCGAAACAAGGCATCACAGCCACGTGCCATATCCGACTGGGAGGAATGCCGAGCTTTTTGCTCAGCGTGGTTTTGAGGATGGTGCCCATGAGGGCCTGTGGCGACTTGACCTTGGACAAGTGCGGCAGCACGTACGGGTGCGTCTTTTCCGCATAGCATACCCAGCCGGGACATGACGATGCGAGGATGGGCTGTGAGGGCGTTGCGACGCCTGGGGTCGGCGAGGAGAGAACCTCGGCCGCACCGAGCACGAGCGTCGCATCCCGGGCCACATTGATGTCCACCACCCACTCGAACGAATTGTTCCACTTGCCGGCCTTTGCGAGCCCCTCTGGACCCCGCAGCAGGTTCTCCAGCATATATCCGGCCTGGCTCTCGGACACGCCTCGCCCGCACGCGGCAGCCAGGTTTGCCCTGGTCTGAGAGCTCACGCTGGCAACGAACAGCTTGGCGTCCTCGTTCTCCAGGCCCTCGACGGCGAAATTGCCGCCCGCATCGGGTCCTACGATGCGCAGCGCGGGGGCCGCGTCGAGCGTCGAAATGACTTCCGTGTGGCTCTGCAGGCTGACGAGGATGGCCTCGGCGGACGTGACGCAGCCGGAGCAGGCGAGGCAGTCCGTGAGCGAGATCTGCGCGGGCGAGGCTGCGGCGCCGGACGACGACGCGGAGGGCTGCTGGCCGTCGAGGATGACTTCGTTTTCGTTGCCGGACGGCGGCTGCTGCGGGGGAGCGGCGGGGAGGGTCTCGATGGGCTTGATGCAGGCGACGCCGGGGGATATGAAGTCGTTGAGGTCGTCGGCGGAGAGGATGGCACTCATGGTGCGAGGTTCGAAACGGCAGTGCCGTTTTGCTTTTTGTGCGTCGATGTACAAGGGTATAAAGAGACTTGTATAATGAAACTTGTTTGCTGTTTTTTGAATCTCAAGTGATATGTTTTGGTTTGCTGATTTGATATGAAGTTGTATGTGGTGCGTTGAGTGTATGGATTGCGCTAGGCAGGTAGTTTTACGGTTTGATGTCGGAGAGAGTGGCGAGTTGTGCAAGATTTCCGGCTGTGGCGCATCGAATTGATAAGCACGTGCTAAAAAGTATAGAGCTGGGTCCTAACCTACCTACCAAAGATCCAGAAAACTCTAGAGAATAAAGGCAAGATGTATATATATTTCGACAGGAGGTGAGGAAAATAGAGCTCTAGGTCAAATAAAAAGAGGTATAATAAGAATGGGCGCGCAAATGAAAAGACGAGGATTTCAAATCGTCCGCTTTGTTTGATTTCTGCAAAAGAAAATGCGGCGGGATTGGATGGTGGGATTTAGGAAGATTAAGTGGGGATGCATGCGAAATCGGCGGCAGCTTTGAAGCTTACCTTAGGGGAATAGGTAGGTACATACGGCTATTCCATTACCTACTAGGTACCTTAAGAGATAGAAGAGAGAGGTTCTGAGTTGCCTCTTCCTACCTAGTAGTTGTATTTCCATGGGAGACTTGAAACTGTTGTTCATCATGACGGGGAGAAAAGACACCTACATTATGGCTTGATGCAGACAAGATGGCTTTCGAGCTTGAGTGGTTCGAAGCAGTTTTGAAGAGAAACGAGGAGTGTGTCCCAAGTTGCTACGCCTCGTCAATGCAGGATAGATCAAACATATGAAAGATTGAAAGGGGAGAGTCACATTGAATGCGTATGAGCCCTGAACCGTCTTTATATTCGTTTCGTTGCACTAATCTTACATCATTCAAGACAAAAAAACATGGCAAAAGGCATTCCCTTTCCCGCGTTCCCTCCTAACAGCAAGCTCCGACTTTTCCTTCTTCAAGCCGCTCGAGAGCGTTGGGGAGACGTAGGTAAATGAAAAGAAGAAAAAGAAGACAAGAAGAAAAAGCAAAGAAGCCAAAAGACTGCCGAGGGCAGGCCCCCCTCATGCGCGTCTGATGGTTTGAAAACTCCCAAAACTCCCCGCCGCATGCTCTTCCAAGCCTGTCCATTTTTTTACGCTTCAGAAGCCCTTCCAGCTCCCCATTAGATCCCCTATCCGTCATCATGTACTGTGAAAGCAACGACAGCATGTCGCCAAACGTCACGTTCTCGCGTAGCCTTTATTCCTTCTCCGCCGCCGCGGCAATGGGCTCGTCGCCCGCGCCGCCGCCGCCGCCATTTGTAGCCTCCTCTTCTCTTTCTTCCGTGCTGCTTGGGATCTGCACATCGGCGGCACCCGAGATTATCGCCTGCCGCCGCTCGTGCCAATCGACCTCGCTCTGGATGACTTGCGACAGCAACACCTCCTTGTCGAGCCACTCCTTGTAGTACAGCTCCTCCCACTGCTTGCACTCGTTCCTCAGCGCCTCTCCCACCTCCTCGGCCCACGTCGCCTCCCAGTGACACTTACGCCACAATTTGGGAAGCGGAATCTGCAGTTCTTCCTCCGTAAACAGGTCGGTAGGGAGCACCGTGAAGCACTCTGACGGAGGGATCTCGCCGTTGGCGTCGTCTCCGTCGTCTTGTGCGGATTGCGATTGAGGCGTCTTGATGATGATTTTGAGCTTTCCCGTCCTGCCTGTTGGTCCCGATTGCATGGATTTCGGCACGGGGTCCGATGGCCGCAGCGCTTCTGTTTCGTGGACGGTTCGCATGTGCTTAGCAAGAGCATCTGACCTCGTGAAGGAGCGGTCGCATTCTGTTGAGCAAGAAGAGAGCAATGTCAGTCAAAGCAAAAACGATTATCGCATTTGAGAATCCCTCCAAAGTCCTGCGTTTCATCAAAACGTACCAGGCAGGTAACAGTAAAAAGGCTTCTCTCTCGTGTGGCTCCGCATGTGAGCCTTGAGAGCATAGCCGCTGGCGTGAGGCAGGCCCTTGCGGTTGCAGCTCCGCCACTCGCACGTGTACTTCTTCTGTCGGTTCTCTATATGCGAGTTGTGGATGTGCTCGACCAGCTTGTCCATGTTGCCCTGATCGCCCGCCGGACAGCCGTCCCAGTCGCAGACGGTGACCTGGTCCTGGAAGTCCTCCTCCTCCAGCCGGGCGTTGACGGGCGAGCTGGGGATGTCGCCCGACGTGTCCGACGACACGTCCGACATGCCCTCGAGCGGATCGGGTTCTGGCACGGGCTCGTGCTCGGCGTCGGGGACGACGGCGGACGACGTTGTCGAGCCAGCCTCGACCTTTTGGCGCTTGGACGGCCGCAGCGTCGCCTCGTCGTCGTGGTCGTGGAGGTCTTCCTCGTAGGGTTCTGACGAGTCCATGGCGGACGATAACGGCGAATCTGGCGGCGAGTACGTGGGCGCCATGGTTGGGGGGGTTTTGGAGGGCGCGCGTCGCTCGCTGCGCTTGGGGGGAGGTGATGCAAGTCGCGTAGAGACGCAGAGGGCGAAACCGAGCTGCACAAGGTATTAATTCTCCAGGCGGACGCAACCCAGTGGAAATAGGTGAAAGGATAAAAAAAAAGGAAGAAGGAAAAGAAGTCCAAAGGAGCGCGCGATGCCCCCGCGATGGCGAGGGATCAATTGATGACTGATGCTGGTTGTTGTTTGGGAAAAGAAAAAGTAAGAATGAACGAGCGTCGCCAGCTCCTGCCTGCGTCGTCGGAAAATTGGCTGGGCTGCGCTTCTGCTTGGCTGGGATGCTGATGCTTGGCTGGATCAAGTAAGGGGGCCTTTTTTGCTGCGACAAACGTTGCACAGTGTGAGCCGGACAGCACCGGATCATGGCGATGGCTTCATAGATAGTATGTGTATGACGAAACTGGGCAATGCGGATTCTTCTACATGCGGTTGACTTGCTTTGTCACTTAAATACCATGATAGTTTCCTTACTTATAGATGTTACATCTATTAGTTACGTCCTCCTCGCGATGCATTGGATGATATCAACGTCATAAACTTTTGTTAGTCTTTTTTTATGTACAGCCAGATGCATTTTCAACGCAACCAGCGCCCGATCCGCGCATACGATAGAGGCAGCATATAGAGAAAAATGACCAGCAGTGTAGTATGTCCGGCCCGCAGAAAAAACCAGCAGAATTCGCACACGCTGGCGCCATATCGACAAAGCAGTCAACAAGCCTCAAGACCTGTGACATGTCCACCAAGGGACAAGGGGTATGTGCGCATGTAGATAGGTAGTATGTAGCGGAAAGGTTGAATGAGCTTGTCCCTCTAATTGATTCCCAAGACCTTTCTCCTCTGTTTGACGGCCTCGGCCAGGTTGTCGAGCACCGCTTCGGTATCTGCCCAGTTGATGCATGCATCTGTGATGCTGACGCCGTACTTGAGCCCGGACTTGCCCTCCTCCGGTACCTTTTGGTTGCCTGTCATTCTCCGTTAGCAGATACTCTTAGAAAAGTCATCATGAGTCGTCGCTCACCCTCGTTAATGTTACTCTCAATCATGAGGCCCATGATGGCAGTCTCGCCCTTGGCAACCTGTTCGGCGACGACACTGGCAACCTTGGGCTGGTTCTTGTGATCCTTGAGTGAGTTGCCGTGGCTGCAGTCGATCATCAACCTCGGAGGCGCCCCCTTCTTGTCCAGTGCTGCCTTGGCCTCGGCGATGCTCTGAGGATCGTAGTTTGTGCCCTTGGTGCCGCCGCGCAGGATGACGAAGCAGTCCTCGTTGCCTGTTGTGCCGACAATGGCAACGACGCCAGGCTTGGTGACGGAGAGGAAGTGGTGGGGGTGTCTGACGGCGCCCATGGCATCGATGGCGACGCCGAGCGAACCGTCGGTGCCGTTCTTGAAGCCGACGGGGAAGCTCAGGCCACTGGCCAGCTCACGGTGAAGCTGGCTCTCCGTCGTGCGCGCGCCAATGGCGCCCACGCTCAGCAAGTCGGCCAAGAACTGCGGGGAGATGGTGTCCAGCATCTCGCTCGCAATGGGCATGCCCTTGCTCGTCAGGTCGACAAAGAGCTGGCGCGACAGCCGCAGCCCCTTGTTGATCTTGAAGCTGCCGTCAATGTCCGGGTCGTTGATGAGGCCCTTCCAGCCGACCGTCGTGCGCGGCTTCTCGAGGTACGACCGCATGACGATGAGCAGCTCGTCCTTGTGCTTCTCCTTGGCCTTGAGGAGCAGGTCGCAGTAGGCGAGGGCGGCCTCGGGGTCGTGGATCGAGCAAGGGCCCACAACGATGAGCAGGCGGTGCTTGGGGTCCTTGCCATTGACAATGGCCACGGCCTCGTTGCGGCCGTCGATGACGGTCTTTTTGGACTCGGTGGTTTGGGGGATCTCGTGCTGCAGCAGGTCGGGGGGCGTCAGAGGGTTGTAGCCGCGGACTGGATGGGGCCCAACATGTCAGTAACAAGACGACGGCTTCAGACATTTAGTAGGAGACTTACTGCGCCAATCTTCTGAGTCGGCCTGGTTGCCGACGTTTTTGTTCTCGATGTAGAACTAGAGGGGCAGTCCGGTGAGTCACTCCACTGACAACGGTCGAAAAGCTGGTTTCAAGATCAATTGGAACAGGGCAGACGTACGGTAGACATAGTGAGCAACTGTCTTCAATCTCGAGCTCAAGGGGAAACACCAAGAGAAGGGGTATAGAAAGAAAAAAAATCTGTGCTTTACAGATCGCGAATTGGAGTTTGAAGGGCAAACTTGAAAAAAAGTTGATGGAGGGCTGGGTGACGTCAATAGAAGGCCGTTGGCAAGACTTGGCTTGATTCGGAAGCGGTGCAAGAGATTGATTAATACAAGATGCTTCTCCTCTGTATCCTGCCTCTTCTCTTCTTTCTCTTATTGCCTGAGGGCGATTTGGTAAAGACGGCTGTGTAAGTGGGAAAAAAGTGCATATTGGCCGAGCTTCAGTCCTTTAAAACCAACACATGCATCAATTTCCACATGCATACCTAGGTAGTCTACAACCTTACACTAACACCACCTCCGACGCTCCTCCGTGCCACCACTTACAACTGCAAGACAGGCATCGGTGTTCCCATAATATCATCCCACACGATCCCGCAAGCCAATGGGAAGATCCCCATTGAATGATTTGCCGCTTATTGCTGCTCCCACTAGGTTATAGAGCCCGGGCCCCTTGGAATTACTCACATCGTTTCTCGAAGTCCAAGGGCCGACGTCGGTGGTGCAAAGCGCAAAAAGCTGTCACAGACGTGGAGAATCGGAAACGTCTGATTGGCTTTCTGGGGGGACAGGAGACAGGGATGGCAGAGGGTGGTCTATGTATTATCTCACGCACCATCAGGTCCAGCCTGAGTAATATCGACAAGCTGCAAAATTGTCCTGTGTGACTGGGACGCAGATCGCTGAAATTCAAACTTGTCCAGGGATGAACACGATATCTAGAGACGCACATGCTGCCTGGATATTCTCGTATTATGCCATAACTCGCTCGCTCAGACATTGCCAACCATCAGTTACATGACATCAATGTTGAGGATCTTGATATCTTCTTCCGGCTTCTCCTTATGCGTCCTCGTATTCTCAATCTTGTGAATCACGTCCAAACCCTGCGTCGCTCGTCCGAAAATGGTGTGCTTCCCATCCAGCCAAGGCTTTCAAAACACAACACAGTCAGTATGCAAACTTCATATCGTTCTCGTCAAGTCAAGAGGGAAACAACTCACCGTCTTCTCCGTGGTTATGAAAAACTGGCTGGCGTTCGTATTGGGACCTGCATTCGCCATGCTCACCGTATACGGCTTGTCGTGCTTCAGACTGCTAAACTCGTCCTCAAAGTCGCGCCCCCAGATGCTCTCGCCGCCCGTGCCATCGCCCAGAGGGTCACCGCCCTGTATCATAAACTTTCGAATCACGCGATGGAATATCGTGTTGTTGTAGTAGCCGCGCTTGGCGTGTGTGACGAAATTCTCCACGGCCTTGGGCGCCGCGTCGGGGAAGAGGCGGATGTGGATGTCGCCATAGGTAGTGTGCAGGACGGCGGCGTTTCCAGTCTCTGCCTTCTTGGCCGCCTGCGCTTTGTCTCTTCCTCCCAGCACGGTAGGCTTCTCGTTCTGGACGTCTCGCGTCGACTTGGATATTTCCTCGTCGTTTGTAAACATGTAGAACCGCACCTTGCCCACGCCGGTGGCAACGAGAATCGGATCCCGAGCTTCTGACTCTTGCAACAGAGGGTTGCTCGAAGCACCCATCTCGACGGATACTATGCCCTTCTTCTGGGGTTGGCCTTGGTATATGCCCAGGTTCAAGGCGCGGAAGTTTTCATCCTTGCCGTACACCTTGACAACCTGATTCGTATACGTGTTGAGAACCTTGATTCCCACCATGGAACCGTAGAGGATGAAGTTACCCGACTCATCGAATATGACGTTGGACTTGTTTTTCAAAGTCGGCGACTCAATCTCCCGCTCCTGAGCCAACCGTCTGCCAAACTCCACGCTATCCAGCTTCTGCGCCGCTGTGCCAACTCGTTGCATATCCTCAGCCACTTGCAATGACTCATCGTAGGTCCTGTGCAGCTTGGCCGTCGCAAAGTCGAATATCCGTATTTTGCGGTCGGGCAATGAAAACGCCGCCAGACTCTTGCCGTTGGGCGATATCGTCAGGCACGTGGGCACGGATTTAGCCTTCTTAAAATCGAACAGGTTCGTCGAGCTCTTGTACTCAAAGACGTTGCTCGGTTTCTCATAGTTGCCGCTGGGCTGCCAGTATTCGATCATGCCATTCTCGTCGGCTGAGACGACACAGTCGTACTCGTCATTGAACGTCATCAAATGGACCGGACTCCTGTGCAGGCCCTTGATGGTATGGATAGCGTCCTCCTGCTCACCCCGGCCATCGTAGATGTGTATCAAGGGCTTGGCGTCCTCCGAGACAGCCAGCAGGGGAAACGAAGCCCCCTTCTTGTGCACCCAGCACACGCACTTGGGCACATACTTTAGCGTGATCATGGAAAGCAGGTCAAACGTAAAGACATCAAAGATCTTGATTGTCTCGTCGTCGCCCGCCGTCGCAAAGCTCCGTCCGTCGCGACTCACTGAGACCGACGTGATGGTGCCGTTGTGCGCCTTGAACTGCTTGACAAACTCGATGCCCTTGCCAATCTTCTTCCAGAACTTGACCACGCCATCAGCAGACGACGTGATGAGGAAGTCGGTCAGGGGCGTCCAGGTAGCGAAGAGCACCTGCTCCTTGTGCATCAGCGACTTGGAGTACCTGATGGACTTGGGCAGCGCGGAGATGTAGAGCTTTTCGTAGGGCAGGACGCGGCGCTTCTTCTTCGGGGCCTCGGCGGTGGGGAGCTGCGGTCCCATGTCATCGTCTGACGAGGAGTCTGTCCATGTCCAAACAAAATAAGCTGTCAGTATCTAGAGGGGGTTGTCCTAGGTTCCCGTGGCGAGGAAGATGCTCGTACCTGAACCATCTTGCTCTGCATACTCTGCATGGCTGCGTTTCTGCGAGCGGTTGTCGTCCTCTGCAGTCGACTCCGCCATGGTCGCCGATGCTCGGAGGATGTTGGAATAGTTTCCGGGGGTTTAGGAGACGAAGCTGTCGCGAGCAATGGCTTGTCGCGGTTGGTGAGGCTGTAGGCGCGTTGACCGGTTTAGCTTGAAGCTTTGGTTGCAAGCTGCAGCCTCGCGATGCGCATTTGCAGACGAACGCCAGTGGATCTTTCGCACTGTATTGTACACTGTATGGTCTATCAGACCTTGGAAATTCCCACGACATTCCCCAGAGGAGCGTCTGTACATGGGTCAAATAGAGCAGATGAGATCGAAGTATACGTTTATCATAACATTGGACCTTCAATAAATTTGGGAATAGTATTCTCTGTCACATGCTAAGGCTACAACAACTCATTTCTCCAATGCTCAAAGATTCGACTTGACATCTCCAGGATACTGGACCCTCCGCAACAGCGACCTCTTCAAGTCCGCCACGCGTTTCGCTCCGGCAAGGCCCATGGTCAGATCCAAATCAGCCAGCAATCCAGCCAGTACTGCTTCGGCCCCCTCCTTGCCATTGATGCCCAGTCCGTAAACCACCGGCCGCCCAACTAGGACGGCTTTGGCTCCAAGAGCAAGGGCCTTGACGATGTCGGCGCCGGTGCGGATGCCAGAATCCATCATGACGGTCAGCCGGGAGCCGACAGCATCGACAATCTCCGGGAGCACATCCAGAGTAGCTATGGTGCCGTCAATCTGGCGGCCGCCGTGATTGCTGACAATGATGCCGTCCACACCATGCTCAGCAGCCAGCTCGGCATCTTCGACGCTGAGGATTCCCTTGAGGATGATGGGCCCGTCCCAGTACTTTTTCAAGATCTTGATATCTTCCCAAGCGTGAGACTTTCCGGGGAAAGCCTCGCCGATCCAGTACAACGACGCCTGCATGACATTATCCTCGGGTGTTCCGCCATCGCTCATCTCCGCAAACTTGCGTCTAACGACAGGATCTGCGAACCCATTCGCGCAGCCCTCGCCCAGGAGGAAGGGAATGTTGGCAAAGTCCAGGTCGTGCGGCCTCCACCCAAGCGTCCACGTGTCCAGGGTTACGACGAGCGCTGTGAAGCCATTGTCCTTGGCTCTCTTCAGGAGAGAAGCCGTAATCTCTTCGTCACTGGGCCAGTAGAGCTGGAACCATCTGGGCGATTTTGGGACTGCGGCTGCGATTTCTTCCATTGTGGTTTGGGCAACTGTGCTCATGGTGAAAGGAACGTTCAAGGCGGCGCAGGCTTGGGCAACTCCGATCTCCTTGTCTTTGTGGTATAGGGAATTGACGCCCACAGGAGCCATGAATACGGGAACGTCTTTTTTTTTTAACCTCGTCAGCCCATGATGTTCCAGTCTTGTTTTCGGGCGATTCCATAGAATGGCTGTCCATCCTCACGTACCGTATTTTTGGCCAAATATGGTGACACTCAGATCGCGAGGCGTCGTGGGCCTCAGGACGCGAGGAACAATCTTCCACTGGCGGAAAGCAAGCCGGTTCGCATCCATGGTCGCCGACTCTCCCGCTCCGCCAAGGATGTACTCGAAGCCCGCCTTGGTCATCTTCTCCTTGGCCTGTTTCTCGAGCCAGTTTGGGTTTGTCGTCACGATGGGCAGCTCGCCAGCCAAGAGGCCCTTTTGGACAATGGTCCGCAGGTATGCGGCGTAGGGCTGAGGGCCGTCACCTTGTTCGTCCGTCATGGCTGCTGAGGATGAGATGGAAAGTATGTGTCTATGTGTTATTATCGCGGTTCCAAGTTGCTTGTTGCTGTTCTAGACCAATTGCTCCAGATCAGGCATTGAACCCTGGGTTAAAGTAGGCTGCTTTATGTCATTTTGAGTGTAAGAGGCACTCCAGAGTTGGGAGGAGACTTGCCTCGGCTTAAACTGATTACGCATACTCTTCCACTCCTGCGTCAACCCCCGTCATAGACGCAGCTGAACTCGAATCCTCGATGATGCATCATATGACTTGCTCAACTTTGGACTCGGCGGCTGCTGACGGACCCATGGGTCCCTTCAAGTGTTGAATGTGTCTGTGTTGTGAAGATGACGAGAAGTTGCTTGTTTGGAGGTTGACAGAATGTCTTATCGAACTGCAGCCCAATGCCGCTGAAACTCAGTTCAAGCACCGCTATAAGATCGCTAAACCGTAGCGCTCACCGATAACCAAAACACACCGAGGTATATGTACACAGTACCTGCCACTTCGCACATGGGCCCAACTCCAGACATGTAAACTAGACACCCCACCGCGGGAAAGCCTCGTGCTTAAACCTCGAATTAAGTTGCTTCTTCGCCCTGGAGAAGTTGCATCTTCTATCAAGGTGCAGATGCTTGACCAAGTCCCTCGGCACTCATGACCCGATCTATCGTCTCCCGCCATGGACATTGACGATATTCTGCGAGAGGTCGATCCCGCGTCTCACGGCATCCCGCTGGAGACGCGGGACTTGCAGGCCCTGACGCGCCTTTGGGTTGCTGAGAGATCGGCACCTGAGCTGCTCAAGTGAGTCTTGATATTGGGCCATCATGAGCTTGATTGTTCTTCCACTGGAGATACATGCTGTCTATGAAGATGTATCCTTTCTACTGCTCACTGTGGGCTGATATATGACGAGTCTAGTTGGCCTAGAGATGGCTTGTTTGAGCGAGTCAACTCCAAGATCAAATCTCAGATTGAACGCATCGAGGACATGACGGGCGACATGGATCCCAAGACCAACTTTGCCCTCATCGTCATCCAGACCGAGCTCGAACGCTACAAGTTTCTCGTACGGAGCTACCTAAGAACGAGAATAGCCAAGGTAAGCCCCCCAGTCTCCAGCATCCCAGTCTCACACAACGAACAACGGCAAAAAGTTCCCAACATCTAATCTTCTTCATCCCCCCTATCTCAAAAGATCGACAAGCACACCCTCCACTACCTCTCAACAGAAGATTTCAGACAGCGCCTCTCCCCCACCGAGCTGGCCTACGCGACGAGGCACCAAGCCCTCCTGCACAACCACTACCTCTCCTCCTTCCTCTCGTCCTTCCCCCAGCGCCTGCAGAACCTCAACGACACCGCCGGCAACGTCAGCATGATTGACAGCCCGGACCTGGACACGGCCGTCTTCGTGCGGCTGCTTCGCGACAAGGACGTCTTTGGCAGGGGCACCGACGTGGACACGATTCTTCCGGCGGCGAATGGGGACGTGCTCATCATGAGGTGGTCGAGCGCGAAGGGGCTTGTTGAGGATGGCGATGCGGAGCTTGTTTAGGGACATTTTGGGGTTCTTTTGGATGTGGTGATTAATGGCGTCTCATGGGATTCTATGGGGGAATCATTGCGTGTGTGTCAAAGAGGATCAATGGCAATGGGGGGATACCAAAGATCTGGATGGGTTCGGTTCAGGCTGAGCTCTTGAAAAAGTTGATGAGCTGGGCACGAGAGATCTGATACCAATCACAAAAATATACGAATCATGGCATCAAATTGAATAAAACAAGCAATCCGCTCAAATATCCTCTATTCACGATAAAGAAAAGCTCCATCTAACTCCTAATCTCCCACAGCCTAATCTTGCCCGTATCATTACCCACCGCCAACAAACTGCTGTCCTTGCCAAACGCCACCGCCGTTATCCTGCCCAACGGCGTCTGCGCCGTCGGCCAGTTCCTGTAGACGGTGCAGCTCGGCAGGTGCGCCAGCCTGAGAGCGTCCTTTGACGACCTGCTGCCGAACGCGAGGAGCTGGCCGTCGGGGGAAAAGGTCAGGACGGTGACGGGCGTGACGAGCTGCTCGAAGACGCGCGTGGGCTTGGGCGCCTCCTTGATGACGACGTTCTTTTCGCCGTCCAGGGCGAGGAGCTCGCTGCGGTCGTAGATGTTGGTGATGCCCGAGCTGGAGCCGATGGCCACCCAGCGGTCGTCGCCAATCAGCTCAGGGCCCTGGTGGCCGCCGAGGGCGATGACGATGCCGCCGATGCAGCCGTCGTCGCGCCACAGGCCGACGAAGCTCCTCGTCTCGACGCTGTACTCGCCGACCTGGCCGTCCTTGCCCAGGATCGTCATGCCGTTGCCGGTGCTCCACCACGCAAAGTCGGCGATGCCGTTCCTGCTCGACAGCCGCGCCGCGGCGATCCACTGCAGGGAGCCGACGCTGAGGATGTTGATGATGCCGCCGCCCTTGCGCGTCGACGCCGTAATGGCCATGTACCGGCCGCAGGGGCTCAGCTTGAAGCGCTCCATCGTCTTGTGCTCCAGGCCGTGGCCCAGGATCTGCGACGTCTTCTGCACGACGCCCGTCTTGAGGTCCCAGTGGTGGAAGTATCTCCTCCGTCCGCCGATGAAGACCTTGTCGCCGCCGGGGTACAGGAACTCTGCTCTCCGAATGTCCACGCCCTTGACTTGTACGGACGTCAGCCGGGGGTTCGGCACCGGGTGCGCATCGGGTGCGATGTGGTGGAGGTACAGCACCGAGGCCGTGCTGGCCGACAGCAGGACGGGGTACTCGGGGTGGAAGGACAGGCACTCCACGGGCGCAAGATGTGTGTCGGAGATTTCGCGCGTTCTCTGGATGTCGATGATCTCTGGCCTGAGCCGTCGCTTCTTGGGCCCGCCAGCTCCAGACAGGCTCTTGACGTCTCGTAGAAAGTCCTCCAGCGGCTGGGCAGACACCTCGCCGTCGGATTCGCTGCCGCTCTCGTCTGAGGAGCCGGAAGAAGCAGACGAGCGCCGCCTTCGCTTGCTAGGACGCCCCTCTGCCTCCTTGGCCCACGCAGGCGCAGGATGGAGCTGGAGGTAGCGCTGTCGAAGTCTTCTGCTGTACTCGGTGCCGCTCACAATGTCCTCGGCCTCGGTCAGTCGCAGCTTTCGCAGCCGTGTATGGTTCGCGAGAGAGATGGCCAATCGGTCGTCGTCGCTGTCCTCCCAGGCGGCCGGATCGCCGTGCTCCGCCTTCTTCGCCTTGGAAGCGACGGCGGATGCTTGAGGGACTGCGCCGCTCGGAGCGGTATCGATCATGAACAGGTCGGCATCGTCGACGTCTTCCAGCCCGCCGGTGTCCGCATCGGCCGCCAATTCCAGCTCCCTGCCCTCTTTGTCGTCTGATGCACCAATTAGGCTGCCGGTCTTGAAGAGACTCTCTCCAAAGGACACCTTGCTGCCGAAAACGAGCCGCTCCAAATCTTCTTCGTCCGAGTCCTTGTCCTGCATCGCAACCACCGGCTTCTTTCTTGATGAGGCGTCGTCGGAGTCATTGTCGGAGGAGGACAGATAGTTTTCGGACAGTTCGTCCTCTGAGAAGTCTGGATCCTGCGGCTGGGCCATTTTCGCCAAGGTTGCTCCGCTGTTGTGAAGGGGATTCAGCGGCGGTTGGTTTGCATTTCTCTGCAAAAGTAGGAATCTTTTTTTTTTCCTTTAATTTTTTTCTGGGTCTGGAGCTCAGCCTTGCAGACGAGGACTTGTCGAAGTGGGGGTAGTGGGGCCTTCTCGACGAGGCTGACATTGATTGATTGGCGATGGCTTCACGTTTCGACTGAGCTTCAATTGCACGAAAAACACAGCTCACAACGTGAAATACTTGATTTTTTTTTGGAGTCCCAGGCTTATTCTTGATATCCTTGTTTTAGTTATTTGTAAATACTCGCTCAACTTAGCAATGCAGCCCTTTCCAAATCGCTCTCCAGCTTTGAAACGTCCTTGCTCACGGACTCTGCGCACTTGAGCGTATATACCGCGCCTCGCTGAGCCACGTCCACCAGCTTGTCGACTCTTCCTCCCTGAGCAAGTCCCGAAACCATGACGCCGAGGAACGTATCGCCGACTCCATTTACGGAAACAATGTCTTCGACATGCTCGACAGGAGGGAACAATCGCATGTAGATGCCGCCGACGGCCGGGTTTCCGTCATAGGACCGAGTCAAGATGAACTCTTCAGACTCTCGATCCCGAAGTCGAGGATCGTCTTTGCCCAGGATGGTTGTCAACAAGACGCCCTTGGACCCGAGCTTTGTGATGATTGTAGGGATGTAAGGCAGTAATTGAATGGACTGCACGGGAACGCCAGCATCCGTCAACTCGGCCGACGTGAGACGGACGAACCGGTCTCTGGCTCCCCGCATGCCGAACGAGTCAATCACCTCGAACCACTCCATGCTGTCCAGATAGCCATTCTCCTTGGCTGCCGAATACATGGCCGAAAGCTCGTAGATGTTGGGCGAGGCGAGGTCGACGCTCTGGTTAGGGAACACGCCCAACGGCGGCACTCCGCGCTGGGGCCCGAACAGGCTCTTGGACTTGGCGACCGAGACAGGCTCAAAGGCGACTTTGCTGCCGTGCTCGTTGGCAGCGTGTATCCAGGTCCTGATGCCCTTGGGGCTCCAGTTGCCGTCCACGACGAGCCACTTGGGGTCTGTGGCTTTGATGGCTGACTTCCACTCGTCGGGGAAGAGGTGCTGCGTGAAGATGCCCATGTCCGCCATGGCCATGACGAGATTCTTGCTGGAGTCGTTGATGGCGACGTACTGGGCGGTTCGACTCCCTGGGTGCTCTGCTTGGTTGAGTTTCTTTACATATGTGGAATCAAGGCCTGAGGCTTCGAGAGCTGTGAGAACCGTTGCGCCGGCACTATAAGTCGTCAGCCATAGGGATCGTATGTCTTATGTTGTCTTGATCAGGTCCCGGTGAGCCCTACACATCGTCGCCAACCATGCTGCTAAACTTGACCTGAGCCTGTCGACTGGCTCGATGAGCAGCCAGCGCAACATTATGCCCGACACCGCCGATAGACTGGCTTATACTGGCCGGATTCGACGTATGGACTTGGGGCTGACCATCACCGCCCTGGGGATTGGTATAGTCACAGCTGAGGTCGACGGCAACCGACCCAGCGACGAGAATATCAGCTTTGGGGTTCGTTTTCAAGGGAGGTAATGGTTTATTTTCAGTCTTTGATCCAAACGCCACTGTATGTCCTGATGAACTTCTATCTAACCGATTAGATGTCATCCAACGTAAAAATTACAAGTACAATCACAAAAAAGAGATATGCAAAAGATGATGTCCCTCCTAAAGAAAGACTTACGAGCTCGTTCCCTCACTCAGCAAGCGTGACAGCTCGACGGCAATGTTTGTCGCCCTGACAATGTTGGAGCGCACCAGTTGCTTGTTGGCGGTGACTATCCTGTCGCCAAAGAGCTGCTTCAGCCTCCGCAGGACGAACGGCGTGTTGGCGCTGCCCGTGAAGCCCTTCTGGTCGGCCTCGGCCACGGCCTGGTCAATGTGCGCCTGCATCTCCTTTGCGGGAATGGCAAACTCCTCGGAGATGGGGTTCGCAAAGAGCATGCCCGACTCGATGCCGAGCTTCTCCTGCGCCAGGATGATGGCGGCGGCCTCCCTCTCGGAGCGGTACACGGAGGGGCTCTTGACGCCGCTGTCCCTCGCCCAAAAGGCAGGGAAGTCGACCTTGCCGGTGCGCCCGTCGGCGTAGGTGGACACGTGGGCGCCCTGGGTCTCGAGGAAGCCCTTGCAGCCGCTGCTGACGACGGCGACCCGCGTCCTGCCGAGCTCGGTGAGGTCGGCGGAGACGTCGAGCGAGTTCTCGCCGCCGCGGTGGACGCCGCCGAGGCCGCCGGTGCCGAAGACGCGGATGCCGGCCAGCCTGGCGAGCAGCATCGTGCCGGCAATGGTTGTGCCGCCATTGATTTTGCGTCCTGCCAGGCCCTGGTGAAGAAAAAAAAAAAGCGTCAGTGTTTGACTGTGACTTGGTTGAAAAGGAGGCCATCATAGGGGGAATCGGATCCTTACCATGCCGACCAAGTAGGCAATGTCTCTCCGCGAAGCCTTGACCGTGCCCTCATCCTCAATCATGCGCAGAATCTCATCCGTCGAGACGCCCACCTTGGGCACTCCCTCGACAATGGCGATAATGGCAGGGATGCCGCCGCTGCTCCGCACCAGGTCCTCATGCTCCTGCGCGAGATCCTTCCCCAGGGCTCCATGGGTGTAGATTGTTGATTCCAAGGCAACGACGGGCTTGTTGTTGGCAACGGCATCGGCCACCTCGCCGGAGACCTGGAGGAGGTTCCTGACGGCGTGTGAGCCTGCGGCTGCGCTGAGGGAGCGGCGCTGGAGATGGGGGGCTGAGCGGAGCCACAGTTGGGCTGAGGCTGTTTGTCTCAGGAGGACGGAGAGCCGTGAGGGCTTCATTGTGGCGGATGAGATGTGAGTTTGTGTAAGTGTATCCTCTGTACCTTATAATCGACACGGAAACCGCTTGAAAGTGAAGATTCACCCCCACCCTGTTGCTAGTTCTCTCCCCCACTCTTTATCGATCAGTTCAGAGTGTTGATGCTCAGACAGGACTAAAGTCAAGCAGCGCCTCCTAAGACTGCTGGTGGTTTGTAGGAGGTATCAAGGTGAGTGAAGAGTATAAGACAAGGGTAGAACAGGAGGACAACTTCAGAGCAAGTCAGTAAACAACTCCGGCTTTATAGACTATAAGTCTCCTCAGCTCGGCCAAGACACCGCGCCCTCTCGTGCATCGCCGGCCTCCGCAATCGTCACGCCGAACGACTAGCAGCAACATCAATCCCACTAATTAGCAAATCAATATCCGCAAATAGTCTCTTTCCCTTACAGCTTTACTCCATATGTTCTTGCGATATGGAGTTGACGCTGCCGGGTTGACAATTCAAATCCAACCGGCAAGACGCATTAGGCAATTTCTTGCTGGGGAGCATGAGGCCGCTGTTAGTGGGAGCGGTTGGCGCATGCGCTGACGCACTAACACCCGATTGATGTCCTTTGCTCAAACTGGCAATTTTGCTGGCATCCCCTCCAGTTTCTCCACCTATAATGATGGAACAAATATTAATCGAAAACCCCCCAGAGATTCACATGTTGTCGTCGTTGCTTTACTATTCGTTCGCGTTTAGCCGTTCAACGGCATCCAACTGCCAGAATTTTGAGGAGTTCTACGCGGGGAGAGACTCTCCAACAACGGGGATAGAGCAGCTGTATGTATGCAACCCTTAGCATCTCCTACAGACGTCAATTCGCCCTCATCCTCTTGGGTAAATGGAAAGGTGCTGCTGCTCCCCCGCATTGTGATATCAGATCAAGCCTCGGTAATTACAGCACGGGGGGTTGCAACTCTGCCAAGATGGTTTTAGTCCTGCAGGGTCTGGCAGTTGTTATAAGATTAAAGCCCGACCGGACATACAACGCCAAACCAATGTTGTTCTTTGTTTGAATCAAGTGTTTGAATCAAGTAAAAACACTTTCATGTGGTGTGCTTGCGTCGCTTTGGGTTGGTTTACGAGCCTTGTTGGATTCGCGCCGGATGTTTTGAAACTGATATAAAGTCCGGCGCGCAACACGATCAGGATACCCCGTACATAAAGTACATCGACTTCCACACTCTTTACACGAGTCACGCGAGTATTATCTCGAGACTACACAACACGTCGTCGACTTCAAAGCACTGAAGAGTAAGGCAGCGTCTTATATCACGACTCCCCGCCCCCGCCGCCATGCCGATGCACAAGGGCATCCTGCCTCGAGAAGGCCTATGCGCCGACGTGATCCTCAAGCTCGTCCGCAGAACGCTCCTCAATCCAAATCTCCTCCTACCCTTGATTCTGCTCGCCCGCTACACAAAAAAGGGCCGGGACCTCTCGATCCTGCACCCCAAAGCAGCCCGCCGGCTGCGGCTGCTCTTCTACGTCGCCGTGGCGCGCGGGCTCAGCGGCTGGTTCTCGGACCGAGTGCGCAACAACTGGGTCAGCGACAGGTATGACTGGTCCAAGGAAATCGTGCTCATCACGGGCGGCGCCGCGGGCCTCGGCGCGGCCATGGTGAAGCTGTTGGACGAGATCAAGGTCAGGGTCGTGGTGCTGGACGTCCAGCGGATGACATATGCGGCCTGTAAGTCGACCCCGTGCCGTGCCGGAGTGGCCATCAGACCCCAGCTGCATTGCATTGCAGGGCTGACCACGATGCTGCAGCCTCCAGAGTCAGCCACTTCTACTGCGACATCAGGTCGCCGGCAAACGTGGCTGCCGTCGCCGAAAGGGTAGTCGGCCAGATTGGCCATCCCACGGTTATCATCAACAACGCCGGTGTCTGCCGCGGCAAAACGATTATGGATGCCACACCCGAGGATGTGAGGTTCACGTTTGATGTCAACGCCCTGGCCCCTTTCTGGGTGACAAAGACATTCCTGCCGCACATGATAGCGCAGAACCACGGCATGGTGGTGACGGTCTCGTCCTTTTCCTCGTGGGTGACGGTGCCCAACATGGTAGATTACGCTGCGTCCAAGGCCGCAGTCATGTCATTTCACGAAGGACTCTCAGCTGAGCTTCAGACTCGATACAAGGCCCCCAAGGTCCGTACTGTGATAGTCCATCCAGGAGGCACCAAGACGCCGCTCTTCGCCGGCTACAGTCAGGGGTCGCGCTTCCTGATGCCTCTACAGGAGCCCGAATCCGTAGCCGAGGCTGTCGTGAAGCAGGTCCTCAGCGGGCGAAGCGGTCAGGTCATCATGCCAGAAGCTGGAGGGATGCTCCCCGCCCTGCGAGTCTACCCGGACTGGCGTTCATACCGAGTTCGCAGCAAAGGCCAGAAATCCATGTTGAACTTTAAAGGACGCCAGGTCATTGAGGACGTAGCTGCACCCTTCGAGACCAACGACAGTGTACAGCCCGTCCCCACGGTCTGAATGAGGCAGCTGTTTGGAGTGAGAATGGCCGAAGGATGAACATGTCGATGGTCTGGGACAGCGATTCAAACCCCTTTTGGCCAGGGCTGATGTGACAGGCTGGCGAACTGGCTTCATGGCACCTGAAACTCGTCCCACAATGGCCAGAGATGGATGACTAGCGACCTAGCAGGTGACGTTGTAATATGCAGAGTATTACTATCTCATCCTTTATATACGGAGTGACAGTTCAGCCGTGAAGGGATGATGGCTATCTTGGAAAGCAAGCTTCCATCCTAGCAAGGTAGCATGCAAGCCACTGGGGGCTGTTCGTATGGATGCGTGCGGTCTTATGTGTACGCGCACGGGTTCAGGTTTTGACACCCAATCGGTGGGATATTTGTAATCGCAATGGCATGAGCAAGTGAGCCAGATCACACGATGGTGGCAGAAGCGAAGGAAAGGGGAGGTTGCTGTTTGATCGACTGGCGAATCATGCGGGACATTGGACCAGCATCCTTGATGCCTCTGGTGTGGCAGGTGGAAGTATATCTGCCGGTAGTGACGTTCCGGCTCCAGGTTCTATCGGTCTGCTTGTTTGGATCAACCGGAGTTGCGGAGTTCTAACTCTGTGGTATTGGACGGTAGCTGATACATATGAGGACCTGTGGTGGTGGTTGATCACCAAGTCGAGGCTGCTGATAGACTACCTTTTCGCCAACTGACTTGACTGCAGTGGCGCGGCAGTGTCTGATATTGCACGGAGACGAAAGAGTAGAGAACAGATTAGTAGCTTACTTGAACCAAAGTGCCTTGACATATAGGCTGAGCACCGATAGGACGAGACAGTGATGCCCGTAGTGTAAACGTAGAGGTATCAAACGTATAGGAGACGAGATGTGGGTTGGCAAGGCGGCTCAAATAGCGTCACTCTGAGTGGACAAAGGCGCCTCTGCTCCAACCTGCAGCACCTCTCGCTCCGTCTCTGGTGCAGCGCAGACTGCCAATAACGTCGTCAGTCGTGCCACCTCTGGCAAAGCCTATCTGTGCCACGTCCATCTGTGCCTCTGGGGACCAGATATACTTTGTCCGTGGCGCTGCGACTTGCTGTTACCGTTACGATCCAGCCAGTGTCTGCGTTCCAACTCCGAACTGACGGGAATGCCTCGGCCGTTCATGTTGTCATCGACATTGTCCTGGCACTGTACCTCTACACCTATAGTACCGGCTATTGCCTCTAGGTCGCGACTCGTTGATTTCTCTCCTGTGTAAAACCGGAGCCACTGACTCGGCCGCGGCAGTTTGTACATGGTAGTCGAATTTGAGAGGACCCTTGAGTTTGGGGAGACCCTGAAGAAGACCGTTTTGGGGCAGATGCGGGAGAAAAAGAGGGACATCCCTGGCGGAAAGAGGAGGAATCGGCACCAGAGGCCAGCTGAGCGGTTTCGGATGAAGAAATTCAAATCAAATCAATCAATCGACGAGCAGGGCAAGGATTTGGATAGGTAGGTACGAAAGCCTGTTTGCAAGGTTCATCAGTGGTAATAACGTTTGTAGTTGTACATGCGTACATGCAACATGCCACAAGTCTGGACGGGCCCTTCCTCCCAGGCTAGGTAGATGGCTCTTGCCCTGATTCTCTCTTGCCCTCGTTTCGTCCTGTTTTTTTCTGCGCTTCCCGTTTGGATGGATGGAGTGGAGTGGAGCCGCATTCTCGAGCAGGCGCGGCCACGGTGCAAAATGGCACCACTTGCCCTCTCCGAAAAAGGTCGTGCAGCCAATCAGCGGCGCGCAAACTGAGGCTAAGCCGTCGGTAAGCCAGCGCCTGGGCGCCAATGGCAATTATCTTGACGGCAAAATGGGCTGATCTTGCTCTCAACAGCTGTCCACGACGGCCGTCTGTCATGCCACTTTTGCCGTACGTGCGTCGGGCTTTACCGGGGACATGAGGGACATGAGCTGCTGTGTCGCTCCTTCCAGCCTCCCCGAGCGCTGGGGCCGTCTGCGGAAGGCGGTCCCCTGGCCGGTGCTTGCCTCTCAGTCGCAGCGGGAGGTACCGTCTGGGCCTGCTCTGGCGCGGCGAGTACTTTTGCTCGAGGCTCTGGAGGCACAGTGCCGTGATCGCAGGCGCTGCTGCTAAGAGGTACGATTCTGTTGCTGCTGGCTTGCGTGCTGCTCGTACGAAGTGCTGTTCTATTAGCTCTGCTCCGTGCCAACTATTTATCACCAAGTCCTCCCTTTCCCTCTTCCCCAGCTTCGCCTCCGGGACCTACACAAGTTGCTCTTCATGCTGATGCTCCGGCATAGGAGACGCAAGCAGGACAAGTACTATTAAGTAGCCCGACGCTGGCCAATTCCCGGAGCAGCAAGCAAAGCAGGGCATAGAAGAAGAAGAAGGAGGACAAGGAGAGGGAACAAACATACAGCGGCTGGTCCAGCGTGGGAAATGGGATCAGAGCTGCTGTGTGCTGTAAGCGTCTGCCTCGACGCCGCGTGACACCACTGGGACCAAGAACGAAACGACTTCCTTGCGCTGCCCTACAGCCTCCTGCAGCTTCAACCCTCCCAGACTACTTTCTCTCCTGCACTGTCGCATCATCCTGCCGTTATCCAAGTCGAGACCCCCCAAAGACCCCCAACCCGGGCCCCGGTATCCATCCAATTCGTCGCAGCAGCCAGGGGGGGCGCCGAAACGAGAGGCGAAAAGACGCAAGGACAAGCAAACAAGCAAGAAAGCAGGCAGGCAAACAAGCAAACAGACGCCACAAAGCTCTACATACGAGCACGCTCGCATCTCTACCAGTCCACGAACGACGACAAGGGCCCCGAGAGGATCCTCAACCGCATTGCACTGCAGTTATTACGCTGCAGTTGCCGTCACAGCAGCAGAAAAAGAGGTGTGGTGGAGACGGCCGCTACCTCCACGGCCCATCTCCTGAGACAACTGAGACCGTCTATCGCTATCGGTCTCGTCGGGCACAGCAGCCGTGCTGGGAGTGCTGGAAAGGCGAGAGATAATTGGACCAGGCGAGCACCAGGCCGCCCATTGAAAAGCAACCAGGCTCCCGGACAGTGGAGCGAGCACGTCTCTTTCGGCTGCCCGCTGCCCTTTGCACAGCAGCGTCCGAAGGAAAAGGCGATACAGAAGTACGGGTGCTTGCCACAGCGCCTAGCGAGCCTTCACGCTGGCTGACATATCAACCCAAGAGCCGTCCGTCACCATGGCGCCGGGCGTCGTCAGTCCTTCACCAAACTCGCGGAACAACAGCCCGCCGAGCGAGATGGAGGAGACACCGCAGCCGGGGCCGTCAAACCAGGAAATGGCCGTCGACGAGGAGGATGCCACCGATCCCCTCGCCCTTCTCCGGAGCTTGCCAGAGCCGCCCACCACCTGCCAGGTGTGTGTGGTTGGCGCTGGTCCCGCGGGTCTCATGCTCGCGGCGAACCTCGCTCGGTTCGGCATCGACGTTGAGGTTGTAGATGATAGGGCGGATCAGACGCCCGTTGGTCGGTATGTTCATGTCCCCGAAAAGAGAATCCTGCCCAGTTGCACTATTCCTTACCCCCTTTTTTTGTTATTCTCAACTGCTCTACGCGTCACTGCAGACTGCAGACGTGGACAATGCTCTGCTCTTTTCAGCACTACTCTTGCCTTCTAGTTTATCGTTATCCTCGCTGCGAAAAGAGAAATGGGAAGCTAATTGTGATACAATAGCGCGGATGGCTTACAACCAAAATCCATTGAAACGTTTCGGCAGATGCGATTGGCCGATCCTCTGCTGCAGCGCGGCGTAAAAGTATTTGACATTTCCTTTTGGCGCAGCACAAAAGATGCGCCTCTGCATCGCTTGGGACGTGAGGTCCATTATCCTCCCGTCATTGATGTTCTGGATCCCTATATCCTCCTTGTTCACCAGGGCATGGTCGAGGGCCTATTCATCGACGATCTGAGGAAGCGCGGCAAGGAGGTGCGCCGGAACACGGCCTTTGAGTCCCATTACGTTCCAAAGTCCGGGCCGGTTCAGGTTCGGTGTTATACGAATGTCAACCAAGACAAGAGGACCATCTTGGCCAACTACCTCGTTGGATGTAAGTGCAAACTTTCTGGTATTTGTTGACTGAAATCGAACTCCTGCTAACGTGGCCACTCGAAGGCGATGGAGCACACTCCAAGGTCCGCAAAAACATGCCCAACGTTGAGGCCGTGGGCATGTCCCGCCCAGACATCTGGGGCGTCTTGGACGGCGAGCTCATCACCAACTTTCCTGATATCTGGTCCAAGACTCTTGTCTACTCCGAGGAGCACGGCTCGATCCTCATTGTCCCCCGGGAGCGCAATATGACGCGCTTCTACATCGAACTCAAGGCCAGCGCCCGCGCCGACCGCCGCGAACTCGGCCAGAAATTTGTCATGCAGCAGGCTCGCAAGATCATGGCGCCCTTTGAGCTGGATTGGAAGTACATTGAGTGGTTTGGGCGGTATCAGGTGGGCCAGCGCGTGGCGAGCCGCTTCACGGACGTCAAGACCCGGGTTTTCCTTGCGGGAGACGCCAGTCACACTCACTCTCCCAAGTCGGCTCAGGGCATGAACACGTCCATGCACGACTCGTGGAACCTGGCCTGGAAGCTGAACCTGGCGTGTCGCGGTCTGGCCAAGCCCAACCTCCTCGAAAGCTACGAGGTGGAGCGCCGCAAGATCGCCCTGGATCTCGTCAACTTTGACTACGAGCATGCCAACCGCATCGCCGGTGGAGATGCCGTCGCCATGGCGGAGAACTTCAGGGCCAATGTGCGCTTCATCTCGGGCGTCGGCGCCGACTACAGCGAGAGCGCCCTCAACATTACCCGGCCAGAGGACAACTCGGCCATCCTGGGTGGCGCTCGCCCGGGATGCCTCTTGCCCCCGGCCAAGGTATCGCGGTACGTTGACTCCAACCCGGTGGACGTCCAGCTCGACATCCCCATGCTGGGCCAGTTCCGTATCTACCTCCTTATGTGGGATGTGATCCAGGCCAGGCCCTTTTTGGAGACGTTCTGCCGCTCCATTGCGACGCCCAAGTCTCTGGTGAGCCAGCTTTCTGCCGCCGCAAGCGCATCGTACGCCAAGCAGCCGAGATTGCCGGCCCCCGAGGACGTGTATACACGGCCTGAGAGGTACACGGTAGTCAGCCACTTGTTCACATTCGCTCTGATTAGTGAGTAACAGCCTCCTCTTTCAAACGTTCCGTACCTTTTTTGCTGATCGTGATGATTGCGTCTAGCCACCATGCCCAAGTCTGAGATTGAAATCTCAGATCTTCCCGCACTGCTGCAGGATAGCCGCTGGACGGTCTACATCGACAACGTCCCCGAGCTGGACACCAGGGGCGCTTTCTGCACCGACAAGTGGCTGGGAAGCCTGGGTCCGAGCGAGGTTGCCATTGTCAACGTCCGTCCCGACGGCTATGTTGGCTCCGTTGGCCGTTGGGACACCAACGTTGACGAGGCTGGCGAGCAGGCCGCAGCGTGGTTGGATTCGTACTATGGCGGCTTCTTGCAGGTGCCGAGCAATTAAAGAGATGGGAGGATGTTGAGTAGAGTGAACCGAAATGAGCATTTTTGATATGAGAAGAGACGATTTAACAAAAGAGGAGGAACGCTGGAAGAGCCCAGGAGAAGCTCGCTGTTCGAAAGACGTTGTCGTCTTGACTTTGATGGCATACTGATGACTGATTACATTTTGGACTGATTTTGAATTGCTTCTGTTGTTGCTCGTTGGTCACAAGAGGCGGAGCATGGTATTATATACGTTTCAACCCGCTTTGTCTCTTAACTTTTCTTTTTCATACACGGAAGCTGTAGAATTAGCATGGAGGCGCGTAGAAAGGGGGTCGTACACGAATATGGAAACTATGAGCATGAACGAGGAATCTCCACGGTCTTGTGCCTGAAAACATACGAGGTGTGAGGCCACGGAGGCGCTGAGTGATTTTCTTCCTTGTGGAACGTGACCTCAGGCATGAGATGGGGAGCTAACGTGATGTTACCTTGATCATCTCAGCCTTACCCGTATGTTCCTGGCTTTTTCGTATCATTAGCATGGCAGACCTTGTCCTGTTGAATTTTGCTATGAGGGGGTCTTCCAGCTTGTGTTTTTTTTGAACCGGAGACACAGAGAATTTATTTAGTAAGAAGTTTATGTTTGTTTCGATTCCAAGTCCACTCTATGTTACGGGTTTTCGATTGGGCTTGGCTGGATTTTGTTCAAAAGACGAGAATCGTTACATCGCCCTTTGTGTCCTCGCCCACGAGCCAGCGCTCGTCTCCGCAGATGAAGCCCTTGCCCATCATCTCGGACCACATGGCGTCTGCGAACTGGACCTCGTGCCCGTCTGGGCCTTGGGTCGTCGTGCCGCCAGCTGCAGTGCCAGAGGCAGGAGTCGTAATAGTACGTTTCTTGCTGCCAGCACCATGAATACTCTTACTGGCAATCTTATGTGTCTGCCGAGAAGACGAAGAAGCGTGATCCTTTGCTGTAGTACTAGCTGTAGTGCTTGTTGATGCCGCCGTCGTCGTCTTGTTCGTATCCGTCGTGCCTCTTCGTCCGGACACGAGCTTCGCCCCGTTGGACCCGACCCCCTGGACGCGAATCTTGGGCCGGATGTGCACGGACAGCGTCTCCAGCATGAAGCAGTCCCGCGCAATGACCCGCACGCCGGCCGCCGCGTCAAAGACCTCGGAGAGGGTGACGTAGGGGAAGTCGTCGTGGCGCCAGCAGGGTGCGCGGCCGGGCCAGGTCTGCGAATGGCTCCACGCGCGCTCCGGGGACCAGGCGATTCCCCCATCATCATTTCCCGCTGAACCACCCTCGTCGTTGTCGTCGTCGTCGTCGTCGTAGAACGTAACCCCGTCCTCCTCCTCCGCCTCCGTCATGTCCCTCCTCCACCTCCCCCTCCAGCAAAACCGCAGATTCACGCCCCCTCCCCCTCCGCAATCGTCCACCCACCGCGGCCCTTGGCCGACGAGCGGGATCCCCGTCGTCTTGACGCGGTGCAGGCGCGGCGGGTGTGCACTGCTGTGCGGGCCCGCGGACCAGCGGTGCTCCTCCTCGGTGAAGAAGACGTGCCCGCAGGCGCAGGACCGGGCGGCGTCCCAGGTGCAGTCGTCGAGGGCCATGGCGCGGAGGGCGGGGCGGTGGCTCTGGCGGAGGGAAAGGTCGCGGAGGTCGCGGCCGTGCATTTTGCGGATGATGCGTGGGCTTGAAGGGTTGTTGGTGTTTGGATGATGATGCTCTGGTGGTGGTGTTGCGCTTTCTGATGGCTGCTGGGATGGTTGGGGTGTGCTGCTGCTGGGAGGGCCGAGTTCCCAGATGGTGAGGCTCTCGATGGGTTCGGCATTGGGCCACGGCTGCCACGTATACACAACGTAGTGCGTAGCGTTGTGCGTCGAAAAGAAGCGCTCCTGATGGTCCAGATAAAAGCCCAAGGGATGGATCCTGAACTCGCAGCGCAACTCAAACTCCCACGTAGACTCCTCCGATGTCCTAGACGAAGCATCGCCAACCTCGCCCCCGTCCTCCCGCCGAGGAATGACGCCGTCCCAAGATCCCGTCCTGCGAACAGAGTAAACACTCGCATAATGTCGATGCGTCGATACCGCCTCGTCGGGTGCAATGGGCTCTTGCTCGCACCACTCAAAGACGAGAACCCCATGGCTGATGCGCACCCGCCGCACAATCTTGCCTCGCAGATCAAACGGCACATCAACCTCCCTCTCCGTCTGCAAGTCCCGCGCCCGGTACCTGGGGACTTTGGCATCATCCGCGTCTAGTACATCTCTTCCTTCTTCTCGTTCCTCTCCTCCCTCGAGCACTGACGACGACGCCGCCGCCGCCGGATACACCAGCAATCCCTCCCCAGGCGCAACCGTCCAAACCGGATCCCAAAAGTGAAACGGCGCCGTCTTGCCATTCAGGCTCAAATGCCGTTCCCACGGCGCCACCCCCCTCAGCACGTCCTCATCCTTCAGCACAGTCACTCTCTCAACCTTCCACGGCAAGGCGTTTCCCAGGTGGTAGTACCGCCGGGCGAGCGTCGCAAAGACGGCGGCCCAGTCGCCGCTCTCGAGCGCGGCGAGGTTGTTCGACTTGAGAAATTTCCGGAGACGCCGGCCCTCGAGGGAGCGCGGGAAGTGCGCCAGGATGAGGCTGATGCAGAGGTCGTTGCGGGTGAGGGCGGCGAGGAACGCGCGGGAGAGGCGGCGGCAGAGGATGGTTTGCGTGGGGGAGAGGTGGGCGATGATTGCGGTGAAGATTGTGTAGGGGAGGTCCGTGAGGGAGAGGGGCATGTTGTGTTTTGGGCGTTGGTGATGGCCAGTGGAGGATTTTGTGAGTGATGAAGGGGATGGTTTGTGAAAAAAAGGGATGGATTGGATGAGTGGTAGTTGATGCAGGTTGGTGATGTAGATGATTAGCAAAGAGGAGTTGAAGCGGTGTTAAGGCGAGTGACATGTGACATCCATCACGCCGAGCATCATACATCAGCAATTATTTCACCAGGATACAAACATCGCACAATGATACAAGCTCTATTTCACTTGAATTTGATTTTAATATGCCAAAAGACATATCATGCCGTCTAGTCCATCAAGTCGTGGAGCTACGTTATATACAGTAAATGCATGCTACTCGTCCGTATGCCTCTTGATATGACATCTTCACCATCCTCATCAATCACACCTCACACCCAACATCTACGCACTCTAGCCGCCTGCCTACTGCAGCGTAGGCATGTGCACGGCAGCCTTCTTGGCCACCGCATCCGCGCTCTGCCACAGCGCCGTCACCGTCTTGAGCTGCGTGTAAAAGTTGATGCCCGGCCGGCCGTAGAACGTGTTGGCGCCGCCGCCCGCAATCGACTTCTTGTTGCCGGTAAAGGAGAACATGGGCAGCGGCACGGGGATGGGCACGTTGATGCCCACCTGGCCGGCCTCGATGTTCTTGCGGAACGTCTCGGCCGTGGCGCCTGACTTGGTGAAGATGGCCACGCCGTTGCCGTACTCGTTCTTGTTGATGAGCTCGATGGCGTCGTCAATCGTCTCGACGTTGAGGCACACGAGCACGGGGCCAAAGATCTCCTGCTTGTAGCACGTCATGTCGGGCGTCACGTTGGAGATGATGGTCGGGCCGATGAAGTTGCCGTTGGGGTACTTTTCGTTCTTGTAGCCGCGGCCGTCGAGCAGGATTGTGGCGCCCTCCTTCTCGGCGCTGGCAATCAGGCCCTCGATGCGCTCCTTGCTCTGCGGCGAGATGACGGGGCCCAGGTCGGCGCCCTCCTCGAAGCCGCCGTCGACCTTGAGCGCGCGGGCGTGCTCGGCCACCTCGGACAGCCACTCCTTGGTCTCGCCGACCATGACGAGCGTGCTCAGGGCCATGCAGCGCTGGCCGGCGGCGCCAAAGGCCGCGCCCACGACGCTGTTGATGAAGTGGTTCTTGTTGCAGTCGGGCAGCACGGCCGCGTGGTTCTTGGCCCCCAGGTTGGCCTGCACGCGCTTGCCGTTGGCCGAGGCCCGCGCGTAGATGTACTCGCCGGCCTTGTTGCCGCCGACGAAGCTGACGGCCTTGATGGCGGGCTCGTCGAGGATGAAGTTGACCGTGTCGTGGGCGCCGTGGATGACGCTGACGACGCCGGGAGGGAAGCCGGCCTTTTCAGCCAGCTCGACGAGGATCATGGCCGCGCCGGGGTCACGCTCCGACGGCTTGACGATGATGGTGTTGCCGGTAATGGTGGCAATGGGGATTGACCACAGGGGGATCATGGCAGGGAAGTCTGGACAGAAAACACGTTAGCAAGATCCTCGTCTCGCCAAGGCTCTCGCAACTCCGTCTCCGATGCGATATATCAAAGAAGAAGAAGAAGAAGAAGAAGAAGAACTCACTAAAGGGGCAAATGGCCGCCGTCACGCCCAGCGGCTCGCGATACGTCCTCGTCTCCATGTCCTTGGACACCTCGAGCACCTCGCCCTTGAGCAGCTCGGGCGCCCCAATGGCCGCCTCGGCGACCTGCAGACCGCGCAGCACGTCGCCCTTTGCGTCGGCAAACGTCTTGCCCTGCTCGAGCGTGATGCTCGCCGCCAGCCGGTCCCAGTTGTCCTTGATGAGCTGCACGTAGCGGAACATGATCTGCTGGCGGAACAGCACCGTCGTGTTCTTCCACGCCTGGAAGGCCCGCTGGGAGCTCTCCACCACGGCCTGCATCTCGGGCACCGTCATCTGCGGGACGCGCGTCACGAGGTTGTTGGTGGCCGGGTCGTGCAGGTCGATGAACCGGTCCGTCTTGGACTCGACGAACTTGTTGTCGAGGAAGTAGGGCGTGTTGCGCACGTCGGGGATCGGGTCGTGCGTCGTCGGGAAGCTCGTCGCCGTCGACGCCAGCGCGTCCATGGGCTTGAGCTGGAGCGCCGTGGCGTGCAGCCGGCGGGCCGCCGTGAGGGACTGCGCCTTGGAGGACATCCTGGCGAGGGCGAGGGCCGTCCGGGGGGAGGCGGCGGAGGGGGAGAGGCCGCGGGAGCTGGCAGAGGCGCTGGCGGAGAGGAGGCGGCGCATGGCTTTGTGTGGGTGTTGTTGTAGAGGAGAGGAGAGGGGAGGGGAAGAAGGAGAAGAGAAGTACTACTATGTCAAGCCGCCTCGTGTATTTTATATCAACTGAATCTGTCCTCTTCCCAATATCAGTACCAAACCCAACAAACTGAAAACAAGACGGAACAGCCCGAGGGAAAGAAACAAGACCCCAATGTGCCTTATATATATACTATCAGTAGCCGCACCCAGTCGGTTATCACGTCGTCGTCTCAGCCAATCTTCACCACCAAGAATGCCGACGCCCGGCCGTACCTAGCCGGTGTGGGGGAGGAGGCGAAAAATGGGGAAGCCCAGCACTGAAGAAACGGGGGGGTAATTTCGTGTGGGGAAGCACAGATTGAGAGAAGTGAATCTATGGATCGTTAAGCCGATGCCGCTCCATGCCGAACCAAACAGTCTCGTAACTGCAAGGCCATCAAGCACGCCTGAACATGCAAGACCGTCCGTTTCTACTCGTTCTTAATTGAACTACTATTCCCATCCAAGTCAGTGGTGAAGCATCCCCTACAACCAACGGATTGTACAAGCCACCTACCTTAGTCAGTACTACCTACTACCGACTGCTTATAACCGACCTCACAGCCACTTCGTCCATCCAGACGGGAGTTACCGATGTTTCCCCCCTCCGATCACGGTGACGCTGCCCTTCCGATTACCGAAAAAGCCCACTGGTAGGTACAGTATTGTTTGATCATCACCAGAGGTTGTAGTAATAGTACCAGCTTATCGAAGCTACCTACCTACTCGTAGTACTACGTAAGAACAATTTCTCCCATAGATCACTTTCCTCATACGGCCAGGCGCGCCCTAGAATCAATGTTTCATCCTCAAACTTGAGATGCCAATTGAACTATTTAGCATCATGGGAGCAATTCAATTCCACTGGCCATGATAACAATCGAGATCCATCACCTAGTGGCCACGTGTTGATTGCATCTGATTCCATTGCCCTGTGCATTGGCTCCTCTCCATCACCGTTGCCCCCACGGCTCGCCGACTTACATACACGTCATCCAGTCTTACAGCTTACTGGGCACGTCACGGGCATCGCAGAGCAAGTAGTAATAAGAATTCCCATTTTTTTGCTTTACAATTTCAGAATAATCATATTGTGTCCCCTGGACTCCCTCATTTGATTTTTCTTCTTTTTTTTCTTTCTGGATACTGGCCGTGGATGTTGGTATCTTGGATTCTGTTCATCCCACATCCTACCTTGTTGTTGTTGTTCGATCCCAACTACTCTGACAAAGGAAACACCACCCAATTCTTCTACGACTGGCTGCGGGTGGTTCGCTTGGTAACCTCTCCCTTGGCCTTGTCAGCACCACTGGCAACAGCGTCGGAAACGTCCTTGGCCTTCTCCTTGGCGGTGGCGGCGGCCTTCTTGGGGGCAGCCGACGAGGAGCCGAGGCCGACGAGACCGACAATGACGGCAATCAGGGTGACAAAGACGGCGGCAATGCCACCGGCAACCTCGGGAACAAACTTGATGGCCTCCACGGGGTCGCGCTGGGCAATGGTCAGGAACAGGTCAAGCTTCTCCTTGACATAGGTGACGGGGTCGTCGAGGAACTTGAGGTCAGAGGGGGACTTGGGGGTGTCGTCAAACTTGGGCTTGTCAGCCTCGGCAAGAGCCTCCTCAATGGGGTGCTTGACGAAGAAGGTCTCGTTGGCCAGCTTCTCGGCATCCTCGATGGAGTGTCCGATGTAGATGTTGTCAAAGAGGATGTCGTTGGTCATGGTCCAGATCTCAAAGCCAATCTGTCAAGCAACTAGTCAGCAATCAAGCGCGTCACGGAGGGGTGATGGCTAAGGGTTGAAACTTACAGCTCCCATGGGCTCAAAGTTGGCGGGGGTCTTGTCCTCATAGTAGTCGGGGTTCTTGATTTTGCGGGGAGCCCAGACGCCCTTGTAGGCAGGGTTGTCAATGTAGGGAGCAGACCACTTGCCCTTGTAGTTGGGGTTCTTGATCATGGGCTTGGTCCAGGGGCCGCAACCGGAGACATCGTCGCACTTGGGGTTGGGGACGGTGGGAGGGATCCAGTCGCCATCCTCCTCGTCATCCCAGTCCTCGGGCTTCTGAGCCTCGGGGTCGGGGATCGTGGTGGGCTCGTCCTCGAGCCAGTCCTCGGGCTTGACGGCCTCCTCGTCGACAATCTCAAAGGGCGCATCCTCGTCCCAGTCCTCGGGCTTGACGGCCTCGGGGTCGGGAATGCGAGCCTCGTCGACCCAGTCCTCGGGCTTGGTGTCCTTGGGGTCATCAATCTCCTTAGGAGGGTTGATGGGGGGGCTCAGGTCCTCGAGGAGGTTGCCGGTCTTGGTCTCGACACCGTTCTGCTTAATGGCGAAGGTGTTGTTGGGGTGGACAATGAGAGTGTAGAGCTCGGTCGTCTTGACAATGTTGACGGCCGGGGCGGAGTTGAGGTGCTTCTCCTCGTACTCGCCAGTCTTGGGGTTCTTGTGGTTGACGATGAAGTGGACCCGGTTGTTGTGGCCGCACTTGTCGGGGCCAAACATGATGACGTAGGGCGTGGTGTTGCTGAACTCATCCTGGTGGAGAGCCTTGTTGTCGCGCAGCAGCTTCATGTAGGCACCACCGCAGTCCAGTCCCTCTGGAAGCGCATAAGTCAGCATCTCTTCGTTTCCTTGCTTCTCATCTTGCATTCTCGAGGGGAATTGCAGAGGCCAACTTACTCTGGAGCTTGACCTCGTACTGCACGACGAGCGTCTTGCCCTTGTTGTCAATCTTCTTGGGGAACTTGGCCGAGATGGCGTGGTGAGCGGCCTGGTTCTTGACGACAAGGCCCTTGTCGCCGTCGATGCCCTTGTACTGGTAGGGCTCCTCGACGGCCCACTCGCCGACGTAGGCCCATTCCTCCTCCTGCTCCTTGTCGGAGCCGCTGGTGTCCTTCTTGGCGTGGGAAGGCTTCCACCGAGACTCCCAGTCGTCGGTGAACTGCTCGAGGAAGTCCGCCTTGATGGAGGTGGGCTAGCGATTGGGGGTTTGTCTGTTAGCAGTGGGCTCGTGTGATATCCCGTCGTCGAAGAAGAAGACTAGCTCCAAAGCTGCAGCCAGCGGCCATGACTTGGAGTTCCTTGCAGACGAAAAGAGAGGGCCAACTCACAGTAAAGGTGGGAAGCTCCGCGGGGACCGTCTTGGACTCCTCGACGACATCTTCGGCATATGCGACACCAGCGAGCAGCGCCGCAGCAGCCGCGACAGTGTTGAACTTCATGGCGAAAGAAGCGTCGCAAAGATCAACGTTGCAGCAAAAAAAGAATGCGAAGAGAAAGAAGAAGAAAAGGTATACCAGCGGGTGTTTTCTCAGGGAAAAAAGAAAACTTGGTGGGGGGAGTGGAGGGGAAAGAGACGAGAAGTGATGCCAACAGGGCCAGCAGTCCCAGCGACTCTTGAGAGGAGGAAGTGATGGTTGTTGTTGTTGTTGTCCTCTTGGGTTGGAGGTTGAAGAAAAGGGAAGAAAAGAAGAGGAAGAAATGCGCACGGCTGGCCGTTGAAGAAGGTCGCGGGGGAGGCTGCACTGCGCAGTCTGGGACTTGAGGACACGTAGAACTTGAAGCTCAAACTTGGGTCCGAAAATGCACCCGCCCATTAACACAGTACCTTCAATAGGTAGCTGCCGGGCCCCGTCAATTTGCGACTAAAAGGCAGGTCGATTGCGGGGGTCCGAGCTGCCAGTTGCCAGCCTGGGCTTAAGGCAAGGTACGTACCCGCATGGAAGCGGCGAGAAGCACCAGATCCCGGCCTCGAAACATATTTGGATATTGTCTTAGCATTGATTGTGACGATGGGGGCATGTGTTTTTTTTTTTTGCCGCCGGTTGCAACCCACGTGTGTGGGCCATTGCTGCATTTTCAATTGCTACGGAGAGGACACACACACACACACACAGAGAGAGAAAGGGAGAAGCAATGATGGCATCAATTGAGTGCGGACAAAGAGACCAATCGATGAAGCAAACAACGGATGATGAAGAGACAAGAACATCAACAAGTACCTACCTGCAGCTGCATGGTGAAGAGCCAGCCGTGTCCATTGCGATGAGGGACAAAGTCAATTAAGCCTGCATACGTTACAAACCACAAATTGCATCATCACGCTCATTTACCCGTCAAGATTGGAAGCGTAACTTCATGTACGTGGAGTATGATTCCTTCGTGGAATTGTAGGAAATCGGGTCATGGATGTTTGTTACACGGGGATCACAGAAGATGCCACATATCCAACTTTCCAAGGTAACCATCAGCCGGAACAAGGCCACCCTGCAACCACAGGCACTTTTCGATGCTGACTGTCTAAGCCCTCCATCTCCATCACATGTGTAATCATGTGTCTTCTCTCTTCTGCCTTTTCTTCGTCTCCATCTCAGAGAGAGGATATCACAAATGGAGAGCCTATAAGAATTAGTACTACTAGCACGTCGATTCCCATCTAATGCGCGTGTCGGCGAACGATGCCCCGTTAAATATGACAGGCGTCGAGGCGCTAAAGTGGCCGCTCCAGCTATCAAATAGGCCATAGTCTAGACGGCAGGGGAATGGCGAGCATGAATGCAGCACCAACAGCCTCGTATGCTTGTGTACATGCTCGTAAAACGCCGTCAACACCGGTATCAATTCAGATGCACATCTTGGTCAATGCAAGACACCACTGCGCATTCGGAAAGGTTGCTCCCCTAATCCGAGGCTCAAGCCGGGGATATCTCAGCAGACAAGTCACGTTGGGAAGCATGTCTGGATCTGCGCAGGGTGTGCCCGTGGCCCATGCCTCACCTCCATCGAATCAGCTGGCATCCAGTCAATGACCTCTCTCCACACGACTCCATTACACCACTTCACAAGCCTTCATGATGAGTCAACCTGTTCCAACGCTATTGTATTAGGTACGCTATTCACCGTGGATATCAAACTCGTGGTAAATACACCCAATCTCCATCATTAATGCCATTAAAAACCAAATCGAAAACCCCTTCCATTAGCCCATCCGGAACCGGGAACAAGAAAGGACAAAAAAAAAAAAAAAAAAGAAAGCAGAAGAGATCTGCTGGGCCACTCAGAGCTGGCTTACAAGGCCATCAGGGCAGCAACAACACCCATCAGAGCACCGCCAGAGGCAATCATGGCAGGAGCAGCATTGGTCGTGGCGCTAGCAGACGCAGAGCTGGTCTTGGTAGAGGTGCTGGACTTGGTGGACGTGACGGTAGTAGCAGTGCCGGTAGAAACGACAACAGTCTCGGCGCCGGTCGCGGAGCTGTCGGTGCCGGTAGGAGCAGCGGCAGAGTCAGTAGCGGTGCCGGAAGCCTGGTTGTCGCTGCCGGGAGCAGGAGTGGCCGAGGGGGTGCCCTCAGACGTGACGAAGTAGTGGTCGTTGATGCACTTGTCAATGCACAGCTTGTACGTGTTGGTCTGGGCAGCGCTGCCGTTGCCCTGGGGGCACTTGGCGACGCACTGCGTCGTGGCGTTGACCTGGGACTGGTTGGGAGAGGGCACCTGTTTGAGCTCCGCGTCAGTGGTCTGTCCGATCATGGGAGGCGAGGAGCAGTTCATCAAGACATACAGCAATACAGTGAGCCTGGCAGTTGACGTCGCCCTTGGCGCAAGCCTTGATGCAGGCAACCTGAGAGGCCTGAGCAGGGTCCAGCGAGACGGTCGAGGACGGGGCCTGGGCAGCGCTCGAGCTGGACTGGGCGGCAGCCAGGGCGGCGAAGAGGCCGGACAGAACAATGGAGAAACGCATTGTGGCGGTTTGATGGATTCAAAAAAGGCTTTTGTTTGCGTGTAAGGGAGCAAGAAGCGAGTAAGTGAATACAGTAGCCGCTGAAGTTGACAATGTTGTTGTTGTTGTTGTTGTTATTAGTTGCAAAAAGCACTAAAACGAGTGTCGATGCGATTCGAGCTGAGCGAGAGACTTAAATAGAGATCGAAGCTGAGGAAAGAGAGAGAGAGGGAAGAGGGAAAGGGAGCTTCGCGCGTTGGGGGGGAGGAGCAGGACATCTCCCTTTAATACTACTGCTCTCTTGCTCCATTCTCAAGCGCAGGACAGGCGCGTAGCAGCAATAATACGCAGTGGAGGAGCGAACCAATGGCTTCCAAGCGTCTCTGGTGGTGTCCGTACCTCGTACTATTTTTTGCTTGTCCTATCCATTTCTTTTCCGCGCACAGTACGGGCCATGTACCGGCCGCGGATGGGGAACATCTTCTACCTGAGGTATGTACTCGTACCTTGTACTGCCTTTTTGCCCTGGCCCGCATGGAAGAAAGACTTCATCAACAAGGGATGATGATGGAAGGGAAAAACAAGCCCGAGGGCCTGTCCTGGCCTTTGCTTTGTCTGAGAGGCTCCACCCCAGCATTGCATTGCTTTTTTGCTCTTTGGGCTTTCATGTTTGTTTGGCCAATGACGGGGTACCATGTACATCAACATGGGCAGTGATTCTCTTACGGCGGTTGATGCTGTTCCTCTGTCATGGTGATGGTAATTGCAGCACAGAAGCTTCTCCTTTTTTCTTTTTTGTGGTTATATCGTACATACATCCATACGTTCTGCGGGTTCGACGTCCGTTGGGTTTCTCTGGGCTTGTGTCACTGCCGGTGCGGCAACGGGGGTTTGATTGCGTGGCGCAACGGGCTGCATCTCTGCAATCAAATGTGCCGTCCCGACAGCTGTAGCAGAGGTTATACATGCATACATGCAAGTCGTACAGACTCCGTGGTCTAACAGCGTCGAAAGAAAGGCCATGCTGATCAGAAAAAAAGACAAGAAGACTAAATTAAGGTCTCGGCGAGAGTCTGATGTGTGGCGCTTCGTCTCTTCTGTCTGCCCGTGCCGCCTCTTTTTGCAGCGGGTGGCCTCGTACATCCAAGGGCTCGTATTCTTTGGCGTTGACGATCGCTTCTCCTCTTTCTGCATCTCCAGAACGCGGTTCAACGTCTTTTGCCATCTTTTGCCCCCCCAAATTTCCCATCCATCAAATCTGTATTACTACCCCAACTTGTCCAGTCTGCTGATGCCCAGTCCCCCCGACTCGTGTCTAATGCTGTGCGATGCGGTCATGATTTTCCTCTTCAAAAGTCTCGGCAACTCGGTCGCCGGGCTGATGCTCCAGAAAGAGGCTGTGTGCGGCACTTGTGGGGACCGCGGCTGGGGACTTCGGCCGTTGCTTCCAGCTGCCTCTGGATGCGCCCAGTTCTTGGGGAATTGCTGATGCATGAGACGGGATTGACTGCTCCGTAGATGTAACAAGTTCAGTTCCTGTATTACCGTGTATCCCGTCTTCGTCTGAATACCTACATCACGCAGTTCATACAGATGGGCTCCTGATCAATCCATGGCCCTCAATTGCAGACTGAGTGCCAAGTTCGAAATGACGCCCTCGCAACAGGCCACTCAACTCCCCCATCAACACCATCGCGGCCGTGTTGTCTTTGTTCCATTCGGCTAGTGGCTGCAGGGGCATGAAGCGGCACCAGAGCGGGCCTCACAGTTCTGGTTGGTGCGCCCACGTCCAATACTAGTGACTAAGACATCCGGCTCAAGTCGGGGGCTTTTGATGAGATCGCCGATTGGAATTCGTCACATGGCGATGGGTTGATTGTTGTTGTTATGTTGTGTTTATGCGTGCAGCAACAAGTCCAGCAACATTGGCTGCCGTTATGCCTTACAGCTATCTGTGCTATTTTCAACCTCAGCTACCTACCTTACCACCATGATAACGGGAAAAAGGGGGAGAGAGCCGCCACCCCTCTCGCCAACTTGGCCATCTTTTTGCACCGGCGCAAGCACCAGGCAAACTCAATCCTCGAGAAACACGCAGAAACGCAGCGTCGTGCTGCCCCCCCGGGCTGACTAGGCCCATTAGCCTGTTGTGCCTCCGAGACGCCACAGGGGTTGGTTTGGCGATGCTTGCTGGCTGGCCTTCAAGCGTGCGCTGATGACCAGGTACAAGCCCGGTCCAGTGTCGCCTCGAGGCCTCGTACTGTGGCCTTTCCGGCTTGGCCTTACATATCCAATCGTACTAGCAAAACTTCCCTTGCAAATACGAGGGCGCCATTGGCGATCGATGCAATGCGCCGTGTTGCCAGACGGGGCACGATTCCGAAGGAGGAGGGGCGGCCAGGCCAGGCCAGGCCAGGTTTGCGGGCTGGTCAAAGCGGAACTCTTTTGTTGACCCTGGTAGAGAGAAAGGAACATATGCTCCTTGCGCAGCTGAAGCCGTACCAGGTAGTATTACGGGGGCCAGCGATATTCCGCTTCTAGTATTCTAACTCGTAGCAGTCCAGTGCTTGGTCAATGGGTAATTTCCACAAAAAGGACGGAGGCTTACGGGATGCTGTGAACATAGTTTTGCGCGTATTCAGCCTGATGGAGACGACGAGGCTATCCGAGGTGATGGTGCTGGCAAGTTTGCCCCATCCGTGCTGTTTTACGAGCCTCTTGAGCTTGTTGAGAACTCTTCGAAGCTGACATTCAAGCTGAGATGGACGTTTCTCACCGACTTGAGTTCTCAGCTTGTGTCTATGGAGTCCAAAAGAGAAGAGTAAAGCCCCTTGAAGCTACAGCTTGCCCGCACTAATAATGCAGGTTCACGAGCCGTAATTTCAGGACAACCTCGACCCTACATTGCGTCTGAGACAGCCTGCAGTGATACCTGAGAAGTGTAAGGGTCAAAAGACGGAAAACGAAAGGAAGGAAACACAGGAAAATGAAGATGATTCTTCCTGTGAGGGAGACCTCCTTTTCTCGTCCTATAGTTGTTCCTAGGATGAGAGCGCGCTACTGGTAGTTCGAACGCGAGGGCGACGCGCGGGAGGGACGAGCCAATGGTTGATTCGAATTGAGGAGCTTGAAATTGCAACAGACATTGAAGGACGGGAGAATGCCGACTTACATGGTGCGCTTACCTAAGGCTGTAACGTTAATAGAAGAGGGTGAGCTGCAGCCAACCAGATCAAAGGATGAGAGGAAGCTCTTGACGCCTGTATTACTCCGTACCTCTTCAGTCACTGCAATGCTCATCAAGACAGCAAGTTCTCAGATAAAAAAGATATGCAATGGAGCATTTGCTTGTTTGACGGACCAAACAACATCATCTGCCAATGATGTCTTTGATACTATCCAGAATCGCCTTGATCTGCCCCGAGATCCGAGCCAATCTTATCGTATCGTAATTGCAAGCAACCGAGATCGTGCGATAAAGTGGTCCCTCTCCTTGTCCGCCCGCCTCCCACGTTTTCAGCCTGCCTGCCACTTCTGTGAGCTCGTCATTTGCTAGGCCATGGAGGGGCAGCCAAAAAAAAAAAGTTGCAACTACAGATGGAGGGGCAACGACCTCACCTCATAGTACCTCATCTACCACTACAACTTACTGCCTTCAGTATAGATACCCAACCATATAAACTTATCTAGAGTTCATAAAGAGAGCAACATCTCATCTTTTACACGTTTTATCTATACTTAGTTACGGCCCACTGGGGGGAACAAAAACCAGGAGCATCGCAATGGCCGCTCCCATCGAGGACCCCGACCAGCTCATCACGTCTTCGGACCCGGAGCACCCTGCCAACCTCATCCCTTCGCTGTGCGCCAAGTTCTGGACCTTGGGATGGGTTACGGGCACTGGCGGAGGATGTTCGATTAGAGACGAGTAATTGCACCTCTCTGTTTCATCTTGTTGCTTTCACCAGACTTGCCCCCCTTGTTCATCGGGTCATGAGCTCTCATCTCGAGTGAGATGAGAGAAACGAGCATCACCATGGTTCCATAGCTATCTATTCACTCACTCACTTACACAGCTTTATACAACCTCTTACCTACACCATATCCTCACATCGAATACCCCCTACACCCACCTTCATGCAATAACCCAACAGAGAAAGACAGCACCGCTAACAAAACCTTCCCCCAACCCCCAGCAACCTCGTCTACCTCGCCCCCTCGGGCGTCCAAAAGGAACTCATGAAGCCAACCGACATCTACGTCCTCTCCCTCAAGGACCAAGACCCCTCCAACCGCCACCAGCAAGCCCAGCGGACCTACCTCCGCTCCCCGCCCGTCTACAAGCCCTCCCAGTGCACGCCCCTCTTCCTCGCCGCCTTCACCCGCCGCAACGCCGGCTGCTGCATCCACACCCACTCCCACTGGGCCGTCCTCGTCACCCTCCTGCTCGAGGCCAGGGGGAGCTCCGTCTTCGAGATCAACAACATTGAGCAGATCAAGGGCTTCGGCAGGGGCTTCCAGAAGACGGGCAACTTGGGCTACCACGATACGCTGCGGATCCCGGTCATTGAGAATACGCCGCACGAGGAGGACTTGACCGAGTATCTGGAGGAGGCCATGGACGAGTTCCCGGATACGTATGCTGTGCTGGTGAGGAGGCATGGGGTGTATGTGTGGGGGGACAATGTGCACAAGGCGAAGACGCAGTGCGAGAGGTGAGTTTTTTTTTTTGGTTTTCTTGCTTGATGAACGTTGCGTTTTAGCTTTGTAATCTGTTGAGAGATTTGTGCTGATGGTATTTCGTTTGACAAAGTCTCGACTATCTCTTCCAGCTGGCGGTTGAGATGCACCAGCTGGGTCTCCCTTGGATCAGCAACATCCCCCAGATTGCGCCGCAGAGGACATGAGAGAGGCAAGCAATAGATGGAAAGACATATGGATCTGATAACGGGGTCATCTGGGAGGAGACTGGAGTTCAAAAGGCTGTAGAAACAGCCGACGTTGTCCATTTTCAACAATGTCAGCAAGATATCAATCAATGTTCAACCTTTTGTTATTCTAATCTTGCGTATTGTTTCTTTGCTCATAGCTCATCTCTGGAGCGGGAATCCTCCACTACAACCTCCGCTTCCTCCCCTTCTAGCACGTCGACGTGACCTTCCTCAACCTCCCTAGGTATCGAACCTAACTCATCCGCCTCGTGTACAGCATCCACAATCTTGCCCACCTTGTCAACCATGGACTCATCCCCACCCTCATCAACCACGTTCTTCTCCCCTCCTCCCACCTTTGCAGTCGGCAAGCTCTCATCCGGCATCCCATCGACCCGAATCTCCCCATCAAGCACCACCCCAGCCGTCCCAGACTGCCCAGGTTGTCCTCCTGCCCCTCCTCCTCCTCCTCCTCCTCCCCGACTATGCATCACCGCGCTCCCGGCCTTGGTCCCCACCCCAAACATGATGCGCAGCGGCAACCACACGAGCCACCACAGCGGCCCGTACAACAGCCTGCGGAACACCAGCCACGCCCCCGTCACCATGAGCATGTACAGCGCCGTCTGCAGGTACCACGTGTCGCTCTTCTGGGACCGCAGCAGCGTCCCCAGCAGGTCCCGCGAGCTGGCCAGCATGCCGTCCAGCGACGTGTATGACTCGTCCAGCTTCCGCAGCGCGGCCGACGACTCGGACAGCGTCTGCCGCGCGAACTCGCTCTTGGTCAGCTCCGCCGCGATGAGGGCGTGCGTCCGCCGCAGCGCGTTGGTCACGTTGCTGCTCGCGCCCACCGTCTGCCGGTCTTCCTCTGAAAGGCTCGACTGCAGAGGCCGGTGGTGGTGATGTTGCTGGGCGTAGGTGTGCCGCGGCGGTTTCGGGGCTGGCTGTGAGTCTTCGGCGCTGCTGCTGCTGCTGCCGCCGGCAGAGGCATTCGTCTCAGACACGGCTTCGGCGAGGGATTGGACGAGGAGCTCTCGTTCTTGTCTGCGCGCTCGCTCTAGGTTCCCCTTTGCAGATAGCCGTGCTTTTCGAAGCGATGATCGATAGCTAACACAATGTGAACCAAAACTCGTCAGCACATGCCTCTCAAGAAAGAGAAAAAGAAAATCATAGAAGTGAACAGGTCCTTACCTAGCCAGCTCACTCCCCACCCTCTCAATCCCATCCTCAAGCCTCTCCTTCTCATGCCCTCCCCTCCGCAGATACTTGACCTCCTCGCACAACAGCTGCTGCTCCTCCAGTCCCGTCCTCAGCATCAGGCCCGCCTCCGCACTCAGCTCTCCACTCACACTCCCCTCCTCCTCGATGGTCAACGGCACAGACCCCGGCTCAAACTCGACATTGGCCAGGCGATCGATCAGGTCCCTGAGTTGCGCGGTGGTCTCCTGCAGGGCCGCGAGCCGCTCCTGGAGGCTCTCGAGCGACATTCCTGCAAGCAGACTGCGTCCGGGCGCAACAAAGGAAAACGAAAGGCTGAGAAAGCGGTGGTCTTTTGTTGGTTATAGTAATAGCACACAGCTTCGTTCGATGTTGACAGCTTATAGCCACGAAATCCCACATGTCATCATCATTGGCCCAGTACCTTACGTAGCAGCACTCACGGCACCCCGCATAAAACGATATGCACATATCGAGTCATCCACCAAAATTCGCAACCATCATTGCCGCAATCCCACCTCTCACAGCCATAGTAAGACCAAATTCTAATATATCGCCAAGTTCCGCCTTTCTATCTAACACAAGAACTACGGCTCTACGGCTTTCCCCACCGCCGGCATATCCTAAAACAAGATGATTACCAAATTCATGACAGAGGTCACGGCCAAATTCAACCCCTTCTCGACCTGCGCAAAGCCCGCCCGCCTGTTCCTGACGTTCCTCCCGCCAAACGTTCGCGCCAATGGGACGACGGTCCATACGAGTCTTTTGCCGAGGAACTCTCCCGAGAGCAGTTCTCTCAAGGTCAAATTCAGTACGTCCGATCTCTACATCAAAGAATCTGAAAAGAGGGAAGAAAGGGGCGGTCGAGAACAGCGAGCTAATCGTGTTTCCTTTCACAGAGGACGGCAAGGAGATGGATTTCAACTGTTCAAAAACCAACATCAAGAGCTTGATCGAGGAAGTCGACCGTCACTCGCGCCAGCTGCAAAAGGCTGCTGATCTGTCCGAATAAACAAAAGTTCTTGTCTCTATACTGTTCAATGCATTGACGGCGTTATGCGGGGGCGGGGATACGGCCTGTGATGAGGCCAACTGGTGACAGCACGGAATGTTGTACGATATCATCTTCATGGAAAAGTTTTCTTGTACTTTTACTGCAGAGCTTAGATTCTCCTTTTTTTTTTGTTCTTTTTGACTCTGGCAGGGTATACTATCAAAGACTATAGATTTGATACACTGGCGCCATCAAACTTTCATCATAAATTATGCATACTAAGCAGATGCACCGCTGATGAAGAACCACTTGTCGATGGAGGCATCGATCTTCTCAGGGGGGAGGTCCTGGTGGGGAGGCAGAGGAGGCAGGGACTCGGGGGCAACGCGGCTGGGGGAGTGCTGGACGGTCACGTTGGTGCTGCAAACAAAGTTAGCCAAGTGGTTCGTTCAACGTGGCACGTGTAATGGGACTTGTACTTACGTGGAGACGCTGCCGGGCTGGGTCTTGCCGGTGATGAGGCGCTCCCAGGCCTCAGCGCACTCGCGGATGACATCCATGGCATAGCTGCGATTTTTGTCAGCTCAGAATCATGGAAAAGGCAGTAACATTAGAAGCATACCTCTTGTTCTTGCACTCGCCGGTGAAAGCGAACTGGTTCTCGGGCTTGCCGTCGGGGATCTTGTAGATACGGAACCACTCGTTGGTGGCACGGAGCAGGCCGGGCAGGTGGCGCTCGACGTCCTCAACGTCGTTGAGCTTGGGGGCCAGGGGGTCGTTGACGTCAATGACAATGACCTTCCAGTCAGTCTCCTCCTCGTCGAGAAGGGCCATGACACCGAGGACCTTGACCTGCTTGACCTGGCCGGGGTAGCCAACAAGCTCGCCGATCTCGCAGACGTCGAGAGGGTCGTTGTCACCCTTGGCCTTGGTCTCGGGGTGGACGGTGTTGGGGTCTTCCCAGGTCTGAGAGGCAGGACAATTGTCAGTTTGCCGTCGCACACGAGCACGAGGGCGTCTTTGGCCTTGGGAGGGTTGGGTAGGAGTGGGTATCATCGCATACCTGGGGGAAGGCACCGTAGTTCCAGAGGTAGCCTTTGTGGGGGAAGCAGTTGCGGACATAGCGAAGCTTGCCCTTCTTCACATCCTGCTTGATGGGGTTGAGAAGCTCCTCCTTGGAGATCTGATGGACAGAAATCATGTTAGCGATGCCTAAATAGGAGACGCGGAAAAAAAGGAGCAGCTTCAGTTAAAAGGCGGGAATGGCTTCCGAGCGCGTCGTCCCCTACTGAAGCCATCTTCCGCACATTGCAGGTATCAATCAATCAATGGCGTACCTCAAGCTTGGCATTGGTCCAGCGAGGAATCTCGACAACCATGTTCAGGATGGTCTGCTCCTGGTTGGCAAAGAGCGGGATGTCGTGGAAGGGCGAGATGGGCACGCCATCCTTCTCGATGTAGACGCGGTGCTCCAGAGTGTTCTGGGGGGCAACCTTGCGGACGGTGTAGTTGGCCATGGTGGCGGTTGGCGGCGTGGATGAAGCGTCGCTGGTGTCCTCGCGGGGTGGTGGTGAAGAAGAAGACAGGTGAGCAGCAATTTGCGCAGTCCGCCGGGAGGGTTGAAGAGACTGGGAAGCTTGCGAGGAGGCGGAGGAGTTTTGGCCTGATGGAGGGGGCGGGGCACGGGGACCCATCCTGGCCAGGGCAGCAGCAGCAGCAGCAGCGGTAGTGGTGCTGGTAGCGGCGCTGAAAGGGGGGGCGATAGGGGGGTTGATAGGGGCAGCAGCGGTGCTGTCAGCGCCTGTAGTAATACCGCCAGCCGATCCGCCCAGGCCAACGTCAGAGCAGAGACCCGGAGCAACACCAGCAGCAGCTAATGAAGAGGCACCACCGCCAGACGCAGCAGAGGCAGAAGCAGGAGTAGAAGCAGAGGCAGAGGCAGAGGCGGCACACCACCGTCGCGTTGTCCAGGGAAGAGCAGCGCTCCGATTGGGCGACGAAAGGACTGCGCAACGCAGACTCTGCCACCTGAGTTGCGGTGCTCGTCGAGGAAGCAACATGGGCCTTGGGGGCGCCTTAATTCCAGCCGATGATCAGAAAAATTGCAGGTTTGCGACGAAGATCTCGGATGGGCAAACGCTGCTTGCTGCCTCCCCCCCGGTCCAAGGGAAAATGGGAACGAGCCAATGGCTTAAAGAGGGTCTGGGAATTGCTCTCTTTTTTTTCCCGCTGAAGGTGCTGGAACCTCTTTTTCTTTTCCACCCGACCTTTGGAAGAGTCCAACTAACATTCAGCGGTGCGGTTTCGGGTCTTTTGGGGGGGGGGGGGGGGCCGCCATTGACCGAGGTCCGTACAGTAGGTAGGCTATTCCAGTGCCGGGCTGCCCAACGGCTGTGCTGCCGGGAATACTGTATCAATGGCTGGGGCATCTTGTGCACGAATCGCATCGTTGGTGCTCGAGGAGCGGTAAGATGGAACGGACTCGCCCAAGGCGTCATCGCTGCGGGTCTGTTGGTGTTAGTGAGGCTGATCGTTGCAAGTATCTTACAGCGCCGATTATGTGACAAGATACCTTTCGGGTGATTGCGGAATAACAGTGCCCTGTCGCCTGCACGGTGAGGTATTACACGAGGAACTCGAGGAACATGTAAGAACTCACGAAGCTGAACGACAGGCCGCAAGGCTTCGCTGTAATATCAAGGCCTTCACGTCGGTCCAATTCATCGATCTTATTGTACTAGTTGTCAGATCCAACTGCTCTTATCTCATCCTCTCAACATTGTGAGAATTGGGCTTCAACCACCAGAGCAAACCACGGACGCCGACGCTCTGTTTGGGTCTTGCCTTACCCTGGACATATGGGAATGAGGACCATTCCGAACTCAAATGCTGCGTCAGTCTCCATCAACTGCTCGTCTTATTGTGAAGAATCAGGCAGGAAAATAAGATGTAATCAAGTCCATCATTGGAAGTAACTAGATATGCAACATCGCCAAACCCTGGCAGAATAACCCAAGAGCAACCAGATCCCACAGCACCAACAGATGAAACAGAAGCTCTTTCTGAACAAGGAACATGGAGAGGCTCCAGCACACCTCACAGCACTGCCTAACCGCTGGGCGCAGGCGAACTCCTCTCGCCGTCTGACCCATACTCACTGGAGGACTCGGGCGTCCAATCCTTGAGATCGTCCTTAGCATCATTCAGGATCTGACGAGCCTGGGTGTCGCCCGTGTAAGGCTCGGGACCGCTTCCGGGCGGGACCGCCTCATAGTCGAGAAGCCTGAGAAGACGGTGGCCGTGCCGGGCCATGATGATTTGCTTCTCAGCGCGCTCAATGACTGCATCAAACTCCTTCCGATATGCTTCCTTGAAGTTCTGGCGAGTCTGTGATCCAAGGCCGAGTTAGCAAGCAGAGTCTTATACATACATGCACGAGGGGGGAAAAGGGGGGGAGATTCCACCACTTACAACGTTGGTCAACTGCGCCTCGGCGACCAGATTCTTAGCCCTTGCCCTTTGAAACTCTTGCTCAAGCATAACCAGCCTCTCGCCCTGAGGATCCTTGGCCATCACCTTCTGGAGCTCGTCTGTGACCCTCTGCATTCCCTCGCGGCTCGGATGGACGCTCCTCTCGGTGTCGCGGATCAGCTTAAGGTGAGTGCGCGCAATGTCTGCTGCAACCGCATACTTCTTGTCCAGCTCCCCAATCTCCGTAAGAATAACGCCCACCTTGTCGGCCAGGTCGCTGATGGCCTTGTCAGCCGTCTGCTCGCCCCATTCGGCGAGCTGCACGGCAACGGTCACGCGTCGCTGGCCCGCCGTCTCGTACGCATTGCCGACGTCCCTCGTGCCCTTGACCAGGCGGAACATCTTCTGGGAGAGCTCGGGCTCGCGGAGAGAGGCGATGGAAAGCCCGAGGACGCGGTCCTTCATCGTGCTGGATCTCGACCGGTTGGAGCGGGTGGACATTTCACGACTCCGGGCTGGAGGGACGAAGAATGACTCCTCGGGCTTGGAGGAGGACTCGGCCGCGTCGTCGACGTGTGGCTGGACGGGCTGGGCGACTGGCGTCTCGGGGGCAGCTGTAGACATGATGATACGATGCGATATGAATGGTAGCAAGAGAAAACGCCAAGAAGAAAGTAGCGAAGAATGTTTGTAGATGACACTGTCGAGAGAGCAACGGAGAGTACGAGTAGAGCTGATTAGCAACACAAATGTCTGATGAATAAATAAGGTATGAAGCAGCAAGTGACTCTTGAACTGTGAAGGAGATTGTGATGCCTTATAGATCGCAGGAGAGCTCAGTCCAGTGTGCCTTCCATCGTAGATGACGATGCTTTGTCGCTGAACAGACTGAGTCGTGCCTTTCTCACGGCTGAAAAGGCTCATGATTGAGCTACGGGCAGGCAGTGTTCATGTTGACGAGAATGAACATGGACGCTGGAGATGAATGAATAGGTGCTAGAGGCGAGTCTCTTGTTGAACACTGAATCAAAGAAATCCGGGTCTTTCCCCTCTGTTTTGATATGGCTGTGTAGGAGAGTTTGCCATTGCGAACGCAAACAGCGCAAATGCAGAGCTGTTTGTTCCAAGAGCGCGAATGTCACTGTTGTGTGGAAGAGGAAGAGGGAGAGCTCAATTGCGTGGATTGAGATGAGCTCTGACTTGACAATGGGCGGGAGATTCCGCGAGAGTCCGGTGACGATGCGTCATTTCGCGGACATGGTCTGTCTGGAGAAGCTTTGGTACCAGCCAAGAAATGGTCGGGCTACCCAGCATATAGTATCATCGCATGAGCAACTCTTTTTAATTTAGAACCCGTAGGCGTAAAATAAAACGTCGTAATCTTTCCAACGCCATCATCGCATCCAAGTCTCGTAGCTTCATTATCCGTCGCTTTCCTCGCGATTCCATCATAACCCGCCCCCAAAAAACCCAGCTCTAATACCGCAGAGCACGCATGTGAAAATCGAGCCATAAAAACCAGAACCAAAAGAACCAAACCCGAAAGTCAGGGCCAACGACCAAAGGTAAATCAAGGACACCGGCTCCTCATCGTCTCGTCTCCTTCTCTACCGGGTGTACACAACCCTCGTCGGCTCCTCGTACACGACCCTCGACGGCACGCTGCGCCGGTAGCTGCTGGAGCTGACCCGCGGGCTGTAGCGCTCGACGGTGGTGTAGCTGCTCGTCCGCGGCGAGTGGTGGTGATGGTGGTGGTGATGGCGGTACGGCCGCGCGGGGATGATTTCCTCCTGGTAGTAGTATTTCGCCTTTGGTTCCACGGAGAAGCACATTGTGGCTTTTTTGCGTTTGGGAGTAAACGGGGATTTGTTTGAGTGGTGTTGGAGTTGGGTGTGTTTCGTCGGGGAGAGCAATTGATTCCCTGCTGGGTAGGACTGAGTACAATGAATCTCAGCTTGGCGATTGATTTGTTCCGCAAATCTGATAGATGTATTCGTGGTATGTAGTAGGTTATTCAGATCAAAGAGAGGGAGGACGAACAAGCTCTCGTACAGCCAAAGGTATGTGTAAGTACAACAAAGAAGTCGGAACAAGGCTTTCGTTGGGCATACAGAAAGGAACCGTCCCGATTCTTTAAATAACCGCCCAGGATCTGGGCAATGACACAACTCGTACACTTCCATCTTTCGATCCCGTGGCCAAGTTTCTGATCCCTGTTCAGTGCCGCCATACATACCTCGCACATACGAGTAGGTACAGCGTGGAGGCCCTGCGCCACTCCACCAATCTGCAGCACATACCTTAGACACGAGCCGAACGCAGGGCATCCGTCGGCTTGGAGTCAGACATGAGCTTGTTGCTGGCACAGCCTCTGGTGCATTGAAGCTGTCCCTCGCCTATGCCGGATCTAAGCTGATTCAAGCTGGACCGGGAGTAGGTTCTCCATGCTGTCGCTTTGTATATGCGAGGCATCTGCGTCCATGTGCTAGACTACAGTACATATGTAGGCCAAAGGATCGCTGCATCTTTACAGCATCTTTATTTCAGCCGTGACGGTAGAGGCGCTAATGGCGTCATCGCAGAGCTCACGATCTACAACGATCCAATCCAATGAGGCGCTGGTCAAAAGCCCATCGTCAACATCGCTCTACCTTACAAGTACAGACTTCACCGCCAGCTGAAATGGAGACACATGTACAAAACAGAAAAAAACTTGCTTGGTTTCTACCACAGAGCTCGCTATGTAGCCACTGCCAGCGGGCTGATATTTGGCGCGCCATACTTCGTACAAGGTCAATAAATCACATCTATCGTTTTTGCTGCGTCGTGCAGCCTCATTCTCGCCCAACTTGGCCCATCCTCTAATACACCCCAAGATCCAACTTCATGTCTTTTTATTTGGATGAGAATCCCACCTGCACCTTTCCAACCGCCCATGCCGCGGCATAGACGGCAAGCATGCTGACAAAGATAACCACGGGCTTGCGCAGAGTGCCAGTCAATGGCGTCTCGTAGGAGATGACGAGGTCCCGAAATCGATGTTCGTCCACCAGGTTCTTGGCCTTGATGGTAACAGCTGTCCGGCCAGCCGTGTCGAGATACGTCTTGTGAACACCAATGGACGTCTCGACAATCGATGAGTCAGGGATGCTGGTGTAGAATTTGACGTTCCTGGCTCATTGTTAGCTTCCATCGCAACATTGCTGTGTCCAAGGCATTCAATGGAGATACTCACTCGGATCCCTCCGGCAAGAGGACTCGGACGTTGACCTCGCCGTACTCGACACCCTCCACCTGCTTCGGTCCCTCCAAAAAGGGCACCTTGAGCACATGGCCTCCGCTGGCGGTGTTGCGCAGCACGTTGGCCGCGTTGGTGTTCCAGCCAATGGTGAACGGGTACTTCCAGCCGCCAAAGACGGGGTACCGGGGCTTCAGTTCCAGCATGGCCTCCCGCTTGCTGCTCCTGAATCGAGAGGTCGACACGTTGCCAATGGTGTCGATGAAGTAGGGGTCGACACTGCCGACCTGAAGAGGGAACTTGAGCTCCTTCAGTGCCACGGTCGCAGGCTGGTAGAACTGAGATTGGGCCCACTTGACACGGTTGAACAAGGAGGATAGATTGGCCCCTCGATGGTACAAGGTGTACCTCTCCTCAAACGCAACGTTGCCGCCCCAGTGGCTGACTTCAATGTCTCTCTCGAGCGTCTCAACGTGGATCACGGGCTTGGTGAACTCGAATCTGACCTGGGCGGGGAAGTAGGCGCCGGCCGGCTGCTCATCAAAGGGTCCGTACAGCATCTTACTGCCAAGCTTCTCCGGAAACTCCTTGCCTTCAGGGCCGGTAGTCTTGGTGTAGTCTGGGATGGTGACTGTCGAGAACTTGACCTCTGTCTTTTGCTTCAGGGTCGGGTAAGCCGACGGGGCGTACAGGGAGAAGTCGTAGACCAGGAATTGCTGTTCGTCCTGAGCAATTGAGGCTGGCAGAGGGCGATAGGAGTCGAGGTAGAACCATGAGATGGCGAGGGGGTACTGGCCGCCGGCCTTGAGAGGCGTCGGAAGAGTGATGCGGTAGTATTGGACGTCGCTGGAGATGCGTGGTCAGCTACAGAAGACATCATTCACTGGGCATCTCAAGGATCGCAAGCCATGCACGTACTTGGAGCCATCATACTCCACCAAGTCGACACCAAAGGGCCCGATCTTGTCATCCTTGCGGTCCTTGGCCTCGAGGCCACCAACCCGCGCAATCTGACTGGCGGTAAACGGCAAAAAGTACTCGGACTGAGGCTCGCTGGCCACATTCTCGAGCAGGACGTTGATCTGCTCCTTTGCATAGCTCTTCTCGACCGAAATCACATGCACGAGGTTGGTGTTCTTAAAGACTGGTGGGGGCTTGAAGTCGACGGGCAGAGTAACCGTGGAGAGGGCGCTGCAAGGCCCAGCGGCCAGGAGGCCCAGCAGCGTCGCAAATACTGACAGCGACTTCATCTCGACGAGGGCATTGACCGGGATTGGGCGAGCCCTGCGCAGTGGGATGGAGGTTCAGCGGCTGTCTGTCTGGCTCTCGATCGCGAGACTGTGGCAGCTTCGCTGTCTCTTTGGCGTTAGTGCGGCCGAGTTGAGCATTGAAGCATACGTCGCCCATTCGATAACGATAAGCGACGAAGCTTGGGGGCCCGGGCATTGGGGGAGCTTGGGGTTGGCCAATCAGCGGGCCGCCACTGGAGCTGGTGGCGGCGATATGAATTTCCGGGCCTCGGGGAATGCAGGGAATGGACCTCCACTGGGTTTGCTGACTGGCCGTTGCCCTGCTTGAGGCTTCAGGTCCTTTCTGGGCGTTGGAGTAGGAGAGGCAAAGAGGCAAGTTGGACGGTGGAGACATGACGACAAGCGGTGCGTCGACTTTGTCTGGCCGGGCATGAAGGATCGAGCTAGAATCTGCCGGCATTGAAAAGGTTATCTGGAGATGGACGAAAGGGCCTCGTGGTCTCGATACCGGCACACGGGTTAGAGCATGCATGTAAGGTATTGATGGAATCTTGGTGCTGGTGATGGCAATTGTCCACGAACTGGTGTAGATGCATTACATCGTGGGTACTCCCAACTGCTTGTATATAATGCTGATCTCAGCATTATTTCATCTTCCTCCTACGTGGTGCCATCCATTCAAAGCGCTCGACTCCGGCGTCTGGTGATCGGATGCCCAGCGAGGTCAACAGGTGGTCTGGCCGCTGCATCAAACGCCCGTGTCCCGGCTGGATGGGGCACCGCAAGCCCACTAATCGATGCACTGGATGGCCCTGAGCAGCAGCCGGCTCCAGCGGCCAACCAGAGCTGGAAGCATCGGCTAGGGGGCCCAACTAATGAATTGGATGGAACCCAGCCCAACGTTCGAGCCTTTATAGCTCCAGCCTGCTTCCCCGTGCCTCGAGCTTTTTGTCGTGCTCCTTTGCTCGGACCTCTTGCGAGTTTCGCTCAACCAACAAGCCCGTCCACTCCACCCCTATCAACCCTCTGGCTTTGCTGCCTCGTCGCTCAATTCCTCGCTGCCGCCCTCGTCCACCGCGTGTGCTTCACTGCCGTCACGCTCAGCTCAGCTCTTGCTCTGGGAGCCTCCTTTTACACTTTTCAACTACCCCGCCAACAGACCCCGCGATCCCACCGTCGAAATGGTTGGACTCGGACCTCGCCCGCCTCCCTCTAGAAAGGGTACGTTGACTTCATGCTGTTCCTGTTCATGCTCTGGATTCCGTTTCATCCATCCTGTCCAATTCCTCATTCTTCTTGTCATGTCCCAAGGCCCGCTGCCGTCTTGCTGTTGCGTTGCACACTTTGCTGCCCATTCCGGCCGGTATCAGGCCATTGTTTCCCTTGGATACACGACACATTTGCCGGTATCAAAAACGTCTTCAAACTGCCCACTTTGTCTACGATAAGAACGGAACCCTAGTAGGAGCGAGGCGTGCTTAGCTTTCAAGCCATCATGTCCTGCTCTGCACCTTACTCAATTCCTGGCTAAGGCAAGGGGTTAAGAGTCCCGCTTGTAACGTCATCTCCAAGTTGCACAGGACAGCCCGTCTGGCGCCAGGTACATATATGTACCACGTCATGGTACTACTGTTAGGCAACCAACAAAAAACGGCATATATAGCGGCTTGATGATCCTTAGTTTCGCCTCGTCTCCTTCTCCACACTCGGAACTCGGACTATCAGAGTTGCTGTAGCAGAAAATACTGACCACCATGCTAGGCTCAACGGCGGATTTGCCCAAGGATCTCCTCAATGAAGTGAGGAAGCTGGAGGAGATCTTCACCGTCGACACCGCCAAGCTCAAGCAGATCACGGACCACTTTGTCAATGAGCTCGCCAAAGGTTCGTGCCGATGCGTGTCGATAGCCATTGATTGTACCGCAGGCTAATGTTTGGCGTCACAGGTCTCAGTGTGGAGGGTGGCAGCATCGTGCGTAAAAGAGTCCTTCAAGATTTTGAGTGTTTGATACTTGGTATACTAACAACGTCCAGCCCATGAATCCTACCTGGGTCATGGCTTACCCTGATGGCCACGAGACTGGTTCTTTCCTGGCTCTTGATATGGGCGGCACCAACCTGCGGGTCTGTGAAATCACCCTGACGGACCGCAAGTCGGAGTTCGACATCATCCAGTCCAAGTACCGCATGCCGGAAGAGCTCAAGACCGGCTCCAGCGAGGAGCTGTGGGAGTACATCGCCGACTGCCTGCACCAGTTCATCGAGACACACCACGGCGACTGCAGCAAGCTGGATGCCATGCCTCTCGGCTTCACCTTCTCCTACCCTGCCACTCAGCACTACATCGACGAGGGCATCCTCCAGCGCTGGACCAAGGGCTTCGATATTGCTGGTGTTGAGGGGCAAAACGTCGTGCCCATGTTCGAGGCCGCCATTGCTAAGCGTGTAAGTGGTGCCTGCCTGTGCTGCCTTTGCTTCTGCGTGGGCATAATCCGGTGAAACTTGCTCACATGTGACATTGATTGATAGGGTGTGCCCATCAAACTGTCGGCTTTGATCAACGACACGACAGGCACGTTGATTGCTTCCGCCTACACCGACCCCAAGGTGAAGATTGGCTGCATCTTCGGAACTGGATGTAACGCGGCCTACATGGAGGACTGCGGCTCCATCCCCAAGCTGGCGCACATGAACCTCCCCCCTGACTGCCCCATGGCCATCAACTGCGAGTGGGGTGCCTTTGACAACGAGCACAAGGTCCTGCCTCGCACCAAGTACGACATCGCTATCGATGAGGACTCTCCTCGCCCTGGCCAGCAGGCGTTTGAGAAGATGATTGCAGGTCTCTACCTGGGCGAGATCTTCCGGCTGGTCCTGGTGGATTTGCACGACAACAAGGAGATTCACATCTTTGAGAACCAGGACATCTCTTTGCTCCGCAGGCCCTACACTCTGGATTCGTCCTTCCTGTCGGGCATTGAAGAGTGAGTTTCCACGCCAACCAACGCCTGCAATTGTAGGATTGCAATTGAAGCTAATCGATGAAAAGGGACCCCTTCGAGAACCTCCAAGAGACCTTTGATACCTTCCAGTCGAAGCTGAACATCACACCCACGGGACCCGAGCTGGAGCTGGTTAGGAGACTGGCAGAGCTCATCGGAACACGAGCTGCCAGACTGTCCGCCTGCGGTGTAGCCGCCATCTGCAAGAAGAAGAAGTTCGAAAGCTGCCACGTCGGTGCCGACGGATCCGTCTTCAACAAGTACCCTCACTTCAAGGCCCGCGGCGCCCAGGCCCTGCGAGAGATCCTCGACTGGCCCGCGAAGTCCAACCCCAAGGAGGAGGACCCGGTGGAGATCCTGGCGGCCGAGGATGGCAGCGGTGTTGGCGCGGCTCTGATTGCAGCCCTGACACTGAAGCGTGCCAAGGCTGGCAACTTGGCCGGCATTTTGCATCCTGAGAATTTTGTCTAGATTGGACCATGTTTGTCTGAGCCAAAAAAAGTTACCTAAAAGAAAGATATGATTACCAAAAGAAGACGGCTAAAAAATATACATATTCCTTTATTGATGATTTGTTCTTCTCTATGTTCACAACAAGCACTCCGCCTGGGGTATATGATTGCAAGTCTATCTCGTTCGCGTCAACCCATAAAGGTGCAAATTGGTAGTCGGTACTCTGTGTCCAATTGTTAGCCCACACACAAGCCAGCAGTTCCATGCTACTGAAGGAGGGGGAAACTTACTGTCCAACGTCCAGTACCGTCGTCGAACGCCCTCCCACTCTCCTTGGCCATCCTTGTCCAGCTGGGCCATGTCAACGTCGCTCTCCTCCCATTCCACGTCCAGACCCGCATCAGCGCAGTGCATCTCCACCACCTTTGTGTAGACGTCGTAGCACACCCTCCGATCCGCACCGAGGCCATTGAAGAAGCTGAACCGGCCGCCCTGGTCCAGCAGCGCAGGAACCCACTCCATGATGAAGGTCCGCAGCTGCGAATAGTCCTCTCCAAAGGTGTCAAAGTAGATGGCATCGTACAGGTAGCCCGCCTCGGCGAGCAGCGGGACGACGTCCTGCCACCTCCCCTTGCAGACCTGGTACTCGCCCTCCTCGGGCCCGCTGTCCTCCCAGACGCGGCCGAACGCGCTGCCGGGGCTGGCAATGTGCTCGAGCACCTTGGGGTGGGCCTCGATGATGTGGTGGCGCGAGGGCTTGAGGTCGGCGAACATGCCGTCGATGATGCCCATGCCGAAGCCGACGTTGAGGACGCGCTTGCCGAGCGGGGCGCCGGGGAGGAGGGCGGCGACGGAGCGGCGCATGATGTCCGTCTCCCAGGACATCATGACGCCGTTGAGGTCGGCGTCGAGGAGCTTGTTGGCGTCGTAGGTGAGGTCGGACTCGAGGTATTCTTTGCTGGTGACTGGTTTTTCGTCAATTTCGGGGGGAACGAAAGCTTTTTCTTCGTCTGCTCCAGCGGCAACGTCTTCTTCCTTTTCCGCGACTTCGTCGTCCTTCATGGCCTCGTCGTCTTCCTCGTCCTCGCCGGAGGAGAGCTCTTCGTAGCCGTCCATCAGGGCAAAGAGAATCTCTGCGCGAACGCCGGCGTCGACGCAGAGGTTATACAGGGCCTTTCGGCCGAGCCGGTAGGCGACGCAGCCGGGCGTCTCGTTGTTGGCATCGACGTCGTTCCAGATGGCGCCGGAGAAGAAGAGGGCCTGGACGACGTCGCGGGCCTCCTCCACGCAGCCATCCTCGCCCTCGTCTTCTTCTTCCGCCTCCTCCTCAGGAGCAGCCTCATCCTTGTCGCCAGCAGCAGCAGCAGCAGCGCTCTTGTCCAGTTCGTCGGCCGGGCCGCAGGCGCGGATGGCGGCGTGCAGCGGGGTCTCGCCGGTCTTGGGGTCCTGGACGCTGGCCTTGGAGCGGTCGGCGGCGAGGAGCTTCTTGAGGCCGCTCAGATCGTGGGCCCAGGCGTGGTGGAGGACATCGCGGGTGTCCTGGGGGCAGTCGGGGGAGATGCGCGCTTGGAGGGAGTCGTCAATTGGGGAGGGCATGGCGGGGTAATTGGCTGGTGATGTTCTGTATCTGAGGTTATTAAGTTGCTTCAGTAGGGGTCCGGCTTTGGTGGATTGGTGGATTGGCCGGAGCGGGTTAGGCGACTTGGACTCTTTCTTGTGTAAGGCACCTTGGGTCTGCGTCTGGTGTCAGGCTTGAAGTCGCAGCGACTCTCAACTCAGCTGCCAATACCAATTACCGCTACTGGCAACATCACCAGAAACTCGAGAAAAAAAAACGAATAGATCGGTAGATAAGATAGACCCTCGACGTGCCCCGCTAGTCCAGTGCATGTGGCCATTCAGCCGGCACACATATCGTAAGCTAAGAAGCTGAGATGACGCTCGAGTGCTTAATCGATAGGTCTAGCGCGCTGCCGCTAAAACTCAATGCCTACCGAAGGCCACCGAAGGCTGCTGAAGCCACTGGAGCTCCAGTGGATCGCAGGCGCTCCGTAACGCATGGGTGAACCGCTGTGGGCCGCCGTTTCCCTCCCCTTCACGTTGCCCAGCTGGTCGCCCTGATTCGCCAGAAGCTGCCGCGATTGGCTGGGCGGTGGAGCCTTTTGGCATCGAGTTCCAGCTCCAAGAGGCTGCGAAAAGTCGAGGCCTTGGACGGTTCGAGTGACGGGGGCTCCGTTTCTTCTTCTTCCAGCATCAACGGCAGCGACTTTTTGGAAGGATTACTCGTACAACAGCTCAGAATTATTACTTCCTGCTACTCCCCTCCTCTCTTCCGATTTGCTGAGGCCTCGCGTAGCCGGGATTAGGCCCTTCTCTTCCCTCGCACCCACTTCTGCCGGCATCCACGAGACGCTGCCGCAGTTGTGCTCGCCCCCATCCATCCCCAAAGGTGAGTTTGGCCTCGGAAACGACACCGGGAAGAGCCTGCAATCGCATTTGTCGGCCTTTCCCTCCCTTACATCACTTGTGCTCTTCCTGTTTCCCTGCTTCTTCTTTCAATTGGATCTCAAATCCGGCCCCATTGCGCTCCTGTCGCCCGCCGACCGCCTGTTGCGAAGAGCTCACAAAGCCCGTGTCTCCATGCTGATTGCGAAAGATTACAGGGCCATCGACAAGAACTGGACAGCCCTCCGACCGCGCGGCAAACCCCCTCAAGTTGGACCAGGCGTCGTCGTCATGAAGTTCGGCGAGCAGCTGCGGTCGAGCATCATCCGCGAGTACCAGTGGTACTACATCGACTACAATGGCCTCAAGGCCGAGCTCAAGGCCGCCACCGGCCCGCTGGCCGCCGACGGCTCTGGCCACAAGCAGTGGACCGAGGACGACGAGACGCGCTTCGTCGCCAAGCTCGAGGCCGAGCTCGAGAAGGTGCACACCAAGCAGCAGGTGAAAGCCATGGAGATCTCCCGCCGCATCGCCGTCAGCGAGCGCGAGGTCAAGGAGGTCGTCAACCGGCTCAACGAGCGCGGCCCGGGCGAGGAGGGACCCAGCGAGGAGGAGTTTCTGCTGCTGGAAGAAGACCTGAGTGACATTATTGCCGACGTCCACGACCTGGCCAAGTTTGTCCAGCTCAACTACACCGGATTCTACAAGATTATCAAGAAGCACGACGTACGCATGCTCTCCTGCTCCTCCGTTGGCAGCTATTGCTAACCGCTCTCGGGCTGCAGAAAATGACGGGCTGGCACCTCCGTCCCGCTTTCGACACTCGACTCAAAGCCAAGCCTTTCTACAAGGAAAACTACGATGCCTCCGTCATCAAGCTGTCCAAGCTCTACGACCTCGTCCGGACAAGGGGCAACCCCGTCAAGGGCGACAGCGCGGCCGGTGGCTCTCAAGCCAGCTTCATCCGACAGACGACGAAATACTGGGTGCATCCCGACAATGTGACGGAGCTGAAGCTCATCATCCTCAAGCACTTGCCTGTGCTGGTCTTCAATGCCAGCAAGGAGTTTGAGCAGCAGGACCAGGCCATCACATCCATTTATTACGATAATCCCGAGAGATTTGACCTTTACGAGGGCCGCCTGAAGAAGACCGAAGGCGCGGAAGCCATCCGACTCCGATGGTATGGCGGGATGAAGACCGAGACCATATTCGTCGAGCGCAAGACTCACCGAGAAGACTGGACGGGAGAAAAGTCCGTCAAGGCTCGCTTCTCGCTCAAGGAGAAAAACGTCAATGCCTACATGAAGGGAGAGCTGCTGCCGGCCGCCATCTTCGAAAAGGCCCGCAAAGAGGGCAAGAAGTCGGAAAAGGCCATTGCTGAGGACGAGAGACTGGCGGCCGAGATCCAATACTCGGTCTTGAAAAACGGCTACAAGCCTGTCTGCCGTTCTTTCTATAACCGAACAGCCTTCCAGCTGCCTGCGGATGCCCGAGTGCGCATCTCGCTCGACACGGAGCTGACCATGATCCGCGAGGACAATCTGGATGGCCGAATCCGCTCCGGTGACAACTGGCGCCGCATGGACATTGGAGTCGACTATCCCTTTTCTCAGCTCCCCCCTGAGGATATCGTGCGCTTCCCCTACGCCGTTCTCGAGGTGAAGCTCCAGACACAGGTGGGACAGGAGCCGCCGGAGTGGATCAGACAGGTCATCGCGTCCCATCTGGTGGAGGCCGTCCCAAAGTTCTCCAAGTTCATCCACGGCACGGCCTGCTTGTTCCCCACCCGCATCAAGCTGCTGCCCTACTGGATGCCCCAGATGGATGTCGACATCCGCAAGCCGGTGACGCACGATTTTGGGATTCGCCGGCCCGATATTTCAGGAACGACGACGACATCGGACGACGAGGAAGAGGAGCTCGATTCCGACGAGGAGGAGTTGATTGCCGCTCGCCGTGGCGCTGGCAACGGCGCTGGCAACGGCGAGTCCAGCAGACATGGCGCCAGGCTTCGTGTCCCGGCGTCCGATATGGAAGGCCAGACGGTTGATTTGCCGAATGCGAACGAAGACTACCCCATCTATGACTCTGACGACGAGTACGACGAAAACTACGAGCTGGAAGAGGCCAGGAGAATCGGCGGGTGGCACTACTATCGGGTCCTCTTCGCGTCAAAGGCCCACGCCGCCGCCTCGGGTGCCTGGAATGCCTTGCAATACGTTATCCCGCGCCCTCGCGCAACCCCGATGCCTCGGGCCGCCAGGCTGCAGTCCCTCTTTGGCGACCAGAGGATCGAGCACAAGAGATTTAGCGCGCCTCCGGGCAAGAAGATTTATGTGCCGGTTCGCGTAGAGCCCAAGGTGTACTTTGCTGCCGAGAGGACGTTTCTTGGATGGGTAAGTTTGGAGCAGCGTCTTCCCTATGATGTTAACAGGTTTACTGACTTTGTACCGCTGTAGCTTGAATACTCGATTTATATTGGAACCATTGCCACGACGCTTCTCAACTTTGGAGAGCACCCTACACCCACTGCTTTTTGGATAGCTGGCATCTTCACCCTTTTGGCCATCCTTAGTCTTCTTTACTCCGTGGGCATATATTTCTATCGAAGCCGGTCAATCCGCAACCGCAAGGCTGCTCGCTACTATGACCGCTGGGGGCCTACTGCGCTCTGTGTCGCGCTCTTTGTTGCTGCTGGCCTCAACTTTGTGTATGAAGGGCGGGAGAGGAAATACTGGTAAACCAGGAAGGGGCTTTGTATCTGATTACTGGACTGAGACCGAATGATGGGAGCGTCTAGTCACGACCGCTGTTGATGGAAGCCGGTATATTGTATTGTTTTGGACAGATGAGCTTGGTAATTGCTGTTGCGGGAAGTATGGGAGACGACATTGGATCAGGAGTTGAGTCGATTTTGAGCATGTTACAGTACTTTTGGATAGCAGATTGTTTGAAGGCTCTTCTTTCAACCAAGGTAATACATACGAGATGCATCTCATGCCGCTCATTTAGCCGGACCTTTTCTCCGTCTTTTCTCCGCCGACCGGCCCACAAGTCACCCGGAGCCGCGCGGGGGTCATCCGGCATGTCATTCATGGCGTCTGTTGAGTATAAGATGGCTTGAGTCCCTCGCAACTCCTGCCAGTTATTCTCAGCACAAGAGTTGCATCTACTCTCTCATCATCTTGCCCAGATTCAGGCCACCATGTCCATGACCGTCGAAGACTGCAGAAGGGTCCGGCCCGGCTTCCCGCGGCCGGTTCCCGACACGCCGGAGAACGTGCTGCAGCAGTTCCAGATGAAGGGCAAAGTCGTCGTCGTCACTGGCGCGGCGGACGGGATCGGGCTCGCTGTTGCGGAGGGCATGGCCGAGGCGGGCGCGGATGTGGCGATGTGGTATAACTCGTGAGTTTCTTTCTTACCTGTACATGTAGTATATGAGGAGAGATGGACTTGTGGAAATATGGACTGTGTGTGTGTGTGTGTGTGTCTGGGCTTACGTTGGTTTTTTTAGGAACAATGCGGCGGTGGAGAGGGCGAGGGGGCTTGAGGAGATGCACAAAATCAGGGCTGTTGCGTATCAGGTTGACGGTATGAGATGAGTTGTGCCTTTTTGGTTTGATATACTACCTTGTTTGTGATGGGTCTGAGGGCTGACGTGGTGTTGTTTGGTGATTGTTGTAGTTTCGAAGGCGGAGCAGGTGAAGAGCTGTATTGAGAGGGTTGTGGGGGACTTTGGAAGGATTGATGTATTTGTTGCGAATGCGGGTAGGTGTTTTTGTTGCGCATTTACCTTGACTTATTTTTTTCTGAATGGATTGTGAGTTTGTGCTGACGGTTGTGGGTGTTAGGGATGGCGATTTCGAAGCCGATTCTGGAGCAGACGTTGGAGGAGTATCAGAAGCAGATGTCTGTCAACGGTATGTAACCCCCCCTAAACCCTCTACTCATCTTTGCCGATGGTGTATATATATACATATATATGCTCACGATCATTGCGTATATGCATATTACATTACAGTGGACGGAGTCGTCTTCTGCTCCAAGTACATCGGCGAGGTCTTCAAGTCCCAGGGCCGCGGCAACCTCATCATCACGTCGAGCATGAGCGCGCACATTGTCAACGTGCCGGTGGACCAGCCCGTGTACAACGCGACAAAGGCCTTTGTGACGCACTTTGGCAAGTCGCTCGCGCGGGAGTGGCGCGAGTTTGCGCGGGTCAATGTCGTCTCGCCGGGCTTCTTCGACACCAGGATGGGCGCGGGGGAGCTTGTTGTCAATGAGGCGTATCGGATGGCGGCGCTGGGGAGGCAGGGGCATGTGAAAGAGATCAAGGGGGTGTATTTGTATCTGGGGAGCGAGGCGTCGAGTTTTGTGACGGGGAGTGATGTCTTGATTGATGGGGGGTATGTGCTTCCTTGAGGGGGGATGTTGGGCTTGTGATGTATAAGAGTTGATGTGCGGATTGTAGTGGGAGAGATGATTGTATGTCTGAGGTCAAAGTTACGAATCATTGCAGAAGACTGAAGGTCAAACACGGTAATCTAAGAACCGCAAACCATCGCCATAACATAAAAAAACGCACATAAATAATCCCCCTCAACCCTCTACAGCCAACCCCCAAGCAGCATCTCCCCAACACTCCCCCGAACATCCTCATTCCCCAACCCCCTCCCCATGAACCCATCCATCAGCTCCCCCATCAACCTCCGACTCAGCTCGTGCGTCTCCCCCTCGAGCACACGCAGCGTGACCTCGAATCCGAAATGGCGTAGCGTCTCCTGCGCCTCTTTTGCGTGCGTGAAGCGGACGCGCTGGTTCTCCGCTCCGTGGACGAGCAGCACGGGGGTGGAAGCGTCGATGAGGTTGCAGAGTCGTGGGAGTGCGGGGGGTTTGCCCCGGAGGAGGATGTATGAGAGGAAGGCCTTTGCGCGCTTGAGCAGTAGTGAGGAGGATTGTGCTTGGTCGTGGGATTCTTCTTCGCAGAGGGTGGGCGTTGAGTAGCCTGAACCGAGCACATCATCTTCATCCCCCTCTTCTTCATTCCCCTTCGCACCATCCTCCAGCTCTCCCCCCGACAACAAACCACAGCTGCTCACGTCCCCATAGACCGCAACGCTCTTCACCTCCTCGTGAAAGGCCAACCACCCCGAAACCCCCAACAGGCCGCCTATCCGCTCCTCCATCTGCATCACGTACGCCGCCGCCACCGCGAACCCCATGCCCACCCCCACGAGAAAGACATTCTCCTTGCCGAAGCGCTCGGATTCTTGCGTCACTGCCTCGTCGAGCTGGGTTAAGCTGATGGATAGCTCTTTCCATGAGGTTGCGGCGTCATCGTCTGCGCCTACGGAATGTGTTGTTGTTGTTGTTGTCGAGAACCATGTGTACTGCTGCTGCTGCTGCTCTTCTTCTTCTTCTCCTTGCGTTTCTTGTTGCTGCTCTTGGTGAGGAGGAAGAGGAGTTGGGAGAGATACAGGGTGGACCGACGTCTGAATGGGTGCGTCGAGAAAGAGCATCTTTGTCCTGGGCCCGAGCGTGTCCGCGATGGACTTTGGATTGAGCGCGCGGGCGACTTGTTCGGCGAGTTGCGTGGAGGAGGAGTCCTTGTCGTGGAGGAAGATGAAGGACGAGATTTGGGTGATGCTACGGCGTCTTGGTGTCGGGGGATAATATGCCATGTTTTTTTTTTGAAGAAGAAGAAAGCTTGATGGTGGAAGCATGTAAGACTTGGTGGAGATCTGAAGGCGTATATGATGATTTTGTCGAACGTGTAAATACTTGAGTTATTGTTGGTGTAGGCAACTTTGAAAGTAAGGGGGGACGCGAGTTCTTCGTTGTGTATGCAAAAGTTGAGATGAATATGGATTGGAGGCACAAGAGACAAGACAATGTGTATGAGAGTTGAATGCATTGTGAGGTTTGTCTTCACTCACACTCATGGGGAATGGATGGAACAAGGTTACTCACTTTCAAGACTCGCCTCGACTGATAATGGGATATAGATACACTGCTATTATAATTAGAGTGCTACCACATATACACTATGGTGTTGTTTCCTCCAAACCTAGACTACTACCGTAACAATGCGCCATAAGATATATGCTATACCAATAACAAAGGAGGAAAAAAAAAAAAAAAACAATTTGATGGTAAGAACCTTGACCATCCCAATAGTTCGTGGTGAATGCTAACGCCCATTATCGGCAAACGCCGCCATGCTTCCCTTGCGCCGCAAGTCACCCGCCTTGAGCTTCCGAACCTGCTGATACGACCGATCCAGCTCGTTTTCCACAGCACAGCGTATCCGCAGCGCCGCCACCGCCGGCCACACGCTCCTCTCGCCTCGCAGGATCCAATAGTTCAGCGTGTCCCGCGTGGGCGTCTCGAGCAAGCGGATGAAGTCGCCGGCAGTCACCTCCGGGACCAGCGTCATCGACGCCGCCGGCACTTGTTCGTCCACTAGGAAGCGGCGGATGCTTGCAGGCATGAGGCGGAGGGAGTCGAGCTGCCGCAGCCGATGCCGGATCTCGAGGCCCACCATGCGGACCAGGAACGCCGAGAGCTGCGTGCTCTTGCTTCTGGTTTCCACCAGAGACGGCCCGTGCATGTCGGACTGCAAGAAGGGAATGAGATACGGCCTTGCCTGGCTGACGATGAAGTGGTTCACGTTGAACAGCTCGGCAATCCGCCTCAGGGGCGAGTCGCGATCCGTGTACGAGGCATGCGTCCAGTGGCGGAAGTCGGTCGTGTTGGCCGGGGCCCAGGGAACAATGTTGCCATGGGCATCTTTGCACAGGATGGTGGCCTTGGAGCGCCCGTATAGGGATGGCGAAGACGCATTGGAGGCGACGGCGGCCGTCCAAATCAGCTGTATTACCAGGAAAAGTCAGCACATGAGATTTCAAAACCAGGTCCTACTGGCAACACATACCACGTTCGGGGCGGTGATGTAGTTCAGAAGACTTGGAACGCCAGCCCCTTGGCCATCCGTCGCCACCGTGATGTTGAGCACCCTCTTGCTGCGGTTGTACGCCTCCTCAAAGGTCAAGTCGCCAACATTCGCCCTGACACAGTCTTCAAGCACGGTGACATCCAGGAAGTAACCCTCTCGCGTAAACCGTCGAATCCTCCGAATGAGCGTCTCCCACCTCGACTTGAGGGGCTGCTCAGCTGGCATCTGGCCACTGTCCGTCACTCCCCTGGATGCAAAGGCGCTGAGATCAATGCCATCCCCTCGAAGAACGGCCGGAAGCTCATCCTCGGTGTGGATTGCCACCAGCGCAGCAATCAACGCGCCAGTGGCCGTGCCGGTGATGATGCGCGGCAGCAAGCCCCTGAGAAACAAGGCCTTGACGACGCCCAGATGGCACAGGCCAAAGATGGCGCCGCCCTGGAGGACCAGCGTCGTCCGCCCAAACGCCTGCCTCGTGTCGTGGATAAAGTCCAGTTTCATCTGGTTCGTCAACGCCTTCTCGTTGGGGTGCAGGCTCGAGGCCGCGCTCGTCGGCAGAGCGCTGATGTCCTCGACCGACTCTGCCACCTGGGCAATGTACTCCTCGATCAGATACTTGGTCCCGGAGAAGGATCGGTTGTAGAGTTTCGGCACGGCAATGTTGCCGAGGTTGCGGACGAGGCCCGATCGGAGGAGGTTGACGAGCTGTTCATAGTTGTGCTCCTCTCGCGCCACGGCGAGCGAGTCGAGGCGTTCCGCGATGAGCGCCCAGTCGTAGTACTTGGACGTCGGGTTGTTTCTCCTAGCACACAAGAGACAGGCCAGGGTTAGCACACGTCAATATCCATTGGGGTCTGCAATTCATTGTCCGCATGATGGTCGAATACATACCACAGGTCCAGCCCCAGCAAATTGTCGAGATGCAGCGCCGCCTCTTCCCAGTCCTCAAACGTCTCGGCATTGCGCAGCAGCTCGAGCCACAGCTGGACGGGGTTCTTGCGCGTGTACCAGCTCAAGAGCTTCTTCAAGGGCGTCAGTAAAGATGATGACGGCCATCACTATGGAGGAGCATCGGGAGAGAGTGTAGTCTACCTTGTGCCAGAAGGCGGCCACGTCCACGAGGACCCTCCAGACAGCCAGCACGAGCCCCATCATTGTGCCGAGGAAGCGCGGGACACGCTCCGGGGCATCTCACGAGGGGGGGTTCGGTGTGTGCTGTTGGTTAGGTAGTTGTCTGCTGCTTGGATTGACTCGAGTATCTCGATCGGTGTAACGGCAACGGTATCACGTCTGGCTTGGAGAGAGATCGGTGGGTCGGATCAGATCGCAGCGCACCGAGTGTAAGCGGGCGACGATGATGGCATCGTAGGTCGAGTCGATGAGGCCGTGAGAGTCAATGTGATGATGGTCGTAGATAAGGTCAGCCAGCGTATGAGGTGGACGGCGTTATCTGGTAGAAGCAGGCCAATCGTTGCTGCAGAGACTGTGAATGTCTGCCCACGGCAGCAGCACGGCAATGGATGGGCATCTCCCTGTTCCCACGGCCTGGCCGCTAAGGTAATTAATTAAACCGACGAGCATGTGATGAGCATTGGATTGTTGAGGAAGCGATGAGATCACCCCCGGAACAGCCCAGCCACAGGCGCCACATTGGAGCCCTGCACTTTTGCTTGGCAGCAGGGCGGCATTATCGATAGAAGGTGCATGATGCTGCATCACGATAGAGGCTGTCCGTTAGTATCCGACTTCTATACTTGCTACTTGCCCTCAAACAGTGTCACCCTTGACAACAATTGCCGACGTATTGAAATTGTCCTCTCCAGAACCATCACGGCATTCTCACTCCACGGCAATCCCCTTTCCGGAGTGGAGCTTCCAGGCACTCAACACTTTTGGCTGGGGCCGTCTCGCCACCGCTCGGGCTGGCCTGTCTCCTTGTCTTATGCTCACGGAATCGTCTTGCCAGTCAAGGTAGCTCCTACGGAAGTCGCCTGCTTCGGACGGCATGTCGGATCCTCGGGTCACCAGTCACGCCGAGCATGATAAACAATCCTCAAGGTCTTCAGATATCAATCAAGAATACAGCCCAGCGTCTCCCGTTTTGAATTCCCTTTGCTCCAATCTCACACATTCCCTGGTAAATTAGTTGATATGTATCGAAAGCAACTGCTCTCTGAGAAAACACTTAATCATCGTCGTCGTCAATCACGTTGCGCCGTCTGCCCGATCTGCCATGTGTTTCCTGGGGCTCCACCTCATCGCCCTCGGCATCCTCGTCGTCCTCCGGCTCCCTGGTCCGTTGTCGCTTGGGCCGTGGAGCTTCATCCTCATCGTCCAGAATGTCTTCCTCCTCCTCCTCCTCCGCGTCACTCTCCATCTCCTCCTCGTCACTGCCCACCAGAAAGCCGTCATCCAGGTCGTACTCTTCGTGCCGCGCGACGCCCTGAGGCAGGTCGTCGTCAGAATCATACTCTGGACGCCTTCTCTTGGGCCGCGCAGCACCAGGCGCGCCTCTCTTGCGGGCCGAACGAGGGCCCTCCAGGTTGCCGATTGACAGCCCAGAGCGACCGGTGCGTCCCACGCCGCCGTCCATCTTGGCCGCGGCACTGTCGCGCTTCCGCTGAGCCTTCATCCGCTCCTTTTCCGCCAGCTCGGCCTGCTTCTTCTGTAGCTCCGGATCCACAACCGTCTTGATGATCATGTCGCCGCCAGTAGATGACTTGCTGGCCATGGCCATTCTCTCTGCCAGAATGGACAGGGCGTCGTCTCCGACGGCCTTGTTGGGTCTGATTGTGTACTGCTCCGTCAAGTGTCCCACCGTCATCAGCAGATTGCTGCTCAGCTCGGCAGCTGCGGCGTAGTAATGACCATCCTTGAGCTCGTCGTAAGGCTGCCCCTGGGCCGGGGCCAAGGCCTTCTTTTGGATCTCGTAGTGCTCGCCACCCACTGCAATGGTGACGGAGCCATCGCTCCACCGGTAGATGTTGGTGTTGCTCTTGAGCTCGTTTGTGCTTGGATCTCTGCGAACGCGGACCACGTGCTTGGGGTGCTCTGCTCTTGCGTTTTCGAGGTCGAACTGGGAGGGCTGGAACGTCTCCTGGTCGTACGGCTCGGGCATAAACTTGACGAACTTGGGGACTCGCATCACGCGCAGCTAAGTCTCACTTGGTAAGTGGGTGACCACAAAGAGATCTGGGCGCCTTCCAAGAGCTTACCGCATCGTCGGAGGGCTTGGGAATGCGATGGCGATATGCCTGGACGGCCATGACGACTCTATCTTTGGTTTCATGTCGCGCCTGGCTGCCATCGTACTCTCGCTGCTCGGCCTCGCCGTAGGCCTCGGGGTCTGAGGCGAGGTCATCGTCGTCCAGGATGCGCGCCTGGGGCGAAGCATCACCCTCGTCGCCCTCGTCACCGAAAAGGTCGTCGCCGCCCTCGTCGATGGCGTCGAGGGGATCTTCCGAATCCGACATGGTGCAGGGTCACAAAAGTGAATGCGCAAAGAGGTATAGTAGATGCTGGAGATGGTCTGTAGGCTTGGAGGGAGCGTCAAGAGGTCAATGGGGCGGATAAGGGATGGGATGGGCCGGTTGGGGATTATCTCGACGATGCTGCGATTTTGGAAATCTGCTGCGCGAGGCACGTTGGCAGAGCGCGGTCTCCCAATGCGAGTAGCTCGGTGTGTGGCTGGAGAGATGCACCGCCACGCAAGTGACTGGTCAATTAGCTTACCTTAAGGTACCTTAGTCAGATAAGGTACAGATCAAACTGGGCGTTGTTCAGAAGGCTGGCTCCAGCAGTGAAGTCAAACAACTCTCGAGTCAATGAATGGACTGTATGGAGAGTAATACCGGTTCATCTTGATTTAGAAGGGCTGAATCCAAATGCCGTATGGCAGGTTGCGAAGAGAATCATCGCCGGTATAGCAATCAGGTGTCTGTTGGTGACCGTCTTCACTTTGATGTCAGAGTCCATCACATCTTCTCAGTTGTCAGGCACACAGGGCCAAAACAACATCAGCGAGGAGATGGAAATACTATCAAGCTTATTCATCCCATCTCAACTCTCAATATGAGATTGCTTCACTGTGGCAAACCCATCTTCTGGAGGTTACAGTACCAAAAGTTCCCGCTCGCCACTAACAGACCTGAAACCTCCACACCTTGGAACCCACGGCTATCACTATACGATACTAGCCCAAGGCAACAAGCAGAAACTGTCCTCAAGCCTTTCCTAGGTAGATAGTTCATCAGCTCCCCGTGCCGGTTCTGCGTGATCCGTACGTGCTTTATACTTTTAGTGTGGCGCCCGTTCCAGCAGCGTTCCTGATGACCGTCTCCTCATAGTGCTGTGGCTAGTCTCACCTTGTTAACGTTCTCGGGGACCAACAACCGCCATCTTAAAACAGCTCATCGTCCCGAGCGCCTGCTTGTCGCTTTGAACTTGTAACTTCCTTCAAAAGCATCCCGATATAACTTCAAGCCCTGCCCTGCCCTGCCAGAGCATCGGATCCTCCGTACTTACATCGTCCACCCGCCCAATCGCGACGCAGCACCCGGTCCCTCAGCCCTGCTGCTGCACCCCTATTTTCCCATCCATCCCCTACGAATCCCGTGACAAGGCTGGAGCCCCGTCTGCGGTCCCCTCAGTTTCGCTGCATCCCGCCGCTTTTGCACCCCGCCTTTTCCTTGCCATGTCCAACCTCTTTTCCGGCATGTAAGTGAATATCCGTCTCATTGTTATCCGGTATCTTCTTTCTCGTTGTTCTTCTCTCATTTCCCCTCTCATTTTTCTCGTCATTGGAAACAACAATGGCATGGCATCATCACAATCCTCCGTGAAGCAGCAATTCCCCATTAGGCGTCGCTCAAGGCGAGGGGCTCCTGAAACGGTGCCTGGCCCGTCTCCCAGCGGTGAGGGGCAAGTGTCCAGTCCAGAGTCCGGCATCCAGGATAGCATTGAAGCAGCATATCGGGACCTCTTTCGCCATGGCAGTGGATTTTCCCCTGCAACTCCTTTGGAAAAACGTCCCTCCCATGGCGGAGTTTTCATTGCAGGTCCTCTGTTTCAACAATGGCTTGAGATCGTAGTCGGGCTGCGACAGCTTCTCAGGGGGCCACTTTTGGTTGGGCACTATCGATATCCAACAGAATAATTGCCCTTCATCATCCAGTATCTGAAGCCCTTGATGAGTTGGAACAAATACCGTTAGCCAAGTGGCAAGCGATGGCAATGTTCTGACAGCTGCTGCTACGTATCAGACTGGGTTGACTCGGAATCGCCACGGCTAGGGAGCCCTTTTATACACAAAACGCAGCAACATACTACATCTCCACCCCTGATGCTAATTTATATCCATTTCCTCTTTCGTAACCCCTATCCTCCTCCCGCCTCCTCGCCTCTTCCCTTTCTACCTTACCTTACCTTACCCTTACCTGGGTACTATTCATAAAAGGCACGTCTCGTTTCCCTGCATGCTTCGGCACTCGATCCCCAGCTTAAGCCTCATTCGACACGCTAAGCTACTTGTACATACTGAGGCCACCCCATGCTGCCTCTTTCATCTCATCCTCATCTTCATCTTCACTCCGCCACTCGTGCCACTCATACCTTCCATCTCTCACATGTCCTTCCACTAACAGTCTCTTCGCAGCAACGCTCGTCTCCGCGGCGGGCCCAAAAGCCCATCATCCCCATCATCACAATCCGCCCAGCCCCCCTTGCCGCATTCTGCCTCCGACGCCGTCTTATCTCCCAACTCCCCTCCAACCACCGTCACCGCGCCTCTGAGATCTGCTTCCTTTCCCGCTCCGTCTTCTTCTCCTGCTCCTCAGCCCGCCAGCATGGCTGATTCCGGTGCTGGACCAAGCGGCGATGATATCATCAACTCCTACCACCTGCCGCGGCCCCTTCCGCTGTGGCTCAACGCAAACTGCGCAAAGCACATTGTCAAGGGCAACTTCATGACGCTGAGTGCTCGGCCAAAGACGGTTGAGCAAGGGGAGTGGGTTGCTCACCAAGTTGTCGAGCATTATCGCAACCTCTGGAACTTTGTCCAGGTGGTTCACGCAAAGGAGGAGACTGGCAACACCATCTGCAATCCAACAACTTGCCCTCGAATGTCCGCGGGAGCGTAAGTAAACCCCAACTCTCGCCGGGCGGCTTCGTCTTTGCTCACACACCAGCGCCACAGCAACCACTCCTTCACATGGCTCAACAGCCGTCGTGAGCCAGTCGAGCTGCCGGCTCACGAGTACATGACCCTCATGCAGCGCTGGATCACCGGCAAGATCGACGACACCACCATCTTCCCAACCGATCCCGCCGGCGTCTCCTACTCCCACAACCCCGCCATCTCGTCGACGCCGCTCTCCCAGCTCACCAACCCGGGCGAGCCCGACTGGGTCGGCAAGCGGTCCGGCTTCCCCGAAAAGTTCATCGACATCTGCCAGATGATCTTCCGCCAGATGTTCCGCGTCTACGCCCACCTCTACTGGGCCCACTTCCAGGAGCCCTACTACCACCTCAACCTGGAGAAGCAGCTCAACAGCTGCTTCTCCCACTTCCTGCTCACGGCCACGGCGCTCGACATGCTGGGCAAGCAGGAGCTCGAGCCCATGCAGCCGCTGATTGACCTCTGGGCGGCCAACGGGACGTTCCCGCCCGAGTCCAAGGTCTACGAGTATGCCAGCATTCGAGCTGGTGAGCGGTTGATTCAGCTTGCAGGCGTTACTCAGTAAAGAGGGGGGGGGTTCTTTTTATGATGGGATTTCCTATCTGAAATGGGAATACAGGTTGCCGTGATGGAAAGACATAGAAAAGAAGCTTTGTGTCCTTTGAAACATGCATGTAGTTCACACGATAATAGCACATGAGCGTTGAAATACAAGAGTCCGAACATTGCACACGAAATGAAAGAGGGACAATGTCGATGGTGGAATAACAATCATGACAGTCTGGGAGTTGCATCGTCCGTATGCCAATAACTTCTCGACGCTTGTACTTGATCGACCCCCTAGTTATTCTGTAACTGAAAAGTCAAACGACCCTCGATCCGTAGGCTAAATCTGTGGTCAATAACCTCCGGAGTCATGGCATTGGATCATATCTTGAGATTGAACTGCCCTTTCTATCTCTCAACCTCAGTTGCATCTCTCAATCTCAATTCATCAGCCGACCCCATTTCATCGCCCAACCTCAGTGATGTTCTTCTTCTACTCCGCAGACAGCCTCGCTTGAGAGTGTATACTCAATCACAAGACCTCTTTCCCAAGCATACAAGCAAGCTCTTTTACCATATTATACGTTTTTATCTTCCAAACACATTGGTATACTAAATGTGGGAGAAGAAGGCCAACATCCGTTTGAGGAGATGCTTTTTCTTTCGAAAAAGGCAAAGTAGCCTCCTCGTAGCCATAGTGACATTGTCCTTTTGCCGCATGTACTTCTTAAAACTTCACAGGGACGGCTAATCTGAGCCATCAACGAGGCCTAGAGAGACATGTCCAGGAACTTCGGCTGCCCATGTCCTCAGTGGACCGCACTTTTTCTGTTCCGATGGGAACACTGACCTTTTGATAGAACATGTAGAAGTCTCTTGCGAGTTCGGTAAAGGAAGCTTTAATCACAGACAGGCAAAACCGCGAAGAAAGAGAGAGAGAGTCATAACGTGGACACATTCAGATCTTGGGGAAGCTTTCAAGGGATGTTGTCACCCATCCATTTGAGTAGATTGCAGCGGTTCGGAAGGAATAGTTACCTCAAGATTTGCAAAGGTCGTGCTCGATCACGATTGGCGTCTTTCCCTGGGTTGGTGCTTTGCTTCTTTCATGAATGGATAGATGTAGGACGGCATCTTTTGACCTTTGAACTACCTATGTATGTATCTTACGACTCAATTGCTGATAACTTTGAAGGTAATATAATGCCATGTATCGTCCCCCATTGATCCTTTTCGTCCAAACACAACCTTGATAACAGCCAGTTCTACCATTTACACTCTTCAACATACAATGTTTCTCGCGTCATTAATCTCTCCATTCTTCCAGACACACCCGTGCCTCCAAGGCCCGTCGAGTGTATTCACCCACGAGCCCCCTTTCACACAGAACACTCACATCTCAGAATCAACATGCCGGTTCTTCCAGCCTTTCAACACGCGAATCCATGACTTCTCTCGCATAACACTCAACAATCCTGACTCGTCCATTCCCAAAACATCAAACAAAAAAAATGTTCAAGGCCCCCATACCAAACCAAAACACTAGCCATGCAAAAAGCCCCCCCTACCTTGCATCTCCCATACATACATACCTCTCCATCCCCATCATCCAACCAATCGCCTCATACATACATACTACTCGCCCGCAGGGCCGATCATACGCAGTGGCAAAGACAGAGAGAAAAAATAAAGACCAATGCAAAACGCCCAAGGCAGAGATCCCTACTCAGAATAGAAAAACGAGAAAAAAAAACCCTTCATCTTTTCCCATGTGGTCCGAAAACATACAGACTACTAGTACATACAGACTCCCCCATGATAATCTAGCAAATCAACTTGCCACAGCACCTAATCTGGCTT